GTGAGGCGGGGGCGCTTGTTCCACATCGCCAGCCTAACTGTACACAGCACTGTAGAGCGAAGCGAAAGCCTGTACCGCTGAGGGATCGCTGACCAGGCCAATACTAAAGTTCTAGGCAGGCTGCTTGAATATCGAATGCGTGTGGCGTGGCTGGTGAGGCGTCTAGGCAGAGAGTGTTTACGCGTAACACTCCGAGGCTCCCATCAATCGTGCAATGGGACCTCGGGGTGGGCAATTGAGCGCAATGATTCATCAATGGCACACCGAGTTGACTCAACAACAGCCAGCCCAGCTAGCTGTTGTAAGTAATTACAAGTGATCAGTCGACACTGTTGCTAGTTGCCGCGAATCGTTACAAATCGCCACGCGCAGACAGCACACGGACATGGCCACGGCCACAGCTCGCCTACAACGGCAACGGCACGGGCGTGCCTGGGCCTAGATTTGTGCCTTGGGCGGCATTGACAATCATTGGCGGCCAAACAGAGTTCAGGCCGTTATTGAACCAAGGTGGTCTACCCTGATTGTTGTTATTCATGCGTCGCAATTGACGCGATAGCATTGGGTCAGTAGCAGCCTGTTTTGGGGGCTGACAGAACAACCAATGCCCTCGTAGTGCGCACTGTAAGCAATTGAATGCAGCTCGGGTTCCGTAGGCCATGGATCAAGCAGTAAAGCCCATGTCGTGGGTCGGCCTGGCATGGAAATTCATTGCATGCGTGGGCCTTCTTCTGTCCGTTCATTGCTATTGTGCCGACGGGGTTGCGCCTATTGAGCCGGATCAAGGAGTTAGCCGGCGATAGTAGCCCAAAAGCCTCGGAGTGGATTGATCCAGGGATGATGGCATTGCTGACGGCAGCACTTGCGAGCTGAAGATGATGAGAAAAGAGGACCACAGTGGACATGGACGGATTGGGCAATGGCAGATGGGGGAGGGAGAGAGCAGGGCAGGATGGGCAAGACAGAGCAGGGCCTGGGCGAGGACGAGGGCGAGGGCGGCGACGGAGAGAGAGAGAGAGAGGGAGATGGAATGGGAGAGAATCCATCAGGCTGGATTGGATTTGTGATCGAGTGCCACGGCTTGATACGGCCACCCCCTCTTCAGTGCCGTCTCCATCGCTGGCACCACGTACCCGCCGACTATGACATGTCAGAAGGGGCAGAAGGTACATGGGCGAGACTTTGTCACTGCCGTTCACAAGGCCGTGAAGGGCGCGGCACGCACCTGCTTTCCTTGGCTTGGCCCCTCCCCTCCTGCGTTCCTCCTGCCTTCCTGCCTGCCTTGCGTCTTGCGTGGGGATGAGAGAATTAAGGGTGTATTATCGATTAGGTATCGATAACGCTAACCAAACCGGCCCTGGGCTCAACCGAGCATGCGAGCGTGGCTGCCGTTTCAATCGGGCGGGGCTCCTGCGAAACGACAGGCCCCCGTTGCTCTGTGCCCCCATGTCTGTTCCTGCTCTTGCCGTTTCTCTGTGTGTTCATTGTCGTGTGTGTAAGTGTGTGTGGTGCAGGCAGGTTGTGTGCTTGCTCTCTGGTTCGCTGGCTTGTTGCCTTTGTTCTCGCATCTTCTGCTACAGTACAGTATCGTCCCTCATCAATTGACGACTCCTCAATAACAACCCCAAAGCCTGACTGACCTTCGACCCTCTGGCCGATATGACTCACACTCACATTCATGCCCAAATTCCACCGCTACACTACTATGGCACCAAGCAGGCGGCAGTCTCCATTTGAAGCAGCCACCTAACGCTCCACGTCAGCCCTAGCCATTGGTCAATTCCTCATTCCGACGGCTCGATGTTTCTTGTTTGCGTGCAAAGTCAAGCAACCCCCCCAATAGGTGGCCAAAGGTGGCAATGCAAACCTTCCAAGGTTGGGAGGGCTTACGGACACGGACACACGGCGTAACTCACGGTCCCCAGCCATTGGGGAGAACCTGTTTCGAGGTCCCTCAGGGGCACTGCGTCGCTGAGAGAGAGGGCTGCTCCCAGTGCCCGGGCGGCCTAGACCTGCTGTGCGTGCATGTTTGTACACACAGGACCACTCGCAGGGCCATCTACTCCAGCCTGCTCCACCTCGGGATGCACTCAATTGATCCCGCACCATCGCATTACACCTCGAGCTCGGAGCTCCCATCCTTGGGCCCTCGTTCATGCCTTGGAGATTACAGGCCACCTGGCACCAATTGGCTTTCGGGAGCCTCGCATAAACCACGCTGTTGTTGTCAATCGGATGAGTTCGTTGCTTGGTGCCAGAGCAAGCTGTCAGCGATGCGCGCTGTTGTTGATGTCATGTCATCAGCTAAACCTTAGATGGCAGAGATTTCGCCCGCCTCCTGAAGCTCATTGAGCCTGGACTCTTGGCCATCGCAGAAGCAGTGGGGGGAAGAGATGGTTTGTTCCCGCTTTTACATTGCCTTGCCCGTGCCTGACAGCACCATCAGGCTCTCAAGCTCCCAAGTCGGACCATCGATCAGATCGTGCCTCTCCGCATCCACCAGCCATGGTGCCAGCCTCGAGCTGTTATCCGTCCCATTCCAGGATCGAGCTGCTGCACGATGCTCCGAGAATGGAAGCCTTCATTATGCCAGTCAGTATGGCCTGGCCTGCCGAGGAATATCTGCCCGGCAGAGAAGCCTTTGCAATTGGCCATGATACAATCATGATGCACCCACCGCACAATCGAACCCTTCGGATGTTGCCATCAATGCACTTCAACCTGGCACAGCTGCCTCGACCAGCTCCAAGTAGAGCCACGTCTGTATTGCCCCTTCTCGAATTCCTCAGAGCACCCGGCAAAGGGCGCTGCCTGCTGAATTGCATCCTGCCGCTTCAAGAGTCCGCGTCATCTGCTTTGGACATCTGCCTAGAATGCCGCTCATGTCTTCTCAATGACCATCATGATCAATCCGCTCCACGGCGACCGACATACGTGTCATTGACCCGTGGCCATTAGGGCTGAGTTCTCATGTGGTTCATGTTGTTTCCATGTGGTTCACGTACTGCGTTGGTGTGCATGCGGAGGGCTTGAAGTGCCTATGTTGGGTACCCTTTCCCTTGCGGTACTTGTACTGCCTGAGCCTTGTCGATTGGGGCGCCATCCCTACTTTTCTTTGTCAAAGGTGTGATCCACTGGAAACTCCATCAAGTCAGAGGGCAATTTGCGGCAGACGTGAAGGAAAATCTTGCGAAAATTCACCAATCTGGCGTGACTCAACACGATTTTGTGTTACGCCAGAGGTAAAAATCGTACTGAATGTTAATTTCACTCCGTTATCCCTCTGCAAGCGCAGTCTGGCTCGGCCAGCATAAGGGAGACGGCAACTACTGTTCCGCAGTGTTTGGCTCCCTACGTCCCTACCAAGGTACGTGCACCGCAGGCAGGAACCGGAAAGCTACCGCGAGCTTGGGTTGTTTCACGCGCAAAGTTTCCTTACTCTTCAGGTACCTGCGCTACTTTCTGCCTTACAATTGGGTGCATGCTTTGCGGCAGCAGCGGAACGAGTCAACAGGCAAACGTGCTCAGGCACCTGAATGGCCTGGCCGACTGGTCCCAGCAATTGGGATGCCTGCTAAAAGCTAATGGCTACAGGCCTAGAGCCCCTGAGTCCCTTGCGTCGCCCGCTATTCACTGCTAAGAGCTGGTCAATTTCATACTTTCACGGTAGTACGCATGGTCAGGTACCATTGTGGACATCAAAACTTGTTCTCGATGTTCACATGCCTCAGATTCACTTCCCATAGGTTCCATGGGAAAGACTGGAATCTCGAGTTATTGTTGCCTGGCCCAGCGGCCATTGACAGCAGCATTGGGGACAAAGTGGGCAAGTGGGTGCAGATGACCCTGCTTCTGGTCGACTGACACATCCTTGCGACAAGTACACCACATGTACCGACGACAAGCGTGGGATGACAGGGATGGCGCGATGACACGACGGGGCGTCTCTCTAGTGGCGAGAGTGTGACTCTTTGCGACACCCTCCATGACGACCAACCATAAACATCAGAAGTCGCTGCCGGTGTCCTGGACTGAGCCTTTCCTGCAGGCATATGGCAAAAACCAATGTACCTGTACTAGGCCGCGGCCATCGCAATGCTGAATTTAGGTCGACTCACAAGTGTGTTGGCTTGATTTCTTGACGCCCCCCCCCCAAAAACTCACCAAGGTTGTCTGCTGCTCCGCCCAGCCAACTCTCCCATTTCTATCAACATTCTTCTACTTTCCTCTCTTCGAACACCACTTTATTTTGCGATTGATTCTTCTTCCACAACACTTTAGTTTGTCCAGCTGACCAATTCAGTCCTTCCTGCACTAACAACGCCCACTTTTGCGAGCCACCCAAGCCAATTCGCCACAACCGGAACTGCGGTGTCTGCCACCACACTGCACACTACAAAACGCCGCCACACCCCCCGGTCTCAGCTTCGCCTGCTTTGGATTGTCTTTCCTTCCTTTGCCCACACGCAGCACTCAGGGCTGCTAAATTCAATTTGTCCTGTCCGGTTGAATCATCACGGTGGTTCTGCTTTCAATAATCAGAGAACGAACCGAACACCTCAACGCAACGGAATTCGACTCTCGATACATCCCACCTTCGCCAAGACTCACGATCAGCGCAACTGCTTGGCTGTCTAACACCACACCCACCAGCGACGACCACCAGCCACGGCGAGAAGATTAACAATCCAGCGCACTCGTCCTACTTCGCAATACAACAGCCTGCCTTAAATCCGGTTTCGCTTCGCACTTGAAAACTTCGGTGTCGGATATAACCTCCAATTCGCATTGCTGCCTACGACAACTCGCCACCACGTCCAAGGCTCAACAACATCACCACCGAGAACAACTAGCGAGCCGCTTTTTCGCGCGAAATGGCAGGCCACTACCAATTTGACGGGGTCTCATCGCAAAATTCAAGTGCACCAAGGAACTCAACTGAACCCCTTGCTGGCCAGGGTCCATCTGTCTCTCTGATGTCTTCCAAAATACAACCAAAGATGGCGATTAGCAGCATGATATCTCCTCCAGAGCAAGCTCCCCTCGACAGCTTTCGCCAGGCTGCAGAGCCCTTTCAGCCCCTCAACATGCAACCACCAAGCAAGCCCAAGCAGACCAACCCGCAACAACCACCATCGCCTCCGATCTCACCGTGGACCAAAGCGGACAACCATGTCGTCGCTACTTCGAGCGCTACCGCCGTGAAAGACCCTATTCTCTACCCTGAGGCCCCAGCAAGTCCTTCCTCGCCTCTATTCGATGAACGAAAGCTCAGCCCCGCTGAGGTGCAAAATGCCGTGTTCGAGCACATTGCCGCACGGAGGGCTGCTTCGCTCCCTCGCCATGTTATCCCTCCGAAACCGCAGGACTACGAGGATTTCTTGTGTTTCACCGAGAACGTCTTTCCACTTTATCAGCGAAACCCTCGTGCGTGGCTCAGAAGGAACCGTGAGCAGCTGCGGGAAGATGCCAAAGCACGCGCCCGCCGTGGCTCTGGGTATGCGAAGACGGCACACCCTACTATCATCCATGTCAAGCCTCTGATGGCGCGGCCTTCAAACACCATAATCGCCAAGGCGACCGCTGCCAAGCACGCCTCTCCCCACCGAAATGCTTCAAAAGTCACCAAACCATCGACGGGACCGCGACCAGTTCGTGCCCAGACAGTCAAGGCATCTCGACGTATCAGCTCCACTCCCGAGCCTCGCAGCCGCCTGGTGCCTCCCAATCGCGAGGACAAGGATTTCAATGCCATCCCAGACTTCTGCCCGCCACTCAGTTCTCTGCCCGAAAAGTCCAATCTCATGAGGGTCGACTGGAAAGGCGCTCCTCTGGATCTAAGCAAGGACCCGCACAAGCATTTCCTCCATCCAGATGAGCTCCAGCTAGCGGCTGGTCTTAGGTTGGATTGTGCAACTTATCTCACCAGCAAGCGCCGGATCTTTGAAGCTCGTCTGGACTACTACCACAAGGGCAAGGAGTTCCGCAAGACTCATGCCCAGCAGGCCTGCAAGATCGATGTCAACAAGGCGTCGAAATTGCACACTGCGTACGAGAGGGCTGGCTGGCTTGATAAGAGATGGATGCAGGACCTGCCTGTTCCTACTCAACGCTAAACGCCACGCCACACAATTACAATATACAGCTGGGTGTGCCACAAACCCTGACTTCATGCCTGCGGATGTTGGCTCAGCTCAGCTCATATCATCCTACCACAACACCATCATCTGTTGGAACCATTGCGCCTTTTCCCTAGCCTGAGGCATGGACCTCGGCGACGTTTTCCTTTGTTGGTTCACTCACAATCATATGGTAGAAGACCATGAGTCTGGCGCATGCAATCTTCTTTGGAGGCTCCCAGGAGACACGGTTTCGTCAGCATGCAATGAGGCCTTAACTTTGTCGAGTTCCCATACACGATACAATCACATCACGGCACACGAGACAACTACACAAGATACCCGGAGTACGAGACCCAACAACCCCCGACGTCACAACACGACACAACACAATATCACAAGATCGCAACATCTTCAACGAGTTTTATCTCAACCACTCTTCTCCATGTTTTCTCGGATCTCCACTTTGCATATCTCCACGGTCAAGGCAGGTTACGTTTGGTTACGGGCACGGTTTATGCGAGGAGTTCTTTTTCTTCCCGTTTCGATTTCCGGTTGATCCTGGGTCCAAACGCTTTGGCGGATCGCCCAGGACGTGCCGTTCGCTCACTCAGATTGGTCTTTGCATGTAACGGCGGCGTTCCCTCAACGATGCGGTACCCACCTTGGCTGCCTTTTTGATTGTTTTTCTTTTTGGGACTGGTTTACGGCTGGGAGTCCTTACAGAGAGTCCTTACACAGAGAGATTGATGGAACTGTACGGGCACCCATCATCAACAACAACCTTGTCATCGTCATGTTATACCCCCAATATACCCCCTTGCGTTTGCTTACAACTTCACTTCGAGCCATACAGGATTTGATAAATGTCACTCCTAGGCCCCAATTTTTTTTGGCTTTGCTTTTCCCTTTGTCCATCAGTTAGTCGACCTTTACTGCTCATAGACGGGCGTCGTTTTGGATAACGATCTCGGCGATATCGTGCTTCTCATGAAGAGAGCACGGCAATCACATTCCCACAGCAAGCTGAGCTGAGCTTAGCTGGAAATGGAATGTCATCAGGGTACACAACTATGGTTCTCAATTTTGTTTTCGCACCAAAGGGTGGCGCAAGATTGGTATTGGATTTGATGGAAACGTGCTGGATAGTGAGGTTGTGAAAGGGCCTACCTAGCTAGCAATTCATCTGTCTCATAGCTGCCCTAGAAGCGGAAACTCAAGAATTGGAAAGTTCGAGAACCAAAGCAAGACTTTCTCGCAACGTGTGTGATCGAGACTTACTAAATGCTGTAGATTTTGCGCGCGCGCGCGCAGGCAGGGTTGGACCGCTACAAACAGGATCGACATCATGAGTATCTTCAGCAGAAACCAAATGGGACCAGATCAGCCCGGCCTAGCCGGCCACAGCCCTACGACCTGTCAAACCGACTCCCTTCCTGGTTTGGAAGGGAGATCGGCCCCCTCCCCCGCGGTTTCATGGAACCCGCAGCGGGATGTAATCTCGCTAATCTTTTTTCTTCTGTAGTTTAATTTTTTCTCCCATGTCCCGCCCAGGCCGGCCGGCAGCCACCCGATCTCCCTGTTCACGTGTTCTTTATCCCTTCACGCTACCCCGTGGAGCCACCACCCACCCTGGCGTGCCTTAGTGTGAAGGTGGCTGGGTGGGCCGCTGCTGGAACCCTGGCAAGCTCTTCTTCCTTATTGTCCGGTGTAGGAGTTACTTTCTTCTAGCTTCGGAATTTGACTTCTCGCGTTTGATTGAGAGTTTGTCTATTTCCCTCACCGGCTTCAGCTGGTAATTTCGGGTGCTCGTGTAGGGTTTTGTAATATCAATTAGGGCTGGGCATGTTCGTAGGTGAACAGGGGACGTTTTGATTTTGGGCTCCTTCGCGGAAAAGAAACGAGTCTCAAACTTTGAGGTCATTTCTGTGTCCGAATATGCGGCTAGACTATGCATGAAGAACCCACACCCGTGTGATTTCTACACAGGAGCCTGCCGATCATGGTAAGGAAAGGACGGAGCCAACATCGACCGACCAAGCATGAGCGCTCCTGAAGTTTGGCCCTCAATCTCCATCTTCCACCGTAAATTGTGAGGACGTTTTGTTGCACTGCACCGACGACAGCACACGCGCCGCGGAAATCGTGTCGCCTCCGAGATGGAGCCACCGTCCCAAATGACGACCTTCCCTCGGCCCCACTTGCGACTCACCACGCGTGCTGCGCCTGGTCATGTGGACGCCACGCGAGCGACGGGGCTGGGACGTAGACGCGTCCCACGGGACGAATAGGATAAGATCAGATAGATAGATAGGCAGATAGATAGGACCCTGTCAGGAGACTACGTGCACCCTGGGCCATTTGAGATCGCGTCTGGCATGTTATTTGGGCTAGATTGAGTTGTGAGACAGACTACCAGCTCGCGCAAGGTTGATTCTGGCTGGACAGTGGCCACACTGCAGTGTGCGAAGTGCCATTAGACCGACACGGCAACCCGTCTTTGCATGCGCGTTGCGGTGTTGAACCAGCTTTTCAGGTGTCTTGTGGCAGTGCCGGTTTTCCGGTGACGCCGTGCTATCCCCGGAGATCATATCATATTGGCAAAAAGAGGTTATCTCTCCCCACAATCACCGTGATTTCCCCATGATTACACCCGTTTGCCAAGCACAACCCTCCTTGAGAGCCCGGCCGGCCAGCCCGATTCCATCTGGGCAGGTCCCAGAGAAATCATAGGCACCGGGACAGGCTTCTGGGGGCGGGAGAGGGTCTCAAACTCTAATTAGTCGGGGGACGGTAGATGCCGAGCAGGCGGCTCCTGGGCAGAACGGCCTCGCTAGCCGGCCAAGCCTCACCGGGCCAGCCTCGGCAACTTGGGCCATTCGCCGCGCATGACGGATGCCGGGACCGAATGACGTAGGGATATGCTCCGGATTATGCTGGGCGGCTGAGGCTGAGGCAAGGCTGTGTGACTTCATTGCGTGGTGTATGGTGTATATAACTTGTCGTGATCTCTTCATGCTCTTGGATTGGGTTGAGTCAAATTATTCAACAACATCTGACGATCAATCTCTCGTTCATTAAAAGTTGAGGAACAACCGCGACATTACACTACAGAATCGTTCCATATTGCGAGGTCATTCATTACATCTTTCAACAACTGAGCCACACCTTAAATCAAACCAAACGAGGACTGGACAGTTGGTTCGTCAGCCTGTCACTTCTCTACTATATCACACTAGTCCGCTGACAACCGACTAGCTAGCTCTTCACACAATTACCAAACGCACGAATAGAATCCACCAAAACGTTCTATTTTCACCCAAAAACCCACAATGTGTTTCGGACTGGGACCTCGCCGTCGTCCGGTATATTGTGCACCGGCCTACGGTCCACGCCCAGTCTACGTCGAGAAGAGACACTACTACGGAGGACACAGGCGACACTGCGGGCCACCACGAGGATACGGCTATGGACGGCCGATGATGGGCGGTGGTGGGTTCGGCATGGGGCGAAGGAGGTGCTAGTGCATCCACTGGTGGACTAGTTATGATGGTTGGAAGAGCGAGGATTTTGCATTGGGCACTACTGTGTTGATTTGCTTTGGGAACCTATTTGATATTCACAAGACTTGGGCTCCAGATCCGCTAGTCTTCACCTACGTGATACCTCTCAAGTGGATTATTATTAGCGAAGGAAGTTCGACTGTACTTTTGCTCTTCTTACGTCTCGTAAAAAATGTTCCAATGCATCGATATTACCAAATACTCTCTGGCCGCCGGAGGCCCTAGCTGCACCGGCGGTCCATGAGACAGTTATATTAGACGAGAGCACCATATGTGACTGTCAAATCCAACCCATACGCTATTGACCTGGACATACGATGTTTTGATAATTTCCGAACGCTGGCTAAGGATACATTGTGCATCATGGATTGTACAAATCACACGAAGTCCTTGATCATCCAGTTAACATTTTACGTAGGTATTGAGCAAGTTCTCGGGATTTTGGAACAATGCTAGTGCCGCGCCATCATTCACAATACGAGAGATGCTCTGCCTCCAACGAGAGCGAGCTGTGTCCTGGGGCCTGTTGTGACCTTCCCTTGAACTGGAAAACCACCCCGGTTGATTTCAATTGCATTGGCCAGCGCCCGGATAACCGCTAGACGTACGCGAAATTCCACAAAAACTTGCTCTAAGTCTACAGGCTCCGTCCTTAGAGATGCTATAGATTCAACTAGACGACGGCGCATGGGCGATCTCAACTTATAAAAGAAAGCGCACCCCCTCTGTCCTACCTGACAAAGAAGACATCTATTTGTCGTTCGCAACAACACCACAAGGTGATTCCAAAAAGGACACAATTCTTGGGATCACCCCCAAAAGTTCGCAACAACACTCACAGCTCAACACCAACATGAAGCTCCTCGCAGCCCCCGTCCTCCTGCTCGCCAGCATGGCACGCGCCGCGGCGCTCCCCCCGGTGCAGCGGTGCCCTCCTCTGGCCACTGGCGCCGATGCAGTCCCTCCTTCTGAAGACTGTTTCTCGCTTATCTTGGCCCCTGGCCCTGTCTTTCCTGACGACGACGGCCCCGTCTTCTCGAAAAACCCAGCTGAGGACGCCTCCAGCATCGCAGCTAGGGCCCCTTCTCCCGCAGGCGATACGGACGACATGCAAATACTTCGGAAGCTCCACGGAAAGGGTCCCAAGCCCGGCCCATACGACCCCAAGTTGACGCCCGCGCTGCCCTGGAACCGGCCACTGCGCGAGGGCGGCATGGAGGAGCGGGCCGTCGAGCTCAGCTAGCGCAGTGCCACGATGCACCCGCCCACCGTTGACACTGTCCCCAAAGATCGGCAGAGACCCCCTTTTCCACCCCCCTTTTCCCACAGTGCCCCTTGAGGCGCCAGATTGCCCTCCCATGTTGAAGTGCTCTAAGGGTTGGCGGGACCGTTTGAAGAATCTTAACAGCGAGCGTGAGCCGCATTAATCGCGCCGCCGTTCTTTGTCTCCGCATCCTGGGGCGATGACATCGGCTAGGAGTTTCTCTCGACGGTCCTGCCGAGGCTTGAGATTGCTGCAAGAACTAGCATGTCGCCGGGACTCCTCTCAAAGACGTCTGAGCTGAACGAGTTACACGATGGAAGTTGGGTTTGCTGGGAAGTGCTAGGGCACGCTCCGGAAGATGGTGGGACGGAGATTGGGTCTGACTCTTTTCCTGCTGATTTTGTGAAAAGGAGGGTATTGATGAGGGACGCAGAATCACGGGTTGAGTATGATGTAGGTGCACAGATTTGATAGTCAGTGTAGAAGTAATCTGTCCGATCGCAAATAGAGCATCCCGATTCCCTCATCGACAGGTTTTGAGAAGTGTCGCCATCACGCTAAGACTACAGAAGACACCGCCGAAGTTGTATCAGACTTCGGTGGTGGACATTGTTAACGATTCTCGATTTTGTGGATCTCTGGTAACAATCACGTTTCAATAACGTTACGCTCTCAGTCCCAACGGCAAGGTTATGCCATACCAGTGGTGTGCAAAATGTGCCCCAACCTCAAATCCCCAATCAACTCATTCAAAGTCCAGCGGCGAGAGTGTAACCACCATCAACGGCAAAATTCTGGCCATTGAGGTACTGGTTCGTGACCGCAAACAGCACTGCCTGCGCCATGTCGACGTCACGACCGGGACGGTTGGCCGCGAACTTGCCGTCGTACTTGCTCTTGGGGATGTGGCTCTTCTGGTACTCGTCGGACTCGCCGGCAGTCATCTCGGACGGGAAGACGCCCGGTGCGAGGCTGTTGATGCGGACCTTGTGGCCGTTGGCGGCGACCTCGGAGGCGAGCATGCGTGTGAGGTGGATGGCTGCGCCCTTGGAGGCGTTGTAGGAGAAGTGGTGCTGGGCCTTCTGGATCATGCCTGAGATGGAAGTGATGTTCAGGATGGTGCCTGACCAGCCCTCGTGGAGGTCTGAGGAGTTCTGCAGGAGGGGAAGGAAGGCGGCTGTGAAGGATGTCAATTGGTTGACCTGTGGTAGGCATATGGTGGAGGTCACTTACCAGATGTGAAGTAGACGGACGCGACGTTGGTGCTGTACGCGCTGGTCCAGTCCTGGAAGTCGACCCCCTCCGCGTCGAACAGGTTCTTCTTCATCTCCGTGGCGGTCTCGGTCTCGGTGGTGACGGTGTTGCTGCTGATGCCGGCGTTGTTGACCAGGATGCACAGGCACTTCTCGCGGGACTCGACCTCCTTGACCAGCTTGGTGATGTGCTCCTTGCTGGTGACGTCGAATCCCTTGAGTGGGATGATCTCGCCCTCGATGTCCTTGCCGTATGTCTCCACGACGTTGTCAAGCTTCTCTGCAGTGCGACCTGTGATGTAGACCTGTGCAATGTCAGCCTTTGGCTCAAGAGATTCACTCCCGTTTCTGGGGATTGTGTGAGGGCAGATCCTTGCTTACCTTTGCACCGTTGACTGCCAGGGTCTGGGTGATCATGAGACCAATGCCGCTGCCACCGCCAGTGACGAGGGCGACCCGGCCCTTTAGGTTGAATAGGCTGGTGCGGTTGAGGTCGCCATGGCTGGCTGCTGCGACGCTCTTGGTGGCCATTGTGGATGTTTGTGTTGTGGGTATCAACCGAGTGGCTCGAAGTGGATGAAGCAGTGGTGAGAACTGGGAGATAGTATGAGGTGGTTTGGTCGATGAAGTGTGAGATTGTTTGGCCAGGCTTGCTCCGACAGAGGCAGAGGTCAAGAAGCGCTGTGATGTTTGGGACCGTCCAGTAATAAATGGTCTGGCCTGGCGGAGGGGCAGGCGCGCAGTCGATGAGGTAGTTGAGGCAATCATGACGCGGCGAGCACGATCCAGGTCGAATCTACTGTTACAGGCAACAGAAATCGAACCATCTGGATTTCAAGACACGCTGCTTTGAGATGCAGGTGCCATTGGCTTTTTTAAGACCCCATTGCACAGGTGCATGTACATCCCTCGTTGAGCAGCACGTAGAAAACGCAGTCATGACGACGGGTCGTAAGGGTGAAGTGCCAATGACGAAATCCAACAGCACTCGGCCGAGACCCGCAGGAGGGAAAGCTCCGCTCTAGAGATCAGCAAATCCACTCGTGGCCAGAAGAAAGAGAAAACCAAAGCATTTTTGAATTATCCTGGATGTACTACTTTCTGATGAAGAAAAGAAATGTCCATATTGTGTGGAGATGCAACTAGGTGAGCATCAATGGAATCCAACATTGAAAGTAGGCACTGGTTTCCACAGTTGATCTTAGGGCGGCAGACCACGGACGCAGCTTGAATCAGTCTCAACGCAATTGGGAAATAATACAAATTTAGTCAAAATCTGCACCTGACAAAGTGGACAGACAATGTGGACACATAATCAGGCCGCAGCATGCAGGAGATGATCGGATCGTTGATAATTAGTTTCTTGCCTAGTATGTAGTTGAAATAAGAATATTCCACATCTCAGTTAGTTCTGCTCTGAGATATGTGACATCAAAACAGACCGCGTTCACTTCTTGATCATACTTTATACTTTGAAACCAATTCCAAAGGTACGTGTGAGGAAGAGCAAATGGAGATCGCATGCGGCCCTGACAAGTCAGTAGAGCGAATAGTCAAGCACTTCCGATATCAAGTTCAAGGCTCAATCACTACCAATTAGTTTCTGGTCTAGCCTGCTGATTATGACAAGTCTTGATCCGCCTCTTGCCTTTCCATCATCAGTCTCGTTTTATTCTGTTGGTCCAGGAACTTCAACTGCATCTGATAGTCCTGCAACGCGTGATTGCTGCGCCCTCTCTGTTTATGCGCGAGAAGTTTGGCTCGCGCCCTGGTCTGCTCATCTGAAGAAGCATGGAGATCAATCATCGGTTGCAAGAGACTCTTCAGGTAATCTCCGCCCCGTTCCTCGACATCGAACAGAACTCCCGCGATAAAGCTGTCTGAGAATCCTTTCTCCAGTAGATATTTGACGATGGTGATGTTATTAGGATTATTCATTGAATCTCCGCAAGCTTGTGAGATCCAAAGCTCTGCGTCCTGCTTCCATTCTTCTATGCCACGGGACCTGAAATGCGACGATTCGAGGAGTACTCGCACAGTGTCCGGCTGCGCGAGCTCACATGCTCGATAGACTAGAATATGCAAATGGCCATTTGAAATTTCGACTTTCGGCCAATTGAGTAAAAGATGGACTACATCTGGATGATTGTGCATGATGGCAACATACATAGGTAAGTTGTCGTAGGAATCGCCCAAATTGGCTCCCCACTCTAACAACAACCTGCAAGCCTTGACATGACCGCTTTTGGCAGCGCGGCAGAGAGGGATTCGGTTCTCTGGCCATTTTTTGCTTTCAGTCAATGTACCTTCGACTGCGATACCAGATTCCAAACACGCTAGCATTGCAGCGAAATCATTCCGGCCAGCAGCCTTCACGAGTGTGTCGTCTCTTGGCCTTATAGCTTTGGGAAACCGTGGTTCATCTCCCACCGGGCTGTGATACGTCTTCGTGTGATTTTCCAGCTCGTTCATGCTGGAGTACCCTAGTTGAAAGGCGAAACAGCCTCCCTCTGGGCAGCGAAAAGGGCGGTCATGGCTGTGTACATGCGTCTGGCGATCCTCATTCTTGTCAAATCCCATCAAGAAATAGTCACACCAGATCTTCGGACACTTGTATCTGACCTCTTTTCCGTACACATTGCTGATCAACGCCTTGGCTTCGGGTGACAAGTCTTGGACGCGGATTTGCTCAATGGCTGTCCGTATATCCAGGGTGCGGTACTCAATAGTGAATCTGTTGGCCCTTTCTCTCTTGTCCTTGGGCAGCTGGCGGAAAAAATCGGCTATGTCATTGTGGGATAGTGCAGCCAGGTTTTCTGGAATCGGCAGGCTGTATGTTGCAAGAAATTCTCTGGCGGACTCCATGGTTTGTTCCAGTATATCTTGGTGGGATTCAAGTCCGGTGCAACTCTCGAAATGATCGAGGCAGTGCTGAATCGCATAGTCTTGGAAACCATAGTAGCCCTCCTTGATATGCAGTGATATACTCTCTGTACTCGCGCGAAATGGCTTGGATGTGAGGTACCGGAAACAGAACATGGCAGCCTTTGCATGCTCTAGAACACTGTTGATCCAGTGTTTTTGAATAAGATATCTGGTTCAAATTGTTAGCTGAAACGGAACTGTGGCATGACCTCCTGCACATTTCTTACTCGCGCGCACTCCCGTGGACGATTGTGACAATGTCATCTGGCCCTGGCTGGCCGTACAGGACTTGATGAACGTCGACCAACGATCCGCAAAGCTGTTTGCATGAGACTCTGAGCCTTTTGTCTTCATAGTCCATGGTGTTTGACTCCGAATCGATACAGAAGATTGATTGAATCTCCCGCCAACGTAGAGGCCTCGCAGCGCACGTGACCCAGCCGAGTATCTTTGATGCGTATTGATGCGCGGAGGGTGGCGATTCCTTGAGGATGCGGATGGCGACTCTTTCGTATCTTATAATCGCGAATTAAAAAAGTCCATTTTGTTTGGGGCTATGTAAATCACTCACGCCTGGTCGATTCCCTGTGGAAACGTATCTGGCTCCAGTTCCCGATTTAGGTCACATAGTCTTACCTGGGCCAGAAGGTTGTCCAGAACAACTCGAGCATATAGAAACATCCCTTCGAGATTTTAAGCGACCTCAAAAGACGGCTTGCTAGGTATTGATTGTCTTCGTGCTTACCATTCGCTCGACTAGACACCTTGGAGATTATCTCGTCCTCCTTTGTTGAGGCAATGTCAAGATGTTGTCGAATTTTGGCACTCATATGCTCACAGTACTTCAGTATGTCCGTGCTATGCCCAGAGCTCGACTCCAAGGCGATGGCAGGTTGGTCCGAGAGAAGACTGTCCAATGACCCGTCACGTTGCCCACTGCAAAGGACTCGGACTGAGGTTGTGGGCTCCCTGATCCGTCCGTTCACGAGTGAGAGCAGCCAGGTGAGTGACTTCGCAGCCTCCCCGGAAGCGGCCTCATCTAGTCCATCTACAACGATGAAGGATCGTTGATATGTTTCCAGGGCCATGGAAATTAGTGACTCTAAATATCTCGTTGACCGTAATTGCATCCCGTCAACTGATGCAAGCTTGTTGAACAGATGATCAGATAGAACAAAGTCTCGAGAGATTATTTGTTCTATCATGGCCCGAAGAAGACTATTGTGTGTGTCTTTCCTGGGTTGCTTGTGCTTGATGTAGAAATACATTATCAGGGTAGAGTGGTTGTCATTGCTGTTGCTATTCTCATCTAGCAAATTGGCAATGATAGATGATATTAGAGTTGTCTTACCTTTGAAATTGTCAGCATCGAAGACTGCGCACTGTCCTCTCAGAATAACAACATATTCCTTACCTGCACCCGGTATCCCGTGAACGTAGAGGACACTATGTCGAGTGGCTGTCTTGTTGGCCCAGTGCTTAAAAGCTGGGGATTGTAATACCCAGTTGCCGGAATCGGTCTCATCCCGAGCCTCGGATGCCATCTCCTGATCTTGTTGATAATCTGCGGCCTCAAGCTGATTCTTGATCTGAAGAAGATGCCATTTGCGCTTTTCAATCTCATCTTGACGAAGTTCTTGCTTTTTTGCCTCATGCCTGGCTGCCATCTCTTCTCGAGCCTTGGAGATCTCGTAGAGTGAAGCAGATCCCTTCTCACTTTCGAGTAAATCACGGCGGTTGGCAAGGCTTTGAAGCAGAGGCTGGAACTCAGTATCAAATGTCTTCCAAGCTGCTTTGACGAGCTTCTTCCATGCTGTGTGATGGCAAACGTCGCGTTAGTGGCGATCGATGTTGGGCTGTATAGCACCCGATCGAACAGTCTCGGATTTAGATGTCTACTCACTGGGTCTGATGAATACCTTTAGGGCTGCCTCGTGAAAGCGTAGGATATCCGAGTAGTAGTCTTCGAGTACAGTGGCCAGCGGGGGATGCCTTTCAAACATGGACCGGTACGCCATCAAACCTGGAATCCTAAGGCCGATTTCTTCGTATGCATCGAGAAGTTTGTCGAAAGACTCAACATGTGTCTTTGCGATCTAATGATCACAAGATATTAGCTAGGCCTGATACGCGTATAAGTCGGGAAGTAAAAGGTTCTTGAGTCTCACCCCGAGGAGGAATTTCATTGGACCCTAGCATTGCATTGACCCAAGTTAACCCTGTCACACGAAGTTGTAGGAATTTGAGAAGCATCCGCTCACCCAAATGAAGCAGACCAGGTCATTAGCGTTCACGAAGACCTCGATCGATTGACCTAGTTGCTCCATTGCCTCGATGAATCCCTGGAGACGCCGCATTCTGCGAAGACGACCATTTTGGCCCATTTCAGTCTGCATGTCATGACAAGCTGTTTGGAGGTCTTGGATAGTGCTGAAAGAGAACTGATTTAGAAGATCTGGGGATCTTGTGGACAGCGAGCGCTTGAAACTCGTCAAAGCTCTCTGGAAGCGGTCCGGACTCGGCCCTGTCATCTTGGCTTCGGGCTGGTTTCGAACGTTGAATTCTTGACGACCTAGAATTTGAAGTTGGCCGGTGGGGTTAAAAATTGTCGAATTCAGGGGCATTCGAAATGTGATGTGGTGAATGGGAGCCTAGTTATGAGCTGGGGTTGCGTTTGTCAGATGCGCAGACTTGGCCACGTCATCTGACGGGCTTGGAAGGTAATTGATGGTAGGCCCTGAGTTGCTGAGAATTTGGGGCAGTGTGCAGGAGCTGCAAGTTTCAGTCCAATGACAGAGCACGATGAGTCTCGAACATCTCGCTTGTCTCACTGTCGATAAGCTGTTGTGAATAATTTTAAACTACCCCTCCCACTTCTAGTACCACGAACAGACGAGCCTTAGAATAAGGTAGTGTGCAGGAACGCGCAGATTTGCACATGCACATAACCTCTTTAACTACGATACAGCAACTATCGACCTGAGTGTGATCTATTCCACGGTTAAACATTATCACAGAGCTGAGGATCCCTGAATTGCGAAGGTCTCGCTCTGTTTTCCACATGCCGCTTGGCTGCGGCAAAAGTGAAGAGGCCCCCCAAAAGTACCTAATCAAACCGATTCATCATGTTGAACGAGTTCGAGACTGAAATTTGCTATGGCGCGGTGAGAATAAACTATCTGGCCCCCGGCAAGCTAAGCATTGAAACTGAAAGAACCAGTTATTCGACGCCTGGGCCAAGCCATGTGGAAACTGGAATCTCATAAGACATGCAGCAACTCAAGCGTCAAACCTCTTCTCAACGTTCAGCCTCACAGAGCATACCAAGGGAATACTCTCAATGTCCTTTGAGCACGCCCAGGTTGCCATATTGGATGTGCAAATGACCTCTAAGTTGGTGGTGTTGCGTCAAATCTCCGACGTGAGATGTGAGGCTGTGGTCCCAAACCGCACTATTCTCAAGCGAAAGGCCAAGTCCTCGTCACCTTTCCAGATTTCCATCAATATATTCGGTCCAAGAGAGGCTGCTGATGGGGTTTCGGGGGCTTTAGCCAAAGTTCACGCGTTTCTTCAGCACCCTCAAACTTTGAACGTCGATGTCGAGTACCACAACCCGGACATGTTGACCCTTCCCGGGCAGAAGACTGCGATGAACGACCTCATTGGCACATCGCAATTGCTATTGGAAGAAAGTAAATTGTCGCGAGATATTCGTGGAATACTTGAGTCGTTGGGTCAGGTGGCGGAGGGTGATGAACTGGGCTATCTCGAAGGCCTGGTCTCTACACTTACGCAGCATCAACAGCAGGGTGTTCAATTTGTTATCCAGCGAGAAGATGACTTATTCTGCCGGCAACTCTCAGCACGTATCTCGCAGATAACTGGTTCTGGTTCTCCTATGCAGGCAGATGGCATACTCTTTGGACTTGGTGGTCTGATCGCAGATGTCATGGGCATAGGGAAAACTCTGACGATTCTCACTTCGATCTTGCACTCGGCAAACAAAGCCCAAGACTTCAGTTACTTTGGTCGCCCAGTATCAGAATCTGAAATGAAACATTCGCTAACCAAAGCAACCTTGGTGGTGGTTCCATCTGTCCGTAAGTTTCCAGTCTCTGAGATCAAACAAGGTCGGCAAGCAAAGAAGGGTTGACAATTAAATTCAGAGCTGATGGAAAACTGGGAATCCGAGATCTCAAGGTAAATGAGTTTAGGTTTCTCTAGCATGGTCAAGATGAGTCAAAGTGAGATTGATGCCGTGTTAGGCACTTCTCGATGCATACCCTTCGACATATACGATTCCACGGTCCGAATCGGCCGCAGACTGTGGAGGCTCTCACAGCACCGGACATAGTTATAACAACATATGCTACCTTGGCTACAGATCACGACAGTCGGGGGCTTCTATATCGTATGGAATGGTACAGAGTTGTGCTTGATGAAGGTGAGTTTCATAGTCTCTCCCCTCTTATATATCCTTGCTCAACCTCCCATCAGCTCATCACATACGTAATTCTGCTTCGAAGCAATGGAAAGCGGTCGCAAACCTCCGGTCAATACGGAGATGGTGTCTATCAGGGACGCCGATTCAGAACAAGATGGAAGATCTTGCCTCACTTGCGGGATTTCTCCAGCTTCCTCCCCTGAGCTCAAAGGACTCCTTCGAGAAACACGTCTTGAGGCCTCTATCAGAATCGGGCACTAATTCAAAGCCATTGCGGGCATATATGGAGGCTTATTGTCTCCGGCGTTCTGAGTCCTGCCTTTCACTTCCGGCCAGTCGCGAGGAAGTCGTTCCACTGTACTTATCTCCTCCAGAGCGGGAAGTTTACGATGGGGTCCTAGAAAACGCTCGAAGGCAGATTGACGATATGGTCAGCAGTAGCAAGCATGCAGGTGTGCGTTGCTCCAAGTTGTTCACAGCGCTATTGCGGATGCGGATGATTTGCAACACAGGAACCTACGCATCGACTCAAGACCCTCGCGGTACATTAACGAGTCAATCGCTTCTGAAGCCGAGAAGCTTGCAGTCGCTATGCGAGCGATGCTCAGCAACTGATGGAGACACTCTCATGCTGCTTTCCACCTGCGAGGTCTGCCCAGACTGCATGAGACCCTTGCACCAGCGATCTCCTAGCCCACTCTCTTCTCTTGCATCTTGCCTGGAAAACGTGGCCGTCAGCGCGAACGGGAGGGAATTATCCACGAAGTTGGAGGCCGTGGTGGGAAGGTTGGTCAGCGCAAGCAACTCAAGAAACAAAGCGTAAGTCCACAGATCCAGCTCTTCTGAAGGCAGTGTAATCGCCTTGTTAACTCCAGACACAGAATTGTGTTCTCCTATTGGAAGACTACACTGCACATTTTGGCCCGTCTACTACGAGCTTCCGGTGTCGTGTATCTGCAAGTCGACGGAGAGACTAGCTTTGTCGACAGATCGAATCGTTTGCGAGCCTTCAAGGAAGAATCCAAAGCCTATGTCTTGCTCATGACCGTCGAGACTGGTGCTGTAGGGTAAAGTCTCCCTTGCCCCTTCGACGCCTCTCGCACTCGGGCGATCCATGGTCGTGAACCTTTGGCAATAGACCTGCTGACACGTTGACCTTGACCAGCTTGAACCTGACAGTAGCAAATCAAGTACATATCGTCGAGCCACAATGGAATCCATCAGTTGAAGAGCAGGCTGTGGCACGAGCGGTGCGGATGGGCCAAAAGCGCGAGGTCACGATATATCGATACGTGTTGCAAAACACAGTGGAACAGGTTAGTTACCCATAAGCTGAACTCCGAAGCTTCTGCTGAACACGTTCCAGAATATAGTCAAACTCCAAGAGAGGAAGAGAAGCTTGGCCAAATACACACTAGGCACCAAGTCAGATCAAAGTATCTCGGATGCAGTGCAGGTAAGACTTTCATAATCGAAAATGCTGCAACCTCGAATCTGGACGGCTTGTTCTGATGGACATTCTATGCAGGAGTTAGAAAGCGTTCTGGAGCTGAACCCACGGAAAAGAGGGTTGGATGAATGATGATGAATCAGGAAAGTGTGTAAATGAGAATACCAGAAGAAATTTTGTTAACAGGACAGCTAGCCAGCCAGAGAAGATGGCAGGGTTCAGTGCTTGGGTTAATTAGATTGACGAAATGGGGTATAATTCCAGGGAGGTGACACACTCCAGCAATTCGTGATAAAAATACAGGGCCAGTCTCGTCCTTGAGGTTGAAGGAGAAATGAAAAGAAAGCAGAAGTAGAGCTTGATGCGTTTGGAATTTAGAAGTACAAGCTTGAATTCGGGCACAGTGTGTCAACTAACTACACTGGATCAATTCAACTAAACTAAGTGGGTGGGTTTATGCCAATTCTATCCATTCCACTGAAGGAATATTTTTTCCCGTTCCATTCCACTAACAGTTTAGTGGATGTAATTGAATTGAAATAAATGGATCAAGGGGGGGGGTAGAGGGAAACCTTTTCCCTCTCCTTTTTTCCTCTCCCTTTTTCACTCTCTTATCTAATCTAATCTAATCTCTTTATCGTTATCGATTAGATAAGAATTAAAAAGAGGTTGATTATTTAAGCGGTTTTTTTTTTTCCTTCCGGGGCTTTGCCCTAGACCCCGATAAACCCATTTCTTTCCATTCCATTCAACTAAATTACACTAAAAGGCTTTAAAAACCAATTCAATTCAACTGAAAGCTGGAAATTTTCCATTCAATTACATTATAAAGTTCAATAGATGTAATTGAATTGGTTGACACTCTGTTCGGGCACTCGCTTCGCGGCTACAGCATCTCTAAAATAAGTCAAAGGAAACAGGGAAAGTATAGGATACCCTTTTATAGGACACCCTCTTATAGGACAGCCTCCTATAGGATAACCTCCTATGGGATAACCTTCTATAAGATAACCTCCTATGGGTAACCTCCTATGGGATAACCTCCTATGGGATAACCTCTTATGGGATAAACTATGACTGGATGTAAATAGTGGTTAAGCGAACGGGAACTATCAAAACTAGATTTATCTTTCTTTGAATCGATTTCGCTTGTTTTAAATAGTCTTTTTCGCTACTAAGTATTAAAATAGGACATCTCTGGAGTGATATAGATTTGTGTATCTCCAGCCAGATACAGGGGAGAGATTGTATTGAGAATTCTAGATTGCATTTTCCGTTAGTAATTAGATCTTGATCATCGTAACAGACTACCAGATAGTATCGAGTGGTTCCTCACATTGAGATGTCTGCGGCTGGAAAGAAAAGGGGAAAAGGATTCGCCAAGGTCTCATCACACACAGTAATTATATCCCACGGCCGCACACTTGGGCGCTCCGGGACGTACCTTCCTTCGACCACTCCATGCGGTGGATGACGACAGATCTGAATCAGCTCAGAATCAGGGGCAGCTCGCCTGAATCCATAAACTGAATTTATGCGGGCACCATCTATCTGGGTAAAGAACGCGATCCAGAGGGCTGGCCCGCTGAAATCACTTAGGCGGGAGCTATAACTGATTACGGAGTATTACCCAGGCCTCATGCAAATGCCAAAAGTGAACTTACATACCTAAGTTAGATATATAAGGAAAGCCACATCACATCCGCAAATACGAATCAAATATCTACTTGACAAACTGAACGATGCAAGGCGCAATTGGTGGTAGTGCCTTGGAGACCATGGTAGCAGCGAGATAGGGGCAGTCAATGACGGTGAGTGCCATAAATTCATTTGCTCGTATAGCTGTGTGTCTATCTAGAGACCGACTGTATGGTGCAGTCCGATGAATTAGGTGCTGGGTAGAGATGAAGCTCAACAGGCGGGCGTGCCTTACGAGCATCCGGGGGCTGCCAGTGGTCTCTGCTTGACGTGATATGGCCTGCAGAGCTATTTTGAAAAGCTCTGTTCCACTTGTACTGGCACGGCGCGTGGCCCGTGAAACGGGTTGCAACACTGGGGCCTTCAGGGTTACATTTCAGGGCGTTCCGTGCCCAGTCTACCCAACCGCTCATCCGCATCTGTATGAACCTGTAGCGATATACGTGCTGCTTGACCACCTCGGTGGGCACGCGCACGGCGCACGCGGCCATCTCGCCCAGGGACGCGGCCAGCATGTGGTCCACGGCGCTGCCGCTCTCGTCCTCCCTACTGCTTTTTCTGTGTTGGAATTGCTGCCCAGCGCGCGTTGCCGCGCCCCGGCGGGGGCCGGCTTGGCTTGGCGGCAGAACACGCCTTAACCCCCGTTCTTCCCGCCAGCCTTGCTCGATCCAGACACCTGGCATGGAGGTGGATCATACCAGGGACAGGTAAAGCCCTTGACTGGATGCATGAGCTGTGTTGTGAGGGGGGGGGGGCCTCGTTGCCATGTAGAGTTTGTGGTCAGAGATCTCACTTACAAGAGACCGTATCAAACGCTGCCTGGCGAAGCAGACACGGTCGGGATATATGCCGGGTCAATTCCTTCTGATTCCTGCCTGTGCTTCGCCCTCTCCTCCCTCTTTGCAGTTCCCAGCGCACGTAGGTCCGACACATCCTCAACCAAAACAGCCTGTCCTGCTGGGCAAGCCGAAGTACGGTCCAGGTCTTCGATGAGGTTCTGAAGAATCCCCGGGCTCGTGACGCAGACGTAATAGCAGTTTTCTCTGCAGACCCTGCCAATGGCACTGGGTTCGTATGGCGAGAAGAAGTCCCAGACCTGAGGAGGCTTGCAAAAGTCCACCGGCGGGAGATGCAGCTGCCCCTCGTCATCTGTCGCCTTCATTGCATCTGCCAGTGACTGACCGGCTCGACCCTCTTGCCCGATATGTGGCGCAGGGACCATGGTGATCTTGGCAACGTGGGGATATCGCGAGGGTGGCCCTGGTCGCTTGCTGAGCAAACCCCGGCTCCTCTCTGTTCCTTTCAAGCGATTTTGTTCCTTCCGATATTTGTTGACCCTCAGGACATGCTCTAGTTCTTTGATTCTTCGGAACTGCACGTTCTCGTGAGTCAGGCACGCCATGATGGCTAGGGCTCTGAGTGCGTCATTGCCGGCGTGGTGGAGGTCGGCCGGCTGATAGCCCGCAGGAAATCCAAGACTCCTCATCGCGTATCGAAGCGAGATCTGAAGACCATCGAGCCTTGTATAATTTGTATGTGAGTGATAAGCATCCCTGACAATCGGCTGTACGTCCACCCAGTTCGAGAAGAGGGGATGAAGTTGAGGCATCAGGGTCGAAATGGCGCTCAACTCTGCGCGTGAGGAGTAGGTCACCAATATCAACGGCTTCTCAGGTTCAATCTCCTTGAACCCTCGAACGGTGTCTATGACCTTGGACGCAACATCCTGAATATCAATATCTTCGTCTGCCTGGCCCCATACCCGCTCTCGCGTTGGCTGCGATCTCTCAAATCCCCGAATGTTGAAGCAAATAGAGCGAGCGAGAGATGCCCCACCCTCCGGGCAACCGACATCAGTCATGGCTGCGGGATGGATGGGATGCTCAAACGGTTCGAGCTCAGAAGCGAAAGCAAGGCCGATAGAGGAAACACCACTCCCATGCTCTGTATCCATGGCGACCAAATTTGCATGGCCCATGTATTCGCGGAGCGTGTGAAGTACGCGAATGCGACTTCGTACGAATGAGTTGAATTCCGTGGTGTAGCATGCATGTGTGGACGAGCTGTGTGGCTGGTCATCTTCCTGGATCGTCATGTTCATTGGTTCTGACTTGTTTGCAGGCTCGTTTGCTTTCCGTAGAAAACACTTTGAATATGTGTTGCATGAAACGTAGGATGATCAATGAAGTGCGATGTCCCAATTTGTTTTCCTCTCCTTTTTTTTTTTTTTTTGCTTCTCGTGTGGTTGAAATAGGGCGCCTTGCATTGATTTACCATCTTCAAAGCACGCGTTGGTCGATCGACTGTATGTGAAGGTGGTCGTTGAGATTGGGCACTACGTCTGCATGGCCCAGAGGCACAAATTGAGTGTAGAAAGATGTTGATTTTCATCGAGGGTTGCCTGGCTTAAAAAAAAATTAAGGTCTTATCGCGGAGGCTTTAGCAGCAAGCTAGATGTTATCGATGTTTCCGATGGCTCTCACGGCCGCTAGTTGACGTTAAACTATACAGCACTGGGAAAGCACTTGCAGTATGTCTCACGGCCACTAGCAATTCATCGACTGATTCGCAGCTAAGCAACGGGAGGCCATGCTTGAGGCCTGTTCTAGATTTCTAGACCGGCCATGGTGGTATTGTGCGGGTCCTGCCAATTTGTGCATGCAACATTGAAGTACCGAGTTGCAGCGTCTGGACGGGGTGCTTCGATCCTAGATCCTGGTAAGTCAAACGGTCGGCACATAAATCTTGCAAGGATGTCAGATTTGACGACGATCTTGCCTCCACAAATGACCTGTCAGCAACCCCTAAGCACAGCCAAATGGCCCCCAAAGGGGCACGGGAGAGCGAGCATCCTGTGTCCAATCGTAGGCCACAGGCACCACCTGTCGCTCTATTCTTGGTGGATCCCGCCCCCGTGCCCTGAGCCTCCAGCAGCGGGCAGCGCCTGTCGAGGCACGGTGGATCCTCAAGGATTGCAGAGCTTCTGTCTGTTCAATGACCTGATTGGAGGCCGGCTGGTTCAATTATTGGGCGGATATTCCCATCCAGCGCCACTCAGGAGGCCCATTCCTGCGCTGGATCCGTACTAGCTAGACAGAGGATAATAACCACCAGCATTCGAAATTAGTGGTGGGTGGTCTTGGATAGGAGACCTAACTCCAGGAATGATGCCGAGCATGAGACGGCGCAGTGAATATACAAATACCAGGGTTCCATCCAGCCTGCTTCTGAGGCATCCAGAATGCCATCCCGCTCTCACAGGCTGCACGCCTCAATAGACCACTCTGAGGCTCAGGCTCAAGTCTTGAGCCGAACGCCGGTTCCGTTACGTCGTTGAACCCGCCATAATGAAGCTCACCGCTGGCTTGCTTCCTGCTCTCGCCCTGAGCGCACATGCGTTCACCATACCTTTCATTGCTCAGTCTCACTTCGACGTCAACGACATCCTCGCCCTCGTATCAAAGCTGTTCCCCTTCGATGTCACCTTAGAGGCTGCTCAGAAACTGAATGTGGCCGCAGAGGAAGCACTCGCACTGGCTCTGGGGTTCAAGACGACACGGCAGGACCTCAACGACGGGACCTGTGGTGATCTGTTGGTGGTATTCTCAAGAGGAACGCAGGAACCGGGAAATGTAGGAGCCCTGGTCGGACCGCCCTTTTTCAAGGCTCTGGAGGGAGCCTTAGGCAGTTCTCATACGCTGGGCGTGCAGGGCGTCGACTATGATGCGACGGTCACAGACTACCTGGAAGGCGGTGATCCGGAAGGAAGCCAGGAGATGTAAGTCTCGCCGCTGTGCAATACGGAGTATGTGAAGAAGCTCCAGCTGACTTGGCATGAACAGGGCCTCACTTGTGACCAAAGCCTTGAGCTCCTGTCCCAACTCGAAGATCGTACTGAGCGGATACTCTCAAGGTGGGCAACTGGTCCACAACGCAGCCAAATTGTTGCCAGCAGAGACCATGCAGGCAGTCAGCTCGGTTGTGATCTTTGGGGATCCAGGTTTGTCTGCTCTAGATCTTGTAGCGCGTCTATTTCGTTTACACACCCGCTGACTCATAACAGACAGCAGCCAAAGTGTGGAGAATGTGGATTTGGAGAAAGTCATGGTAGTATGTCACCAGGGGGATGATATCTGCCAATTCGGCGACTTAATACTTCTTGATCATCTGACCTATGCTCAAGACGCAGATACGGCGGCTGCGTTTGTCGTGTCTAAAGCAGGGTTTTGATCAGCAGACATAGGAAGCGCACAAATCCAAAACCCTGCTAACAATTCAACAAGCATCATCTTATGTGTTCAAAGGACGTAGACCCATTGAAGGCTGTACTCGGTTTTGGTGAATGCTATCCTGGCTAACGGCTCTCATGTATTGGGCTGGAGCCTCACTTTGATTCAACCATTCGCTGCCCTGGCACCTCCAGGGCCATGTCCCATCTCCAAGGAATTTTTCCTCCACCCAACCTTGAACGCTATACGAGCACATATCTTAACTTCCTCCTGTACGTTGACTTTGCAGCTTCCCGCAACGGTCGAAATAAGCTCTCATGCCCAGTCTCCCTCTGCTGTCTTCTCAGCGTCTTGGAACGATGAGGCATCCTTATCAGCATCTACACCCCTATCATAGCTTTATATGAACTCAGCTACGACAGCGAGGCTTCATCAGGGGCCCTCATGCCACTTTCTGCCACTTCTTCCTCGTGAAAAGGGCGCAGATCCAGAGTGGTGCCTTCAAGATAGGCTTTGAGAGGTGAGATCATGGAATAAGGCCCCACGCAATTAAAGCTCATAGAAACCCTCATTCGGAACATATCTTATAGGAACATGTCTCGAGAGCTGAATTGTTGAGGAACATCTCTTATTGAATAACTTTTTGTATCATTACTTATTACACTTCCTCCGCGACGCCGCAATATACCAATTGTTTGCATTAATGGTGGTGTCTCATCTTACGCAGCCCATTCAAGTCAGCGTATGCCTAACTTGCAAGGCCCCTGGGTAGCGCCATAAGTTGCTCTATATTTGACACTCATGCCGGCAATGGCCTCCTATTCCCCTGGATTGGCCCGAGTCCACGGGGATGTCGCAAAAGGTATATGTGGTTCCCAGATCTGGAGTGCCAGTTGGTGGCAGTATGAATGAGTCACTTGTAATCTGCTGCCAGCTGGCGCCTGTGCCGTGTAGTACAATTTGTGTCACAGCCCATCACTAGCACATGACAGCCGAGGCGCACTATGAGTGGCGCTACGGGCTGGCAGATGCGTAGCTCTAGAGCTTATTCCACCAAGACTCAGTGGTACTTTCCTTGAAAAGCGCTCAATTTCCTAAGGGTTGGCACCTTGGTGTGACTGTTAAGTATAAATAGCAGTAGGCGGTCGAAATGTGGTGCTTAGAATCCCTCCAAAACCGCAAACTCAACTTATCACCTGTATTGAACCACCTTCAAGTTTATTGTGCATCGCAATCATCTGATCCACATGGTATACACATTCAAGACCGTCGGCGATAATGGCACCATTTCACCTTTTTTTTGACCTTCCGAAAGAGCTGCGAGATAGGATCTGGGATATGGCGATCCGAGATGATGACGCAGCCGTCCACTTCTTCACCATCTATGACAACGATAGCGATCCCGATTCTGTTGTCAACCCAGCCACAAAGGTCCATGCCACAAGAGATTCTGAAGATTCTGACATTGTGTTCCGCATCGGCTTCGCAGCCCCCCGGCATCGGGGAAGTGACCAGCTCTCATGGACAGAAGAAAATATCTCTACTTATATGATAGATTCGGGCCTGTGGACAGCGTGCCACGAGTCCCGCGAGAGAATGTTGCGGCATTTCAGGCCGTCCGAAACTAGTCCACAGGTTTCTAAACGCATGCAAGTGGACTCGAGAACAGTGGACAGCATATGCGAGAAGCCTACAGCCTCAATCAATATGGAGTTCATCCGCGATAGCGGTGAACGCCAGTACCTAACTATACGCCCTTCAATAGACCTGCTTTGCCTCCAATTACCTAAGAATTCCAATATCTCATGGAGTAGTAGCAGATATGACTGGGGATGGATTGCACACTTCCCATTGTTTAGGTGGCATAGCCATAAACCCTTTTCATGGTACTCATCGCCCATTTTGAATGTTGCGGTTGAGTATGACCCAGCATGGGAGATCTTTGATGGCCGAACAGACTATGGTCCTTTTATAGAAGTGACTGACGGCTTCAGCAAAGTTGACGAAATATATGGCCTCAAAACTTTCTGGTTTATTGACTACCGGCTCAAGCGCAAATACAAATCCGACAATAGAGAGCGCCAGACCTTTTGCGCTGGCAAATTGACCTTCATTGAAGTCGATGTAACGGATCGGGAATGGTGCTTTTGCCCCGGAGGAGGGTGTTCAGACGGATGTGTCCACACCTCACAGAAATTTATCAGTCACGGTGCGCATGCTCTGATAGACAGCGTGGAGTCGTACAACGAGTCGCAGACCAACGGGCCGCCTGGGTATGAGGATTCGTTGGACATTCATCTGGGGGCTGACATGAGAGTCCTCGCCTGCGTGGACCTGGAATCGGAAGGGGAGCTGCCGACAATGGAGGAATGGTACGAGATATATGACCCGGATTGAGGACCTGTCACATTGGCATTCGCTGTGAGGCTCAGCAAATTTTGGCGACCTGTAGACATACCGGTAGCAACGAACAGTTTAACAAATTCAATTCAATGCATGTGCTAGATTTCAGCTTTTGCAGCTGATTCAGATTTGTCGTCATCCACCGCATAAAGTGATCGAAGGAAGCTAAGTTCGGGAGCGCCCAGGCGTGCGGCCGTGGGATATAACTACTGTGTGTAATAGAATCTTAGCAAATTTTTATCCACTTTTCTTTTTAGCTATAAGTATTTTTTTTATAAGACGCTACTTAACACTATTTAATAATTTATCTCACCATCACTTGTGCATGCCCATCGTGACGCCTCTCCATCTCACCGCACTTGCATCATGAACTCACCTATTGTACTCACTACCTAGGTAGCACTGCTTGCCTTCTTCCCGCCATCTCATGATTCCCTGCACGATCTGCCTGCCGCAAATTCGTCGCTCGTTCATCGACCACAAAGTGAACAATATGTAAGGTGCACGAGTAAGTAGAAAGACATTCTTACGTTGTGTTTCAAAAGGCTCTATTGAGACTGAAGACAATTATGTATCAAGGAAAGCCTCTTAGCAACAACGCCCCTGGTATAGCAACTCGGAATACATGCTTTGCCACAGTTTCACACGGAACAGATTATAAAAGCTGAACTTAGGGCAATTGTGTTGTCAGCAAATGAGAAATTGCTTTCCCTACAGTAGGCGAAACGCAACAACCACCTAACACGTAAATGCACATACGGAGAAGACAGCCACCGCCGATACTAGTACCTATTTAGGGAGCTGGGGTTTTCGTCCCGTCCCACCAAGGAAAGAATCTCTCTCCCTCCGCCAGCAGCTTCAGCCGGCAAGGCGCACCACTCGCCTCGCATCCCTCATAGGGCTGGTTATTGCCCCACCAGGGGACCTCGATCGCAGCCCACTGCACACTAAACAGCATGACGATACCCGCGATGGCGATACCGGCGCTGAAGGCCGCGGAGAGCACGAAGTTGTACTTGGACCAGAAGGCCAGGTACCTCTTGCGCACGTAGATCCAGCTCAGCCACGCGATGGGCACGGCGGGGAAGGCGTACGAGAACGAGTATGGGGCGAAGTTGACACCGCCGTAAAAAATGGCCACCGGGTGCAGCTGCCTCACGAAGCGCGAGATTCTGGGGTTGCGGATGTACTTGACCATCAGCCAGATGGTGATGGTTACTGCGACGCCGATGGGGAAGCCCAGCAGCGTTGCGGCGTATTGTCCGTTCACGCCGAAGACCTTCAGAGGGCCGATTGTTCCCCACAGAACTGAGGCTGTGAAGAAGGTATTTGGTCCCGGGCAGAAGAACCGCATGGGTGGGTTTGTAGGCGAGCAGACATCTGGGATGTTGATCTGGTGATCGACGTGTTAGAAGTGAAAAGCATACGAGATCACGGCAGTCGGTGCAAGACTGACCTGGAAGTTCATGACGCCTGTGCAGACGAGAGTCGATATAAGAGTGGCTATCATTTGAGCGGAGAAGGTATGTCTGGGCGGGATCTAAGGAGGAATTTGTTAGCTGAGCTGGGAGGACTTGGCAACTGGCTGAGGTTGGTCACCAACCTTGACATAGTGAGCAATTTTCAAGTCATTGGCGAAGGAAATAGCGTGAGCGCAGGTAACGTAGCCGAAAGATTTGAAGTAATTCATCGCCAACTATTTCGCGCCGTAGTCAGTTTTGCTGGTTCACACCGAAGATGGGTGGGTCCATTAAAGCTTACCGCATTTCCCTGCACCCAGATACCACCGATGAACTCAGCCAGCACATTGAGAGTCACTTCGATACCAGTCATCGACTTGATAATTCCAACTGGGATTCTGTTCACTTCTGGTTAGTGAAAACTTAAAGTTGGTTTATTACAGTTTCGCTTGGATGACAGACGCATCGATTCGCTGCATCTGAGGATTGCGAACCAACAGGGTCGGGATGGGAGAGGAACACGTACACGAAGACGAGAGCCAGCGCAACACCATATGGAACTACTCCCGGGGTCGTGAATGTCGGCCATCCAGCAACACCAGCGAATCCGAATGCGGAGGCAACAAGGAGCGTGCCAAGGTACCACCACTCGGAGACTGCAACTCAAATGTTAGCCACACTGGAGTTACTATAAGGAGACGGGGGTTAGATTACCTTCGGGGTAAACAGACATGAGGCGGTTGTGGACATCTTTGTACTCTCCACCCTCAACGGCTTCCTGAGTCTTCTTCCTCCACATACTAGCCCGGAAACCCTTGAAGCCCATTACGATCTCGTACCGGTGGAACAAGATGACATGGGTGATTGCGCTCGTATAAATACCAAAGAAGGCACAGTATACCATGGTGTTTGCCGCGCCAAGATAAGCAGCCGAGTAGTCCATATACTTGTCATGGTCATACAGCCCTCGCTCATCCAGCGCTCGACTGACGTTGTACAACTCGCCGAAGTGATCAAATACGCGATTGGAATTGATGGGCAGGTAGCCAGTATTCCACACATTTTGGTAATATATCCCCAAAATAACGATGCCCCATAAAAACATACCGAGACATTTATTCAAGGTGGAGAAAGCTGGCACCATCTATGCGTTGCGTTGTTAGTGTTCGGGAAAGGCTATAGTCCCACTTCGGGTATGTCAGCGTTAGTGCTTACCAGTGGATCGACGTTGTCAAAGAGAAGGACATTCCAGTCCAATGTGGGAAACGGGTTGAAGAGCTAAGAGAACATCGTTAGGTGGTTGCATAGGCAAAAGTCATGGTGTTGAGTCGCGTCTTACCCCAAGGCCATTTCTGAACCCAGTCAGAATCTCGAGATCGTGATTATCAGGAGCAATCCAGGTCATCCAACTGAAGAAGGTGAGCGCCTCGAAGAGATAGTTAGGAAACCAAAAGTACGTAAACATTGCTCCAAACGCCCACAAGAAGAATTTGTATCGACTCATGCTGTAAAACTTCTTGAAAGGGCCGGGCACAGTCACGTTGTTGTCGTTATGGAGCGCTGAGTTGAGAGCGATGGTCACTAGCGAGTGCGGCCAGACACAATACGATGGGTAGACTTCGAGCAAGGTTAGTCGAGTTTCAGATGGTCCTCAAAAAGGGGTGGTGGACAGAGATTGATATTGTGGAGAACTCACCGATGAACCGGCGTGTGAGTCCCGCGAGACCGTAACCGATGAAGTTGGTCGACAAGGCAATAAGGAATTGATAAGCAAAGCTGCGCGCGTACTGCTGATCGAAATACTGCGGCAAGACTTGCGTCCACACGATGTATTGAGTATATGGTAGACTCTGCGCAGTGTTGGCCATGATGGCAATGAGCATATGCTCCTTCTCTGTATGATCGATGTCAGAATGCCCGCATTAATGAGCCTGACATGAATAATTGTAAGCACCCACTATTGAATCTTCCCGGGTTGATATTGTGCGTCTGGCCCATGATCCTGAATTCCCAGGTCGGCATCCACCTCTCCCATGCCTTGCCCAACGGGAAAGCCAGCAGCTGCGCGACATTCGCACTGATCAGAATCGTGGGCAGACGAATACTAAAGAGCTGGTTGATGAAGGCGAGGAACACAGAGAACAGGACACCAATGGTCCATGCCCGAACCGTCGAACACGGGGTGGTTGGATCATCCTTGTTGTCAACTACTGCGCGGACCTCGGCATACGGACTATTGTTGGTGATGAGAGCAGCCTCGAGCTTCATTTCCGTGATGAGGGTCTCATGCTTCTCTGGGTTGGAGAAGACATCGTCATTCTCGAGGAAGGCTTGGATGCGCTCGAGGATGATGTGTGGAAAATTGGGGTCGCGCTCGTGGATTCGGAGCACGTTGGCCATCAGCTGCGTCATACGTGAGCATGTGTTCGGCAGCGCGAACTTGGGTGGGTGTGAGTTTCACCTTGCGGACTTCCTCGGTGCTCATTTGAGCTGCGAGCTCCCTGGCTTCGACGAGATCATCTTCGGTGACGTTCAGGTCTCTGTAATCCGTATCAACTAAATGTGCTTGCTTGAGGTGCCCCAGAGGAGACGGGTCCAGAAGCCCTTACTGCTCCAATGCCTTTGAGTGTTCATCTAGTTCTTGCTCGGTAGGAAACTTCGATTTTGGTCAGCTCTAAAAATATTTGATACCGGGGAGATGTTGCGTCGTACAAATTCCCCTTTATCGGTGCTGGATGTAGCGAACAGCTCATCCTGAGTAGCTGTCTTCGACATAACGGGGCCCTTCTCATTCGAAGCCATGGTGACCCGGTGGGGAAGCGTTACGTCGCAAATAGGCCACGAGCCCAGACCAATGTAACTTGACCGTTGGGATAGGCAGATTTATATAGAAATGGAAATGGATGAGCTCATGTGAAAGATGAATTGTGACAGTGTATATCTCCAGCACCGACCCCCATGCAGCCTTTCTCAAGGATTCATGCCCCAGAGGACTCGGATAAAAGACCCAACTGGCCACTTCTTCGGGGCGGCACCAAGAGATAAGGTCTTGCCTCAGATTACACCGGTCTGGATACACACATCTGGGGTACCAGTTGGTGGTGCCCAGAGAATCACACTTGGCGATGTCTTGGTACGGCCTCGGCACTATAGACCTGCCCCTTCCAACGTAGCATCGATTCTCTTGAAGAACTCGGGAGTGAAGTTACGAATGCGTGATATCGGGCCCCCATGTCTTACAGACGCGCACTGCATGGCGTTATGCTGTCCACTTGTCTCTCAGGGGTTTGGGGGCGGGGAACATCGTCAACCAGGAGTATTTCTCTTGCTTGCCTCCGTCCCTTTGTGGTTAGCCCGGTCACGTACTCGGTGATTTTAGCACTCGACGACGGGCCCAGCCGAATTGAAAGGAAACGATCTGTTTGGCGGAAAAGGTGGACCAGGTACCAGGTCAAGGAATGCTAAAACCATCAGAGTGGCTATGGCTATTTGGAGCAAAATTTATCGAGGCCGTTCGCCCAATGCAATGGTTTGATCGAAGCATGGAGGATGGGGATATCCAAACCAATAGACTTTCAAATGCTGATAAGGAACTCTTGGCTCTTGAAACATGGGAATCCCTGGGTTGCCACATGTGTAGAAGCCAACTTGGCTCTCCATACACAGTGTAACACCATACGGCCTTGGAATATGCATAGAGGCTTGAAGTATCGCGTGACCAAAACTCCCAAAAGGCTCAGATTGAACTTGTTCCGGTGGGCGTCACAAACGCCAAGATGTGTGTTGCCCAGACGCGAAGCTCGAGACAGGAAGGAGGAGAACCCGGTGCATTGGGTCACAGCCCCACTGATCTATCTAGTGGGGGTATCTGAATGACCCTCCACAGTTCCATTCTGTTATCGGTGGGGAGAATATTTGTCGGCCACGCAGCACAGGGCGACTTTGGATTCTAAACAATTATCATCCCTCTCGTTCTACGCATCGATAAACGCCACAAGGATCGAGATGACCATGCTTCCAACATATTATAGTCGTCGTGAACGGTGGCCCACATTTCGTCGGAACTGTCACCGGCTGCAGAGAGAATTCACGCTTGAGTGTTGATTCGGTTGAATGTGTGATTGCTCCACACGGTTGGTCCCGGGATAGATCGTGACTTGACATTCTGCAAGCCTTTCGTCCAACACATGCATGCAGCTGATCAATTGCAATGCCTGTTTTCCGGCAGGGATTTCTTGGCTGCGTCCTGGGCCGTGGTCCTTTTCAGCACTTATCTTCTTCACGGCCCGGTGCAAGCCGTGTCACGGCCATCTCAGGAATCTAGAACTTGAATATATCAAGAAATGTTTTACGTCGGCTCACGTGGAAAGCGGTCTGGTGGAGGCTGAAAGCGACTTTCCGCGGAACACCGTCCAGTGCTCTAAATGCCATTCAGCTGTGGTATCCCGGTTATCCATCAAATGTTATCCTGGACAGCAAAGAATCCATCGAGGTCTTCTCTAGATGATATTAAAGGGCAGAAATGACCACCGAGGTGATGGGTCGAAGTTTATCACGCACTTGCTAGAAAAGGCCGCGATGATTTGGATACCAGAAACCTTGGTATGTCTTCCAAGAACCTGCGCTTGGTCTCGGCCTTTCCACCTCTATCCTACCACCGCCCATTCTTACAGCGCAAAGTCTATGTCTATAGTACAGGAATGAGAAGGGAGTTGCATGTCAAATGCGCACCCACATACCTCGAATTATTAGTTCGAGTGGGGTGGGCTACTGTGATGGACCATCCGTTGAAGAGAACAGAGACACACTATTCGTGACAATGTCAAGATATCAGAGTGCAGTATCATCAGCGCGGCTGTTGTTGTTCAAGCTCAACTTCCTGCTCTCGCCCTTGCTGTTCTTGTGCAGGCAGAGATCCGGTTTTCGAAGGCGCCTGGATCATGATCCACTTGACACCGAAAGCGAGGCAGAATGCGATGGCCGTTGTAGAAACAGGGATGAACTATCTACGTGGTCAGTTACGGTCTCCACCAAACTGGGGTGGATGCGGCTATAGAGATGGGAACTTACGAATACCGAAGTGATAGCTGTGTTATAGGATTCCAGTACCAGGTGCAGGGAGTCGGGGAAATATTGCTCTACGACCTGCCGAATATTTGCAGTACCAGCAGCAGATAACTGGGCTATCTGTAGATCTTCTAGCTCAGCATGGTTGGTGAGCTCTCGGTTCAGGACCGAGTGAAAAATGACGCCCCCAATAACTTGAGTAAATGTGGCTCCGAGGTACTGAGCGAATAGATTTAGACTGATGCCAACAGGAAGGAGGTCTTCGCGATCATTGAGTGCCAGCTGAACGAGTAGGGACGGCATCTGCTGAGCCATTCCAACTCCAAGCCCTTGGATTACCTGAAACCCAATATAATGACTTGCCGGTGTACCAAAGGTCGAGAACTGAGAGTACAGAGCCGCCGCAGTGCACATGAATATGGGTCCCAAGAAGAGCCAGGGATTGTAGAACTTCACCTTGAGAGCTATAGAGGGGCTTGGTCAGTCTTCGATGACTACTATTGTGTTTATCTGGGGTCATAGAGTGTATGCGAGTATGTACTAACCCAGAGCACCGGCAGAAAGGGTGCCAAATATCTGAGACAAGGCGCTAGCTAGTGTTCTTGTTCCACTTTCCAGCGGGCTTACACCCTGGACAGCCTGGAACCACTCAGGTAGGTAGTAGCCTGTGATGGCAATGGATCCCATATGACAGAAGGAAAACAGAACGCTAAATGTTATTGTCCGCCTTTGGAGTAATATGCCGGGGATCATGGCACCTTCACCTTTGTAGCGTTCCCAGATAACGAATATGATGAGCGTGACGCCTCCGCCAACGAAGAGGCCGATGATGGTGGCCGAGTCCCAGCTTTCTTTGGTGCCACCCCACGTCAACGCCAGGAGCGACATAAAAGTGCCAGGGATAAAGATGGCGCACCCGAGTAGGTCCAAACTCCAGATTCTATCAATAACGCTCTTCTTAATCCCCTCAGACGGAAGGGGCTTGAAGAAGAAGAGCATAGTGGCCAGCGTGATAGCACCCGGAGGTAGGTTGACCCAGAAGCACCATCGCCATGTTGCCTTTTCCGAGAACAAGCCAGACAAAATGGGGGCAAGGATCACACCCAACGCAAAGCAGCTGCTGCAGATGCCCATAAACAATGGCTTCGTCTTGGCGGAAGCAACAACGAGGACAACGGTCATGCCGCCAGTCGCGACGCCAGAGGCGCCGACGCCAGCGATAGCACGGCCGGCAATAAACGAATCGCTGTTTGGGGCCCAGCCGCATACAGCGCTTCCAACGAGGAATATGGAAAAGAAGCATATGTAAACCCAGCGCAGAGGGAATTCGGCAGTCAGTTTGCCAGTCAACGGCGTTAGGACGCATGTCGTCAAGGTATAGGCGGCTGGATACCAGGACAACTGAGACGTGTCGTGAAATTCGGAAGTGATTGACGGGATTGCCTGGTTGGAACTTGTCAGACCGTGCTTGAGGCAACAGACTTTTGTCACTGACCGTCGATAATATGAAGACGTCGAGAGACATCATGAAAGCTCCGAAACAGACGCCCACAAGAATGGCATAGAGCTTGAAGCCCTGGACTGCGAAGGCCGCGGGCTCAGGCAATTGGACGAGCTCCTTGCTCGTCGCTGCTTGAGGTTCAGTGGATCCGGGGCCATCCTTCGTCTGTGTCTTGAGGAGTTGATTGTGGTCGCCGACAAACGATGAGGTCGTCATGGTAATAGTCTCCGTTGGTCTGACGTGGACGCGGCCAGACTTCGGGTTGGGTTGTTGTCTTCTTCAGGGTGTTTTGAGAATGAAACTTGTCTTTTCCCCCGCCGGTGGCTTGACGTTGAAAGGGAGTTTAGCTGACATCGCTTGGAGCTGTGCCACATCTGCGAGCCGCTGCAGGGTGGCAGATTTGGCTGGATAATCGGGATCGGGAAGTCAGAAATTACCGTCAGAGTGTAGGTAGGGGCGGAATCTTTCAATATTTGGCCATTGTCACAAACCACGCCGTGGCCCATAGTAGTAGTAGAAAGTACCTACATGTACATGTACATATTTGGGTATCTTGAATGTCGCCGTGTCTGGCATCGTAACCGGTGACTTTTGTCTCCATTGTCTCTGATCTTAGGACCCACCCCTCGGCGTAATTACCCGACTGCTTACGATGCATTCCGCTCAAGGCAGCACCTCGTGTAACCCGGCCGAAAGTAGCTGGCTGAGCGCGCATGGTATGTACCCGGATTCCAAAAGTTCTCAGAAGTCATGAAGGATTGTAGAATCAATTCGTTAGCATCTTCGTTAAAAATAGGATCAAAGTATTTGTGACATCGCATGTGAGCCCACGAAGTGAAGGTCGTGTTGGGAAATCTTTCAGACCCTCCTCCATTGGACATGTTCGCCACCAACATGCCGTGACGTAGATGTCTCAGTGGGAGCTGAACACCCATTTTCATGATGCCAAATAGACCACGAGCGACCATGATCGAAAGGTCCACTACCCATTTGGCTGTCGCAAGGGCAGCAGCGATGTAAATATGCACAAGCGACGCCGTGGTACTGCCCATTTGCTGGCCTGTTCAGTCATAGCCTTCTACGCGTCCAGAAGCCTTCCACGTTTCTTGAGGAGAGCCGATGCGGGATTGGCTTGATAGTGATATCTATTCCGAGTTCCGACATATCAAATACCATATATTGACCTGCCAATGGCAAGCGTTACGACTCTTTGTCCCAGTCTAACCCATTTCCCAGCACTGACGTTCCATTTGTTAGATCATTGGCAGTTCCGCGGATGATGCCGTTCGAAGTTCCCTTTACCATTCCATTTCCAACGTCTACAGTGTCTCCGTTCTTGGATCTGCTGTTATCGACATTGTGCTCGGTGCTCACAACTGCGCTATCATTGACTGTATCTTGTATGGTGTCAGTGGCTGTCCCGTTTGTAGTACCTTTGTGTCCATTAGTAGCAGGTGTGCTTTCAGTATGGCCATTCGCGACGATATTGGTAGTGATATCGGCGTGCCCATTTGAGACCCTCGTAGACCCAGTCTCGTCACCCTTTGATTCGGACTTCCAGTCCGGATCGAGTCGCTTCAGGAGCTCCTCGGGAAGCTTGTGCAAAACGTCATCCACCAAGCTAGCGATGGAGGCACCTCCTAAGATCTTCATGACGGGCACATCGACGCCAAGCTCTTTGAGGAACCAAGATCTCATCTCGACGGCCACCAAGCTGTCGACGCCCACTATAACCACCGGAGTCAGTCACCAGGAACCTTCGAAAGAACTTTCTGCAAGATAAAGGCATTGAAAAGGAGGGGGCTTATGCCAGGTAATGTTTCCCATCCTATCTCGGAAGCTGGATTCTCGCGAGGGAAGACAGCTTTTGGAGAAAAAAAAAGTAGTTGTGGATCGAGAAGATCCAGCAATCGTGTGATGACGCCTGAAGAAAAGTAAAGTGGCCCTGTAGCTACTTACTGTCCACGAGAGGTGTCTCGTCGTACAAACTGTCCGAGTCCGGGAGGAATTTCAACGCCTGCAATTTAGCTCTGAATGTAGCTAGGACGAAATTGTTAGTCATATAGGATCGCAGAGCGGAAGTATACAGCTTACCGAACAGCACTTTGACCGCATCCTGGATAGTGTTGGTAGCTTCTAGGAGCTGCCTGACTGGAATAGTATTTCCACTATCTCCATCCATCGCGGCGCCATGGCCCACCTCTCTGATCAGCAAGCCAAGTCTCGCGTTGGTCTTCCAATAAGCATCTTTGGACTGCTCTGTCGTGATGGGGGCGAGTCCTGTGATGAGCTCGGGACTCAGGCCCGAGTCCGGGCGACCAGATACGACCGCCTCTGCGAACAACTGGATGAGGTCGTTCTCGCTCATAGCAATGGTGCCGGATCGGGTGGTCAAACGCTCCTGATGTTCTTGCGTCAGTCGGCCATGGCTCTCGCGTTCGATGTATCCCACACCGACGAGTCGACTGATATCGATCGCAGATCCCGCGAGGCCCTGGCTGCGCCGGCGACCAACCAAGGCTTTGACGAAGCAGTTGCCGGCCGTGTAGGCCGACTGCCCAGGGTTTCCAACAGTAGCCGCGATTGAGCTGAATCCGATGAACCAGTCGAGGAGCTCCGAATTGTTGGCTTGGAACAAGCGGTCTAGGTTAATTGTGCCCTGGATCTTGGGGCGAAGAACCGCTTGGAAATCTTCGAAGCTTGTGGTCATCAAAGAGCTGTCACGTAGTACCATGGCACCATTCGCGACCCCAGCAATTGGCGGCATGGCCCTCACAATATCATCATATGTCTGCTTCACTGAGCTGAAGTCGGTAACATCTCTGTGAGGATAAGTAGTCAGCCAAGACCATTCTCAGCCTAAATTTATTGATATTGAAGCGAAAAGGGGTCACTTTACCCTGCGAAGTACGCGACGGTCGCGCCTCTCGATTTATGCCATTCTGCCCATTGAAAATCGGGCTTCGGAGTACGACTGCTCAGAACAACATGTCTAGCGTTGTGGGAAATCATGAAGTCGGCCAGGGATCGTCCCACGTCACCTGTCAACCCAGCGAGCCAGTAGGTACGGTCTGCCCTGAACAGATCCTGGCGGTGATGGATGGGTTCGACAGAGACGGGCACGTGCTCGTCCTCCTGCCAGTAGATGAGTGAGTCCGAGTTGGGTACCCCGATGGGCGACAAGACCCGCTTGAGCGTAAGAATGTTGATTGGTGCACCCTCTGGAATGGCGGCGTTGTCAAGCAATGAAGAAGCGAAGGACGAGAGCCTCTGAAGCAGCCTAGTAATGGACTCGGGGGCCTTCTCTGGAATCACGGAAGCTTCTCGCGCCATAAGGTTGGAGATGTCCACCTTCTCGCACACTCGAGACAGAGATGCAGCGATGGCACTGCCCAGCTTGGCCTTCGGGTCATGACCACTGGCATCAACGTACAGAGTAGCATCAACAGGTATGACTGAATCTATAACTCTCTTCGCGCTGTTATGGTGCAAGTATACCCAGTTCCGTCCACTCACATTCGTACTGGAAGTGAAGAAGACGACCCTTCGGCCCATCTCGTTGAGTGTTTTGGACAGCAGTGACGACACGGTCTGGTTCAGCTCGTAAGCGATCACAGTTCCTGTAGGCGGCAACATCTGCAATATTTGTTGCACAGTCAGATCAGCCAAAACGAACGACATGAAGTAGCCGTCTATCGCATCATCGCTGACTGGGGCGGTCCAGGCTCTTGGCACTTTCACAATTGACGCATTGCGGTTCGAGAAACAGAGCATCTTCCGGCCCGTCTGCACATCTTTGCCAAGGCTAATAAAAACATAACCAGCGGGTGTCTTGATTGATGACAAGAACGAAAACGAGACCTGTATTCTGACAGCGTCATCGGAGGCAACGCTTGCGCTCTCATGCTGCTCTCGGATCATGTAAGCCTCGTCGATCCAATCCAGTATGAGAGGTGCCTTCAGCGCATCCACTTGGCGGGTGATTGATCTCTTAGATGAGTTATAACGATCGTTCTGAGCCTCCTGAGGACGGACCCTCGGGACGAGGATCGTATTGTTCTTGAGGACTAGTTCCGGCTCGAACTCCCACAGGATTTTGTCTGACTCGCCGTGCCTGGCTATCTCTTCCTGTAGGCGGAGCCGTAACGCGGTCTCTGCAACCAGCTTTACCTCGACCCTGTCGAGAGGCTGATCAATATCAAGTATCTGCAACAGTGTTCCTGGAACTTCGTAGAAGAGTGTCCTGAACAGACCAAGTGTTGTTCCAGCGTGGGGATTGCTTGACCGACTCCCCTGAAGCATCCAGAGGACGCTCCCCGCGGCAGGAATCAGCTCCTTGAAATTTGTGAAGGTAGATTCCTCCATATCCTCAAAGAGATTTTCGTCCAACTCAATAAGGCTGCAAAGATGGAAACTTTTCGGCAGGGTTGGCAAGGTGCATAGGCTGTCCAAACAGACGACTTCCGCAAAGCGAGGTCTCATGAGTTCGCGGAGCTGGTCCCTGAGAGACTGAACAGGAGGAGTGCTCCCGCCAAGAATCAACAACGAAGTGATCTCTGCAGCCGGCTCTGCGTTGAGGGGTTTGCTCACCCTTGTAATTTGTTCAGTTTGTGCCCTGGCAACAATGATTGACCCAGGCACACCCACTGGGTCTGGCATTGGCGAGTTTGTCTCAATTCCTCCAAAACCAGTCTGCTTGAGGATGTCATCCCACTGCTCTAGAGTGAGACTGGGGCCGTGATGGCGACCGTCATTTTCACCAACCCACCACCCTGGAAGACCACCCATGACAAGACCATGTCGCATCACATCGTTGCGGATGATCTCAACCATGACGAGGTACCCACCAGGCCTCAAAAGCTTGCGGGTGTGCTCCAGGGCGTTCCTCAGAGACTCAGTCGCATGCAAGACATTGGAAGCAACAGCAACGTCGTAGCTGTGTGGCTCGAAGCCTTGTGGTAGCGGGTCATTCGAGATATCCAGAGTTTTGAAAAGCATTTTATGAGAATGCGACTGAAAGCGGTGGGCGGCGTGTTCAAAGAACGCGCTCGAGATGTCGGTGTAGTCGTAGGACCCGAAAGCGTGCCCAATCCGCTCTAGAACGGCTTTGGTGGCGCCACCTGTACCTGCGCCGACTTCGAGGACCTTCATGCGAGGAGACTTGGTGGTCAGCTGCTCCAAGACTCCGGCGATTAGAACGTTGAGAAGCTCAAAGCCAATGGCATCCGTATAATATCGCTCGAGGTAGTTATCCTTGGTCATGTACTGAAGGATGCTTGTCTCTCCACAGAGTAATGGCGTCAAAAGGAGATGTTCTCCAACCGCCTTGGTCAAATTGAAATCAGCATCATGGTTGCCGTAACTGTCCATCAAGGCAAAAATTTCGTCTCTGGTATCATCCACCCATGACTGGAGAGCGAATGGGTGCTTGCCCTGGTTCACAATGTGGTAGAGGCGTTCGGCATTGGCGATCAAGGCCTGCCGATACGCTGGCAGGGTCTCGCGCTGTTCGGACGACACTGAGAGATGCAGGGTCTTTAGATAGAAAAAAGCGGCGCGCTCGGCATCAAGTGCCTTGCGCGCTTCCCAGGGTGTCGCACGCCTATCTCCAAATATGAGCCGTGCGTCAGGTTGGTCCACGGTCAAGAAAGACTCTTGGAATAGATGCCTGTCATCCGCCGGGGTTGCAGCCGCGAATGGGGAGAATGTAACACCTTCCACTTCGATAAGCTTGTTTTTGAAGTCTTTTGAGTAGACCTCGACATCTCCGGTAACAAAGACATCGCGCGGGTCGGTGATTGTGCAGTCTATCTCAACCTCATCCGGAATATTCTTACCGCATAGGCTTGGGATCGCAGTGATGCGGCGACAGAAGGTTGGTGCAACAATGGACCACAGACGACCATCACCAGGGGCACTCTGAGCGGCATTGAGTCCCTGTAAAGCGCTGTCGAGCATGCCGGGGTGGAAGAGAAGGGGTGTTTCGTCTTCACCAAAAGGTTCGCAGCGAATAGATCCCGTAGAGAAGCCAGATTTACGAGATATCCTTGTCAGGCCTCGGAAAGGACCGCCATAGCCAAATCCAAGATCGTCTCTCAGGAGCTGATAGAACCGGTCCACGTCGACATTAGTGGTGTTCGCAACCGGAGGACGCCGCGGTGGGAATCGAGATGACGGGTCATCGCCGAGAGCCACGCGCACATGGCCGCGGCAGTTCAGTGCAAGCTGGCCAGAGTCTTTACTGATCGTTGAGAAAGCAGCAAACTCGGCCGTGATGACTTCGGTATCGGCATCAAGAGGACTGATCTTGGTCATGGAGACGAGAAGTTCGGTGCCAGATCCTTCGTGGAGTGCGATGGCTTTTCGAATCTCAAGATCGAGGATGTCAATCGACTCTACTAACCTATCCTGGGCTAGCTGCACAGATGCTTCCATGGCAAGGCAGATGTAGGCCGTTGCAGGGAAGACGACCTGGCCTTGTAGGGTATGACCCGCAAGCCACTTCAATTCGTTCGTCTTCAACACATTTCGCCATCTCCATTCTTCTGCCGTTCCATCTGCCGTCTGAAGACCAAGAAGGTCATGAAACTTGCCAGGGCTAGTGTTGAATACTTTGCTAAGCCTAGATTCCGCCCAGAATGACTTGTCGTGGTTCCAGGGGTAGGTTGGCAAGTTACAGGTAACCTTTGATCTGTTCCTCGGATGGCATATGTTGAGGAACCCGCCAAGATCTACAGCCGCTCGGCCAAAATAAGACCAGAGGGCGCCGAGAGTGTCAGAAAATGCTGCCACATCGCTTGTGCCCCTCTTCAAAGTTCCAGTGTACGGAGCTTCCCGCCCGATCGCAGCGGTTATGGACTCATTAGCCGGGCCGCTGAGAGCCGGGTGTGGTCCAACCTCAATCACACAATTAATAGCTGGATTGATTGAGGTAGCGGCAGTCTGAATGGCGGCCTGAAACAGAACAGGCTGTACCATGTTCTCAATCCAATACTGCCCGTCGAGGTTTTCCGATCCGGTCATAAGCTTGCCTGGATGAACGCTGGAAAACCACTGTGGCGCATCTGCTTGTGGTATTGAAGTCGTGCTACCACATTCATCCAGTGCTCTCAGATATGCTTGCGAGCACCTCTGCATGTGGGCCGAATGGTATGCCGTGTCGACTTTCAAAACTCTTACGAATTTCTGTTCCTCCTCCAGGATGTCTTGGGCTTGAGTTACAGCGTCGACGTCTCCTGATAGGGTAACGCTGGTCGGTGAGTTATGGGCTGCTACACATAGTCGTCCCGCAAAGTCATCTAAATGACATAATTCATTCGCATCTTCGAAGGATGTGCCGACAGCCATCATGGCTCCTCTCTGTCCGGCAGGGCCTGCGGAGAGTTTTGCATAGTAACCTCTGTAGTAGGCTATGCGAATGGCATCTCTCGCGGTAAGGAAGCCTGCGGCGTAAGCCGCACCAATCTCACCGGAAGAGTGACCGACAACAGATCGTAGCTTGATACCAGCAGCGCGTAGGAGATCAACAAGAACGATTTGCACCGCCGTACACAAAGGCTGTGAGAAAACGGCCTTCCCGACATCTGTGGCGTCACTAGTCAGCGCGTCCACGAGAGTCCAAGATGGACGATGATAGGTTGGTAATTCGGCGAGAGATTTATCCATTTCGTCAAGTATCTTCCGGACTAGCGGTATTGTTTCAACGAGTTTCGAGCCCATTGTCTGCCACTGAGCGCCTTGGCCGGTGAAGACACCTAGCAAGCATGGCGGCGCTGCGAGAGCCTGAATTGAAAGGGGCCTGGAGTCCTTCGCGGCTACTTCTCTTAGTACGCTGCTCATTTTATCTTTAAGATCATCAATCGACGTCGCAGAGAGTGAGAGTCTTTTCTGCAGAGCTGATCTCCTGGTGCTCAGGCTGTATGCTAAGTCAGCTATCTGAACGTCCCTGTCGCTTTCTAATAGTTCGAGGATCGCCTTGATTTGCGCAATTAGCGATACATCAGATGCTGCTGAGAGGACGACTGGGATGCTACACGTAGTTGGTAGCTCGGCATCGACCTCGGTGGGCTGAACTGGATGGGTGGGTTTGTAGCTCTCAAGGATACAGTGAGCATTAGTCCCCCCAAAACCGAAGCTATTAACACTGTGGTAGGGTATGAGTCAGTGCTCAATCGAGAATGACTCTAGAATAAGCGTTTGGGCTTTCGGAACTTACCTGGCCCTCAGCGGGGCGCCTTCAGGCAGCTCCGGCCATGGCTGGCTTTCGGTTGCAACACGGAGATGGTGTGTGAATGGTTCAAGGTCGGGATTCAAACGTTTGAACAGTAGATTAGGCGGTATTGTCTTGTTCTGAATAGCCAGGCAGGTTTTGATAAGACCTGCCAGTCCCGCACATCCCTCAAGATGACCAACGACAGTCTTGATGGAGCCAACAAGGAGGTTGCCTTGGCTGGAATCGTCTTCGGGAAAAAATGCCCGACTCAGAGCTTCCGCCTCCTGAGGATCACTTCATACGAAGAGTCAGTGTGGCTGTAAAGGATGTGCGAAGGAATATCATCGAGCATGGGAGGCGATGTGGACTCACCCAGCCTTGGTGCCTGTACCGTGCGCCTCAAAATACTGGCAGCGATCACTCTCCCTCGCAGGGTCCAGTCCAGCTCTGGCGTATGTGCTCTTGATAAGTGCCGCCTGCGCCGAAGCACTCGGCATATGCAGCCCTTTAGTCCTCCCGTCATGATTCAGGCCAATCTCTTTGATCACACAAGTAATATTATCGCCATCCTGAATGGCATTGCTGAGGGATTTCATGACCACACACGCAACACCTTCGCCTCTTGCATAGCCGTCCGCATCGGCGTCCCACATACGGCATCTGGATGTAGGCGATAACATGCTCAGTTTGCTCAACGTAATGAAGGTGAAAGCGGAAAGCAGGAGATTGGTCCCACAAGCCACGGCAACGCGACTGGTGCCATTGCGAAGGCTCTGAACAGCTTCGTTCACGCCAACCATGCTTGAAGAACAGGCCGTATCAATCGTCATAGAAGGCCCATGCCAATTGAAGAAGTATGATACACGGCTAGATGCATTGCTGGCGGCTGTACCAGATGCAGCGTATGTGGGAACTGCGTTCACATCTTGCCCTTGAAGTGCAAAGTAGTCCTGAGACATAAGGCCAACGTAAACACCAGTGTCAGACCCAGCCAAGCCGTCGAGAGTGTGTCCAGAATATTCCAACGCCTCATATACGACTTCCAAGAGGAGTCGTTGTTGGGGGTCGATAACTTCTGCTTCACCAGGAGGGAGGGAGAAGAACTTGGAGTCGAACTGGCGGACGTCCTCTGACAAAAGGTATGCTTGCCTCATATTGGTAGTTCCATGGTGAGCTCCGTCCTTGTGATAGAACCGATCAATGTTGAAGCGAGAAGGCGGGATCTCTTGGGCCACGTCGCGCGGGTCCTTCAGGAGGTCCCATAACTTGGACGGAGAGCTGGAACCCCCTGGAAAACGGCATCCCATGCCGATTATAGCAATGGGCTCATTTTGGTTGAGTGACATGACGGTGGTGATAAACCCTGAGGTTGAGTCTCTGAGCTTTGTGATGTCTTAGATGTTCCAAGCTATCCTGAGCCTTCTCAATCTTGGAAGGCTTAAAGCTTATATGTTTCTGTGAAATTCGCAGTCTTGGGCTGTAGTGTTTGGATTCGTAGAATCAGGTAAGATAATGCATATCAAGTCTCTCTTGGTACACGATTCGGGCAATCCTATTGCTACGAGAATATCTCTTATAATAATTTAGCCAAAAGTCTCCATATCTATTATTTTGGAGAACGTATCATTTGACCATCAACAGAACGGACTGTAGCCTCAGTGCTTTTACAGATCTATGCCTCTAATCGTCTGTGCCTCAAGCTTGCAGATTCACGTCTGAAGTGGGGACAACTCGACCGGCCCGTTTGTCTATTCTGCTGCCGAGAAAAAAAGTCACCGGTTGTGCCGACCACACCAACTTAGACAGAGACAATTATTTTCTTTGGAGAGGGGGCAGGGGGTGTGAGAAGGCTTGGCAGGATAAACATAGTTTTGCTTTACTTCATTACTTGAGCCGCCGGATCACACGCTGAATGTTGCGTTGATGGTGAGATTAACTGGGATAGGGAGCCAAGTGCAGATAGATCTCATCAATTCCTCATTAATAATGGCCTATTGCCGTGAAACAATACTTGCGAACTTGATTGTGTTTACTGAATGAATTGGTCCGAAACAACTTTCAACAGATACAAGAGTCAGGAAATGGCAGGTCAGGAAATGGCAGGTCAGGAAATGGCAGGTCAGGAAATTTGGCAAATGAGTTTCTGCCCTGAGACCCGTTTCTTTTTGAGAACCTCGAGTCCATACAGTATTTCCCCAATACTAGTGCCGATGCCTTTCAGAGGGTGACTTTTCAGCTTGCCATCGTCAAGCAGCTCTTGAGCAATTGCAAACCACTCCACGCCAAAGGTTTTGTACTCGTGATCTCCTTTCCGCCCAAAGGGCTCAGGCCAGGCCAGTGTCTTTCCAAGAAGTGTCGGGCCAAGGACCCAGTCCGCCTTCACTGTCTTTGGTCGTGTGTGGAGAAATCCGGGAAACGGTTCCAAGGCGGTATATCTTCCACCCGCTCGCCCGAGACAATTGTAGCAAAACTGCATGGTTTCGGGCTCGGATATACAGTCAAGGATATACTTGAGGGAATTTCGAGTGTGCTTTCGAATTTGTTCGGCACATGTGTCTAGGTGGTAATCAAATACTGCTGACGCTCCGTAGGATTTGACAAGTTCGAAATTGCTCGGGGAGCAGGTGGCAATAGGATTCAGACCCGACCTAAGGGCATGGTCAGCTCGGAGTTTCCATCAGCAAAAACTTGGCCTACAATTTTAGCAGCTGTATAGCCAGTGTGCCAGTGGCAGTACTGCCGCCGTAGACAAACACGTCCACAGGTCTATTTGCGGGCGACTTGGGTGAGCCAGGGACATCCAACGATTTGAAGAGCGCGAGACCAATGGTGCCAATACCACTTCCCAACGAAGCACCCTGCTCGAAAGACATGTAGTCAGGTATCTTCATGGTGACCAAGTCTGTGGCGCCCACGAACTCGGCGAAAGCCCCAACATTGGGCGTCAATGAATGCATCCCTGGAACTGCGCCGCAGACACGGTCGCCAACCTTGATTGGCACTGCTGTCTGAACCTTGGGCCCAATGGCTATCACTTCGCCGGCAAAATCCATGCCGGCAACTGCTCCGTGGGTGGCAAGCTTTCCCACCATTTTCGTATCGATCGGGTTCAGTGCAACGGCAGCGTTCCTCACCAGAATCATATCGTCTTCCAGGGCAGGAACGCTGACATTGTGGTCCAACCCTAGCACACCGTCGCTGAGAGCAATTATAGCGCTTTGTTTCAAGGGCAGGTGAGCCATGGTGTGTGAGTTGTTGTTGGGGTCTGGTATGAAGAGGAGAGAGTGGCCAACTGGGTGCTATAAGTTAGGGCAGCAGCTTGACATGATGAGAGATCAGGTTTATTGCAAGAATTGCAGTGTCGATTCGACGTACTGGGACTGCATGAACGACGAAAACTGAACGGCTTTGTTGATGTAATAACATGCCGTTCTATGTTCCTACCATATATTGGCAGACGAATGAGAACTCGCCGGTCCGGCAGTGACGGGAATCGCATAATATCGTAAATATTCCCTCCAAATAGATCCGACCGGAGTCCAGACAAGTTACATTCCCTTTTCGAAGCAAAACAAAATCATTTCAGACATCAAGATTCAAGTGTCGCCGGGATTTCACACAAAACTGCCGATTCAACTGCAACTTCACCATTATCTCGTATTTACTGCTTCCCTCTATTCGTGATGTTTCTAGGTCTCTGGTTGTTGGTCTTTGTGCCGAGTTCAGGCTGGCTGCTTTACCAAACCAGCACAGGAGGCTCAGGTACAGGACCGATTCTCAAATTGACAGCATTGGAGGTCATCATATTTGCTTTCTGGGCGTTCTACTGGATGATTCTATACCCTCGATACTTCACACCTTTTCGTAATATTGCAACTCCCAAGGTGCGTATTGCCCCCTTTGTGAGCTTCAGTGGTGGCATAGTAATTAAGAGTCATATAGAACAGGACAATCCTGACTGGCAACTTTCCCGTGCTATTTCCTGACCATCCATGGGAGTATATTCGAGCAATTGCCGAGACAACTCCAAATTATGGTCTCATTAGACTGTATGCAGCCTTCAGCGGCGAAGTCCTCCTGGTCACAGCCCCAAGCTCCATTCGAGATCTGCTAGCCAGCAAGGCTTTCGACTTTGCCCATCAAACGTTGGTTCAGCTCGCTATAAAGCGCTTCACGGGCAGTAACCTAGGCTTCTTGAGTACAGAGGATTTCAAGGTATGGAGCTATGCAATTGTTGCACATTCATCGCTAACCAGAAGGCAAAGTTGCATCGGAAGAATATGCTGCCAGCCTTCGCAGTCCCCCATATCAGGCATCTGAGTCACATATTTTGGGATAAAGCACTGGAGATGGTGGCTTCCATGGAGGAGCAATTGAAGTCCGACCCCGAATCCTTGATCGAACTTCGTGAGTACGTTTCACGAGCCACACTGGATAACATCGGGCTAGCTGGCATGGGTTATGATTTCCAAAGCCTCAGGCAGCCTGATAGCGAGCTCAGAACTCGATACAAAAAGTTGCTTTTGGACCCGACCAAGGTCTTCAACTGGGTCGGACTGCTGAGCAGGTACCTGGACATGCGACTATTGCTGGAGATACCCGTGAAAAAGCTCCGAGAAATCAAGGAGTCGGCGAATTACCTCCGCGCGATTTCCGGGCGGGTGATTCAAGAGAGAAAAGAGAAGCTTATTGCGTCCGATGAAGCGGCAAGCAAAGATATCATCACCGTTGCCCTGGCAAGCGGCGTGTTTGCGGACCACCACCTGGTCGATCATGTCATGACGTTCCTGACAGCAGGGCACGAGTCTACAGCCACAACCTTCGAGTGGACCATGTATGAGCTCGCACGAAGGCCTGAAATGCAACTTCGGCTGAGGTCAGAAGTGAGGGCAGCCCTAGGACCTGACCACACAGCCGCCGACTTTGGACCGCAGGTTTCCAACATTGCGTATCTGAACGCCTTCTGCAGTGAGGTCATACGCTGCTATCCATTCTCCCCCATCATTGCCAAGACTGCGCAACGAAACACCACCATCAATGGCCAGCACATTCCCAAAGGAACCATGGTCATCTATTCGGCTGAGACTACAAACCATGACAAGAGTCTCTGGGGACCCGATGCCCATATATTCAACCCAGGGCGATGGCTCGGCGAAGGAATGGCAAAAACCGGAGGAGCAAGCAGTAATTTCGCTATGCTCTCATTTGGAGCGGGACCAAGGAATTGTATCGGACAGGACTTTGCAAGGACAACTCTCGAGTGTCTTGTTGCAGCAATGGTGGCTACGTTCGAAATCGAGCTGGCCAATGTTGATACAGCTGGCAGACTGAGATTTGGACAGACGAAAAAGTCTGTAGAGGGGATGTGGGCCAGACTGAAGATCTTACCCCCTGCCTAGAAGCTCGCTTACGGTTTACATGTCTTGGTTCCCATTTGTACTCAGTCTTATTCCATGGTCTATGGCACTATCAGTAGTCCTTCAATTGAAGTCGAGATTCATAGCCTGCGGCGTGGGGTTGTGTTCGGTCCAACGTGCGATTCGTGCAATAGTGCTGGCTGAGGATGACACGCCTCGTCTAATGTTGTGGCTTACATGCGGGAGACCTAACCATGTACATTCAAGTTCCGTGTTGTTGGCCAGTCCAAGTCCTCCTAACTAAGTCGCCGGTCATGCATGCCTAGTCCTATTGCAACAAAAGTCACCGGTCCACCACAACGGCTCATACCTGACTATCAAGGCGAAAGCAACGTTGACTCGTCAAGGGACCGCCCATCACCCCTGCGCTGCTTGGAAATCCTTGACTGTGATGTGCAGCTGCCTTTCCGAAGGAGCAGGTGGTCTGGTGTGTTGCAGGTTGCCAGGCACATTGCCCTTTCTATCAACTTTCATCGCCAAAGATCGATCAAGTCTTGATAATTCAACCACCTTGGGCATCCACAATGAGGGTTCTCAAATTGGCAACGAGCCTTTTCGCAGCCATCAGATCAGTATGGACCCGAGGAAGCCCTTTTGCCGCACTCACAGCTCTGTGGCCGATGAACGATGAAGGGAAATACGTTATTCAATCTGAGGGTATTCGGTTAGCATTCACCAATCATGGTGCTGCCCTGACCAACCTATGGATTAACGACACACACGGGGAAGAACTTGACATCGTGTTGGGTCTTGACGACGCCCGCAGCTACCCTCAGATGTCATCAAATCCATATTTAAACGGTGTTATTGGTCAGACCTAGCTGCCTTGGACATTCTGACTCTTATGTACCCATGATTCAAAGCGTTACTGACAATTGAAGCTCAGGTCGATATGCTGGCTATATGAGTGGTGCAAGCTATGAGGTTGACGGAGTTTCCTTTCAAGTCCTGGCAAATGCGCACAATCAGACGTCGTTGTTCAACGGAGGACATGAAGGGTGGGGACGTCAAACATGGGACATCGCAACGCATATAGAGAACAGCATCACATTCGTTCTGTTCGACCATAAGTGGAACGGCTTCCCGGGCATCTTTGCCTCTTGTCTCACACACACCGTCACACCGCACCAGTGGCGCGTGGCATTCGGTGTTACACCGTTGCTGAAACCGGGGCCTATCAATCTGAGCCAGCAGGCCTTCTTCAACCTTGATGGTTTCAAGTCAAACTCGAGCCATACGATACTCCACCACGAAATCCATCTTCCCACAGCTGGTTTTCGGTTTGAGCTAGACGAGTTGGGCATACCCACAGGAGACTTGAAGAGCAACAGAAAGGGAGGCAAGCATGATTTCTGGTCGACTAAGAGACGTGTTGGTGAAGGCCTCAGGCAGGAGAGGGCGAAAGAATCTTCAGCCGGCTGTGAGACGCATAATGACACTGACTGCACATTCGATACCATATACATGCTCTCCCATCGACCACTTGCGAACAAGGAGGATGCGCCTGCTGCAATACTCTCTTCGGCCACGTCAGGGATCACCATGAAACTTTACACCGACCACGACGCTGTGCACGTCCATAGTTGGAACAATACACAAAGTAAGATATCCCTTTCCCCCGCGTCTTCTCTGCACATGGTGAGAGTTATTTGACCATACTTCACAGATGAAATCAGACTGAAAAGGAAACAAGGTGGTGGCCCAGTGCCTATGCATGGCGCAGTATCCTTGGAGATGCAGGACTGGCCAGACGGAGTCCATCATCCGGAATGGCTGAACAGAAAGACAATTTGGGGCATGGACGGGTTGTATACGAGCTTTGCAACATATAAATTTTCAGTCAAGAAGTAGTTCAACACATAAAACACATTTTGCAATAATGCCCGTGTTCATATTATATGACCACCTCAAATAAAACTCCGCTTCGGTAAACATAACCGCTCCAAACCCGTGCCCAAATCTGTGACCTCTTCATAGATCTCACTGTATGGCATTCGGACCCGCCTCTCAATATAAAGAATTATATCGTCAGTAATATCGCAGAAATACTGGAAGTCAGATAATGCCAATGTAGTTTTCGGAGGAAATTTTGGCCCCTCTGCTATTCAGCCGCTCCTTCGTCCTTTGAATGACTGAACAATGGTGTCAATGCTACACAACCACACTTGAGTCTCTCGATACAGATTCGTATGCTGCTATCACCTCATCTGAGATCTTTTCTGCCTCTCTCAATCTAGACGGTACCTCATGGCCTGTATGGAATCGAACTGTCCTTGCACATTTCGGGTTGAAGTACTCTTGCACAAGCCGTTTTGCTCGCCCAAACCAGGGGTCTGCGCTCCCTTGGACATGAACGGATGGCAAGTTGAGCATCTGCGGTTGGAGACCTGTCGCCAGGGGCAGTAATGGGACAGCCCCGCAAATCATAATGACAAACTTGATATTTGCCCCTAAAACGGAATCCAGGCACAGGGCTGCGGCCACACGCGTCCCCTGGCTGAAAGCCATGATGCCGACCGGCTGGTCCCGCTCGATATGGCCCGCGAGAGTGTCCCGTACTTGGCGCCTCTCGCTTTCGATGTCCCCGGAGGTCAAGTCGAAGAAGCCGGCTGTGTTCTCATCGTGGTGCCACCGCCTGTATGGCTTTGCGTCTGCCAAGAAGGGCGGGACGCCTGGGCCGGGCTGCGGTGTCTCGAGTGGAGAGTCGACGAAGACGAAGCGAAACTTGGGTGCAAGGACCTGAACGACGGTACGAGCCTGATAGCGGTAGATCGAACCGTTCGTCCCGTGCCCGTGGAAGCAAAGAATGACAGGCAGACTTGGGTCCGTTATCTGAGCCATGCTTTGTGGATGATTTGGAAAGGTCAACTAATTGCCATTGGTGGTAATGCAAGGAAATGTGTACCCTCGGGGATGACACTGGATACAAGTAAGGCAAATGCACAAATAACGGCTGTACAAACGGCTAAAGTGCCGTGGGTTCAAGCTACCGAGCCGGGATGCGGCCGGTCTGTCTCGCATCGCATGATCGAATCTGTACCAAGTTTCTAAGAACCGGCGACTTTTTCTAGCATTACGCGGCTGTGTACCGATCTCCTCTTGTAGAGCGAATGTAGTGGAAGTTATTATATAGAGAATTCTTGATCCTGGTTACTTAGTCATTTGCCCGATGACAACGGGCTCTGGCTCCTGATAAAGCACGACAGCCTCTCGTCTAGCGCAGTCTCCTTCTCGATTACCATCTCCGCCACGAATCGAATCGAGTCCGCAATTTCAGTACTCTGTGGCGTCTCGGCCCCATCGAGACTCTCGTTTACCATGGAATGGGAGGAAGACGTTCTCGAGCGTGCATTCGCAAACTCGCCGCATCCGGAAACCAGCAGATGGATGGACTCACGGAGCTGATGGATCATACGGAGAACCATGTGCATGGCAACGTACGAGCTCATGGCTGGCTGCGACGCGAGATTGAAGGCACCGAGACTCACCGAGCCCATATCCCCAGCGGGACTAGCTAGAGCTTCCACAGTAGGTCCAAGCAGCTGCAAAGCATATCCATAGCATGTAATGACTTGCAGGACTATGATGAAGGTGGGACTGGACGGGTTTTGTTCGGCATGCCCAGCATCAACTGTCGGTTGAGAGTGGAGCTGTCCATGAGTTGCAACGGCCATCGTCGAGTTGGGGAGATGCCCTCGGGAGAGCAAGATCCCCTGCAGAATCTCGAGTAAGTCCTTGCATGCGCTGAGAACCTGAACCACCACGGATCGATTCTCACGGAATGCTGCAGTGGAAGTGTCGGACAGTAAGCTGTGCAGCCTACACTGCAGCCGCAGAAGCACCGAGTCGTCTGTGCCAGCCATGACTGCCGTAGCTCCTGGAGCATGGTGTGAGCCTCCGAAGGCATCCGGCCCTTCGCTGTGGTGGGATTCATGTGTAGTTCCACTGGATATGTTTGGATAAAATGCATGGCCAGCCTCCGCCCGGGCTGGATGGTTGTTCGTGGCTTGAACGAGACTTGCGCGGTCGAAGACTTCGCTGTGCATGACTGTTGACGGTATGAGCAAAGGTCAGATATATATAACTCCAGAATTGGTGGGTACCTTCGAAAAACAGGCTGGGGTCTATAGTGTCGACCCCATATGGTTCATTGGAAACAAAGGCCCCAGGAGCCGGTATAACATCGTCAATATGAGATTGGCTTGGGCTGGGCAGCTGGGGTGGGCTTCGTGACAGGCTGGCAGTGGCGGCTTGGGTGCTGGTGCTAGTGGTTACGCTGGTGGATGCGGTGCTGATGCCATGGCCCGGGGGCCCACATGAACGGCCCCAACCGCCTAGATCTCCTTTTGGCCCCGCCCCAGGTCTGGATTGATTCCTCGGACGACCCATCTGTGCAGTATTCTGATAGACACAGTCTATATCGAGTCTCTCGCATCGGTCGCACCGACTGTCAGGCCCTCCACTACGCGTACAGCGGTTTTTGAGAGCATGGCAACGATCACACGCTGCGCGGAGTTTTCCATTACTGATTTCCGCATGGCTCATGCTGGTGTTGATATCGGGTGTGATACAGACGGCCAAGACACCCCTGCAGTACAAGCAGAACTCGACCACACAGAGATTGGCGAGTTTAAAGTTAGAAGGAGAGACTCGTTGTTTAGAACGACCACTTTAGCGCGAGAACACTTGGCCCCTTCCCGCGAATCTTATATGGGCCAAGAGTGGTCCAGGCACTTTGAAAGACAGGGCTGTATCCGATAGGACATTAGACTAATTCTACGGAACTCCTCCGTTGGTTCACTTGGTCAGCAAATGCCTTGGCAAAATGATCCTTTGCCGATGCCAAGGGGCTTGTTTTAAACTTAGAGACGTTATAGGCCGCAAGCCAAGGAGAAAAGCATGTAAGACGGTTGGGATTCAAGAGGATGGTCCAACATCTGCGATTGTGATCCTCAGCTGCAGTATTTTGGCCAAATAAGATACCTGTAGCGCTTCATACTGAGTAAGGTCTCTCAAATTTGAGGCTGTTATCGAAAGGGGTCTCACCTCCGTGTGCCACTCTTCGTGAGCCAACTGACACTTGCATAGACTTTTATTGACTTATCATACTGGCTCAAGATTTGCCTCACTGGTTTTCAGCGAGCCGCGAGTCGATCAGAGAATGATCTACCGTGCCCAGCCTGTGTTTAAGGCACACGTCAGCCCAATGCTCTTGTGGCAGGCATTTCTGATTCTGTGCAGATCTGCATCAATATGGCATTTGGACCCAATGTCTCTGACGGTCGACACTGATTGACATCACGAAGACCGCGTGAATGAGTCTCCGGGCTGCCAGGTGGAGGTTAGATGTCATCCAGTCCAGATTTCAGCAATGGACTGGTTCAAGTTGCAAGTCAACTACCTATCTGTGCACAGCTGTTTGACGGAGTTAGGGAAATGCCACGTACATGGTGGTCTTATCAGCGTCTGGTCCGGACTTGAGTGCTGTGAGCCGTATCAGCTGTACTAGATTTGCGTTATCCCATTTCAACTAATTCGCGTCTAAGGGTGTGATGTACGACGCACACTAATGCGATTACTTTCAGCGGGAGGGTGGCAAGGGCTTATTGACTTTCGATAAACATATGGGCGAAGTCCCGAAACGAGAACTCATGGAAGGGATCGAGCTATTGCGTTTGGCTGATGACCTGAACACTCAGAATATCATTTCCGTGTCTGGATCTTTGGTTGCGACCGAAGGAACCATGCATGTTGTCAACGCCTGGGTGCGGCGCAGGGAGGTCTATCTTCCAATGGCGAATTAGGCTCTATCCACGAAAAAGAATATGACGTTGTGGTGTGGTAGAAGTGGGCCTAATTTGCGTGCAGATGCAGATTCCAACCGGATCCGCACAGGATATTCACTCTGCAAATGTCTAGACAAGTGCCCGGACAAGTTCCCGCATGGTTGACTCTGCATGTGCCCGGATGAGTCTGCATATGCCCGGGTGCGGCAATGTATATAGCCGGTGGCGGGCATCCAGGGCCGGCCATTGATGTGAGAAAGTCATTTTGTTCCTTAAGCATCGGCCCACCTCTCCGCCTTTTCAATCAAGTAACTGCTACTGAATGTATCTAAAAACTCGCCGGTCTGAGCCACGCAAGGTGGCGTCCAGCCTCTGACAGGATTTTGATCAGATAGGGAAAAAAACCAGGATTACAGTTAGAGATAAGAAGACTATACATCGATGGAGTGGCACGATGCGGGCGAAAATAGGATCAATGTGGCCTTCAATATTCCCAGGTCACTTCCTGGCTTTGACTTTTTGAGACGCAGCATAGTCAAAGCGACAGTCTGATAGTAGATCACTAGATATCACCAGAACCCAAAATGACGGTCGAAAGTTCGATTCCCCCATGTGATCAGAAATTCTTCAAAACGTTGTATTGACATACCGCGAAACAGCTTCACCCGAAGATTGGAAGAGAAAGGCCGGCAGTTACAAGGACATGACGAGCACGCTAAATGTCAAACCGATTGGCATCATGCTAGAGAGGCTGAATGGTCTACTACCATTCTCCGAGGCCACTGGAATCCTGGACAATGGCTGCGGTCCGGCACCAATCATGGCGCGGATCATCGATGAGCATGGGGACAGCCTTCCTCAAACTTGTACTTTGATTTGCTCAGACTTCTCAAACGGCATGGTGGAACAAGCCAACAACACAAAAAGAAATGCCCTCGAACAGCAGAGAGATTCACCATGGACTCATGTTCGCATCGAAACACTTGATGTGATGGATTTGCTTAGCATCGAGGACAACTCCTTGAGCCATGTTGCAGCCGGATGGGTAGGTACAGATCTGCCCTAGAGCGTCCTACCAAACGTGTCAGGGAGGCTTCTTGATGCTAACCATCAGTGTCAATCTAGGTTTTTTTCAATGCCAAAGACCCACAGAAAGCTCTTGCCGAGTCGAAACGGGTGTTACAGCCAGGCGGCGTCCTCGCTGCCTCGTCATGGGCAGAGACCGACTGGCTAAGGATTCTCAAGGTTGTCAGCAAGCTGGATCCTGCAGTCCAACCCCCTTCGATTGGTGAGGACTGGGGTACGTCTTCGGGCGTCAAGGCGCAGCTAGAGAAAGCCGAGTTCCGCAACGTTGAGGTGCATCAGGTCCACGTGGACATACCGTTCAAGTCGCATGCCTCATTTGTTGAGACCATGCTGACACGGGTCACCCAGATGGTCGTTGCTAGCCGAGCACTGCCGAGTGGATCGCATGACGAACTAAGGGGTCTTATGATTGAGGAAATGAAGTTGATCTGCCCCAGAGAGCCGGGTGTTCTGAGGGGAACTTCACTTGTAGGTTTCGGGATCAAATAGACCAGGGCACAATTGCCCTGAAGAGTTACTAGATGCCTCGGTCAGCTTCCTCGACCACTTACAATACGTCCCAACTGGTTCAGTTGACAATATATCCTTTATTTATATACACCTCAGTGAAACAGATTAAAGCGCATTGTCTATATTATTTCAATTACATTTCCAATTACAAATAATTACTAATATCAAGTTTCTCTTAGTTTCATTCAAGATCAGTCAGGTTTACTCGATTGTTTCGATATGCTATGATTTCGTCACCACCCAACAATCAGCTGCCCGTGACCTAGTTGCAAAAGTCTTGCAGCGGCGAGTATGTTCTGCTGCCGTGTGTGGCCAAATAGCCAAATTGCTATCTCACCCCTGTGTATAATGGGATATATCCAGTATGCAATGCAATATCTTAAATGATCATTTATCAACTTTTTTTGTTATGCTGTACATTGAGAACTCTGTGCTTGCCTTGTCACCATTTAACACCAAACCCGCACGAAAAGCCTGGCTACCAACATACGGCGGACTGAGTGTGCCCAAAACTCGTGACGTCGTCCCATCTCGGCGCGGTCTTTGTGAGGTTCATTATAACGCTAGCACAATGCTCGGCATGCTCCCACACATGCACAACCCTCTCCGCCTTGGTTCCAAGATTCAACGATGCCGCTGCTTGAAGGAGCAGGAACATGCAATGCGTCGCATGATGTGACACAGTCGTCCACGCTGGCGTCAGAAGGTCAAGCTCATTTAGCTCTTCCTCAGATATCTTCGCCCCAGGCTTCCCGTTCTCATCTCTGTAAAAGACAAACTCTGGTATATCGCCGTCTAAGGCCTTGAAGACAGCTGCCCTCGCAGGTTCAAGATCAGCGGCGCAGTTTGGCGAGATCCATCTGTTGTGGATTTTGCTGAATGTACATCCTTTATTCTTGGCCTCAGCGATTGTTGCACCACACCATTCGTGTCCTTCAGCAACTTCTGCGTCCTTCATCCATGTGAGGAGGTTGTCTGTGCCTTCGCCGGGCTGGGGAAACCGAGATGGCGGCTTTGGTGGAAAGGCAAACAAGGTGATTAATAAGATGATAGTCAAAATACCCGAGAAATACTGCCACCTTCGTATTGTGGTATCTTTCTTCCTAAGTTCCAGAGCCAGCGCTGTTCCACTGTCTGTTTGCCTATCGGCATCCTGGACCGGCGCGTAACTTGACTTTCTGAAGAGTGAAAATGGGAACCAAGATCGTAAGCCCACCCGGCGATCTGAGCTCAGGCGCTCGTCCAACGTGTTGTACGTCTCGGAAGTTTTCGAGACATCGTCTTCGTCGAACCTGCCCATGGGCTCTGGGGTCGATTAGGAGTTGGTTCGAAAGCTGAATACAAGGTTTTAGTGGATAATTTGACAGGCTCAATCTAGAAAATGTAAGTTACAAGAAGAATCAGGCTAGGATCTTTGAGGTCTATAGAGAAATTAAACAGCAGGGTATGGTACCTACAGGAAGCTTGGAGTGATAATGCTTGCTTAGCTGCGAGGGAGAGGGGGAAAGGCGTCTGCAGATGATAGCAATAGCCAATTAATGACACAGCGAGCCTTTGGGTTACGAAAAGTCAGTCTCAAACCAGATGTAGTGCTCTCTGACCACATAGCTTCTGTCTGTGGGATGAGTCGTGCTGAGATATTTCGGACCGAGACTCTCGAAAAGCGAGATTTCGGACCGCGCGTGCAGTTCCATCCGGCTAAAATTTCGATCAACACTTGTCGTTCATATCACGATTCGAGAGAAACCATCGAAATAGAATATTTGAATGTCAAGCGAGATACAGAGGTAAGAGTCATTTGACCGCATCCCTTCCATATACTCGATACCCGACCTAGTCCAGGAATCAGGCGGCCGGCAGCATCCCTAGACCCGTTCCCAAGAGGCAGACTCTCTGTGATCGTATCTGGAGCAATTTCAAACAAGTGTAACTAAGACGTACCAAGCTCGGTGAAGCGTGCATCAGCTTTCCCTGTCCATCATTTCAGTACAGTCAAATTCTGACCTTGCAACTATTCATACGCAGGAGCAGCTAAGTAGGAGGGGCGACTATAGAGTAGAGGCTATGACCAAGCAAGGGCTGCCACCTACGAAATCACGGCGTGGCTTCGTGAAGCAGCACCTATGATAATAACTTTGGGATGAGATTTGAACGCGCGCCTTCGCCAATTCGAAATGGCGTGAGAACTCAAGTGAGCTTGGACCGCGTTCTGGAACACAGGTGGTGGCCAATATCAGATCTATGCATCTACATGCGGTTCACAGCATACTGTAACGCATTTACGCGAGGAGGTTCAACAAACAAATCATCATTGGCTTAATTGTGTGGGGTTACTAGCCACAAGGTATACTGTAATGACTGTTTGTTTTCTACTAACCAGAACTGTTACCGGTGCCCGCACACGGGAAGCACTTGGCCGCCCACATCTCCGGGCCTACGTGAATGGTCTGCTCGGTATCTAAACCATTGGGTGAGATTCGAATTGGGGGATTGGATGTTATGTAACATCTTTCCTCGCCGACAGGCCATACACTTTGGAGACTGGGCGCGAATGAGAGCTCAGCGGGCTCTTTGTACATGCGGACATGTGGGTGCCTGTCGTTCCGATAATGCACGTGTACCCGACTATGCGGAGAATGGTTGATCAATTCCAATCCTGTTATGGGGTAGGTAACATTGTGGCAGTCTTTAGCAGTCCAAGCTCCAAAGTGCCTTTTCCGCGCTGACCATACCGGGTTCTCTTCCTGTGCCTTTTTCGCGCATGAGCAATTAGTGACAACAAGCTCTCATTTAGTATGGACGAAAATCAGACTGAAGCCAAAGCTCATTTGCAAGAGCATGGCTGGGCACGCATTCCTTCCGTGCTCAGCAAAGAGGAGGCAGCTCATGCTCTAGACCGGCTTTGGAAGGCCAAGGCGGCGGTAGAAGCCGAGGGAGAAGAGACGTACCTCGAGTTCCTGGATCCCAATCCCAGCAATGTCCGTGTCTTTTACCTCATGGCCGTCGACAAGATCTTCCGCGACCTTATCTCGCACCCCACCGCTATCGAGATGGTGAAGTCAGTTCTTGGTGACGATTTTATCATCTCCAACTTCACCGCCAACATCGCCCGCCCAGGATCCAGGAGCATGGCTTTGCACTCGGACCAGAGCATTGTGTTCCCGGATCCATGGCAGGATACGTGGGCTTTGAATGTCATCTGGTGTTTGACTGATGTCACAAAGGAAAATGGAGCGACACTCTACATTCCTGGATCAAATAAGGTGAGAGCCTTCTAATACACATCAGCGCGGTGCCAGTGTCAGTACAGGTCAAAGATCAGTCCAGATAACATAGTCCTTCGCAGTGGATGACGCGTAAGGAAGTGCCAGACAACGCGCCAGAGCTCCTCGTTCCGTTCGAGGGTAAGGCTGGGGATATAATCGTAATGGATGGGATGGTTTGGCACACGAGTGGCTCCAACACCACCAAAGATCAGGACCGGGCTCTATTATTTGGGTACTACACTAAGGGTTTCATGCGACAACAAGTGAACTGGACGGCGAAACTGTCCAAGGAAATCCAAGACACTTTGACTCCGGAGCAGAAGCAGTGGCTCGGACTAGGGGTGGTAGGCAATATTGGCGTCACTGGTGACTTCAGGTACATGTCAGTGCAATATCCCGAGTCAGGATCAAAAGAGTAAAAGGCCTTGGCAATTTGGATTCTAGGTTTGAGGTGAAGCAGTAGGAGAGCCGTAGAGATATCTATGGCTCGTCTAGCTTGACTTGAGTCGAGAAGAAATAGTGTCTGGACCAAAAGTTGGTTCCATCCATAGCGCAAACGTCAACCGTCAGCGGCTCCGTGAAGACATCCACCATAGTGGTGCAATCTGTGTACTGATCCAGAACCAAAAGCAAGCGACAATGCGCACATGTTGCGAGGAAAGGCTACTCCTCAAGACGGCAACCTAAAATTGCAAGCGGGCATTCGTTCTTAAGCCCTGAGGTCGTCATAATGCATTTTTGGCGATCAGAAAGTTGATGCACTTTGACCTGAGACTTGTGTCAGCTGAAAGGACACAGGATCTTGCTGATTTACGACGCAAATTTGACCCACCTCGCTCCGCCTCCGAACCTTCAGCAAAGCTCGTCTCCGGCGTAGCTGGATAAGGAGAAGCTTCCTTGCTCTGATGATACGGGCGGTAGACTGGAGGCAGTTGGGAGCCTGTCTTGGTGTCACGAGTCTTGGACTGTCGGCGGGGATTCCTAGCCGTCTGCCCAGGCTGCTGTTGCTCATTTCCCTCCGAAATGACATGTAGTTCTTGACCATTCCCAGGCTTATTTCTGACACTCCGGTAAATTATGGAGACGAAATAGGCGACGCCGCCGATTGTTAAAGTAAAAGGCCAAAGAAGAGCGGCGAGGCCGATGACTAGAGTCTTGATAGCTGCTCGAATGATGCGGATGTTACATCCGCGGAGAAGGCACCGGTTGAAAAGGTTGTCGACAAGGCGAGGGGGGTCCACGATAAGGAGGTAGGCCGTGAGGAATGTCATAGTACCATAGATGAGTGAGCCCAAGACAATCCCTGTAACCAAGAACGCAGCGTTCACATCGAACGAGCGCTCATACACGGCCATGATGACAGTTCTTAAACGATAGTGCGGGTGTCAAACTGCTAGGTGGAGAAGGCTAGTAGATTAGGTGATGGTGACCATAGAAGATGTTGAATCAAGATGCGATTGCTAGGAAGAGGTTGATCAGGTAGCTAAAGCTGCAGTGCGAGGATTGTGCCGGCATTCGAGCACTCGTTCGGATGAGCAGTCATTTTTCAGGCCACTTGTCGTCGTTGCCTTCGCAGTCATTATAACGATCATGGCAGGTACGACTCTGCCTCTACCCAATACAGATAGCTGTCATTGGCGCGTCGTACGCTGACATTGGATGCAACTTCTCAAGTTGCTACACATCTGTTCTCAAGCCTACATTTCGGGCTGAAACCTCAGCCTGATGGCCAACTTTGTAGTCAGAGGGTCACTTCAACCTTCCCCGAACAGTGAGTCAAGTTGGTGGCTTAAAGTCGGTGTCAGGCTCTTGCTTTGTTCGTAGATTGTTTCCACCCTAGATACATCACACGTCTCCAGACACATCTATGCGATGTCTGTTTTCAGATAAAAAAGGCCTGTTTGCCTCCCCAGCTCCTAAATCTAGTCCTGTCCCCTGTCCAGTGGAAGTTGCGCCCTGCAAAAAAACATCTGTCTGCCTCGGACCTCAGTTTTCAATTCAACCCTGATAGAGTCCATGTTCTCACACACGAAAGACGGCAACCGGATATTTCTTGAGAAGCTCAGGATATGAACAGCATACACGATACAAGGCGACAGCCAAGGGGTAGTCGAATCTTAATGAGGTTAGCCTGGTCTGGTATCCCAAATGTAGCTGATGTTTGATCAGTGCATGTTCGGGCCCCCGGCCGTTAGTTGCTGCCACTTTCAAATGTAGGAGTCCAGGTTCTCGCGGGCCATGTTGGTAGACTGACACGTCTTGATCTTTATTGACCGCCAAGAGTCGTGCCCGATGCGATCCAGCTCGAAGGCCAACGTCATTTTGTTCGCTGATGCCAAACCTTTGTGCAGACATCACCAAGCAACACAGGATTGATCACGCCACTGGAGAGGGCTGTGGTGTTAACCGATTTGAGCAGACCTTTCGCAGAACTCGAATGTGACTGTGGCATCTTCCAAGCTGTGGCGCCCACTACGGTTGTCACGGGCGATGCAACCGCGGTTTACAGAAGTGAGGTGGCACTCACGGGTAGCAGTATGACTGACAGGCGGGCCGACGGACCCGTCAGACTCACTGCTTTAGATTTGCCCAGACTTTCGCTTATGGCGAGCGACCCTATTTGGGCCAGCTACGCAACGGACCCCTCCGAAACGACTCACAATTTCCTTGGACAAATTGTGAAATAAGCAGCATATGACTTCGGAAATTCTATAGTTTGTCCGTAGATGGTTCGTTTACAAGTCAATATCAAATTCGCTCAAATCAGTACAAAATGCAAAAGTTCAGAAAGAACTTACGATTTTGTCAAGACAACGCAGAGCTCATGGAAATGTTGTTTGGCTGACCAACGCACGTCAAGGATGTCTTGTTATGAACAAATTTAGAACGTCAACCATTAAATAACAGTATTGACATCTGCATTCTAAATAGTGCACGTTCAATCCACGAAGGGGGAGGGAGGGAAAACAAAGAGGAAAGGTATTATTCCAGGTACCTCTGCAAGGCTAACGTCGCGAAAGTATACTTCCGTTTAAGTCATGCGGAGTATCGACGGCCGAAGCTAACTACGGATCTCTCCGCTTTCAACACAACCCAGCGATGACCATGCGTATAAGTATCATGAAGCTGTTAAAACAAAGGAGATCGATTTTTGTTTATTTGGTAGCGGGATCCAAAATTGACAAGCACCTTGCTCTTCGAAGCGAATTCAACGATGATGTTGACTAGCCTATCAACAGTGTTTGCAGCTTTGGCTAGCTTGGCTATAGCGCAGACCACGACATATCAAGCCGAAGATGCGACTTTGACTGGTGTCACGGTTGCCACAGATGTAGCTGGCTATACAGGTGGGTACCACATTTCACTGTACTTCGATAGGATTACTAATTCAGGTTCATCTAAGGCACGGGATATGTTGGAGGCTTTGATACTGAGGGCGACGAGATTAAGTTCAACGTCACCAGCGCCACGCAAGCCCTTTATGACCTGAACATCATTTACAATGGGCCGTACGGAGACAAGTACACTACTGTCGTTCTCAATGGCGCTGGAGGTGGTCAAGTCTCTCTGCCGGCTACAACCTCGTGGGTCACTGTTCCCGCTGGACAAGTGCTTCTGAATGCCGGATCGAACACGATTGAGATCCAGAACAATTGGGGGTGGTAAGGAACATTTGTCTGCCCGCACATTACAAGGCAATACGGATCATACTAAATTGTTCATACAGGTATCTCATTGATGCCATTACCTTAACACCAGCTGTAGCGAGAGGACCGCATCAAATCACCACGACTCCAGTAAATCCCAATGCCGATGCAAACGCGAAGGCTCTGCTCAAATACCTCGGCAGCATCTATGGAAAGAACATCCTTTCAGGACAGCAAGACCAAGCCTCGCTCGACTGGGTCACCACCAATGTTGGCAAGACTCCCGCGATCCTAGGTGTCGATTTCATGGACTACACCGAATCCCGCATTTCTCGCGGAGCTTCCAGCACGGACGTCGACAAAGCCATTGCCTTCGCTGCCAAGGGAGGTATCATCAACTTCGTCTGGCACTGGGGTGCCCCAGTCGGGCTGTACGACACTGCCGAGCAGCCATGGTACTCTGGTTTCTACACCGCGGCAACTGACTTCAACCTCACCACCGCCCTGAAAGATACTACGAATGCCAACTATACTCTCCTGATCAAGGATATCGACTCAATCGCTGTGCAACTCCAGAAGCTTGAGTCGGCTGGCGTCCCCGTCCTATTTAGGCCGTTGCACGAAGCTGAAGGCAAATGGTTCTGGTGGGGGGCTCAGGGCCCCGAGCCGGCCAAGAAATTGTGGAACATCGTCTATGACCGCATCACCAACTACCACAAGATCAACAATGTATTGTGGGTCTGGAATTCAGTTGCGGCCGACTGGTACCCAGGCAGCTCTACTGTTGATGTTGTGAGCGCGGACACCTACACACAGGGTGATCATGGGGTAAATACTGACTACAGACTTTTCTTTGAGGTACAAAGTGGCTAACAATGTTCTAATTACTGCAGCCCATCTCAGCGACATATAACTCCCTGCTCAGCCTTGTCAACGACACTAAGATCATCGCCGCGGCTGAAATCGGCTCCGTCATGGACCCAGCCCAGTTGAAACTTTACCAAGCAGATTGGGTTTACTTTGTCGTCTGGAGCGGCGACTTCATCTCCGGCGGTACCTGGAACACACTGGACTTCCTCAAGTCTGTCTACTCCTCAGATTATGTCCTCACCCTTGACGAGATCCAGGGGTGGAAGAGCGGAGGCAGCCCCGTGACAAGTACGAGTAAGAGCACAGTCACAACAAGCACACGCTCCACTTCTTCCACCGTGAAGACGAGCACCACAGTCTCGCCAACATCCACTACTCTCAAGACGACCACCACCTCAAAGGTTTCATCAGCTACTCCTTCGGCCACAGGAGTTGCGCAGCAATGGGCTCAGTGTGGAGGAACTGGCTGGACAGGACCGACCGCATGCGCGAGTCCCTTCGTTTGCACAAAGCAGGTAAGGACCGATGCCTTTAGCCTTCGAGTTTTAGACCGTCACTGATAATTGATTAGAACGACTATTACTGGCAATGCATCTAGAGTTACGCATGGATCGTGGAAGAGTGTTGAACAAAGTCATATCAGCGAGATGGTCCTCTGGCTCCGTGAAGAAACATCACTTATGAATTCAGACACAATTTTGTGGTCCACACTTCCCCTTTATTGATATTCTGGAGGTATCCAACTTTCATGCCTCCGCGTAGCTCATGCGTGATTGACTAGACCAGCTTCTGCCTCTCTTCCACAACGCGGCCAGCAATTGTCACAGGTCCCGTCTTTCCATACTCGAATTAGCCTCGCGGTTTGGCATTGTGATTTACCTTTAATATGTCAATGATAGCTTAGCATACTTTGTATAAAAAGTGCCTTACCTTGCCTTGCGAGAGATGACAGATTGCAATACCTCAGCCGGCCATCTCCTCGGACAGTCTTCGTGAGTTTGAATATGGAGTGTATGTTGGTGGGGGCTCAGAGATGGCGATGACGTCGTCAGCGTGTTGTATGACCGGTCGACTGTGCTCTGGAGACGTTCGCTCACTGACGTGGCCGGTGACCGCCCCTACGTCCATCCCCACGTCCTTCTCTTTGCTGCTGCCCCTCATTTTCCGCCAGATTCCATCCTTTTTGTCGAAGATGAAGCCGCCGAGAATGAAGAGACCCAAGCTAATCATTATAAGTGGCCAGAGGAGGGCTGGGAGGATGATGAAGATGACTGGGAGAAGAGGTTTGACCTAGCGGCGATCGCGGTATTGTTGGGGCAATTGTCTGTATGTCTCCTCTCCATCGTTTGCGAGAAGCAGCGCCAGGACCGCGGTGATGATGACGAGAACGCCGTAGATGATCGCGAGTGAGATGATCCAGCTGATGCTGTTTCCTGTGATGTACACGCGCACCATTTTGTGTTTGGTTTCTGCTGAGTTGTAAGAAAGACAGTCAAGGGCATTTTCTTGATGCTTAGGTTTTGGAAGACTCATTTGACGACTGACTTAATATCGCAGCTTGAGATTGTTAAATAGGTAGCTAGTCAGCCTCAGAGGGTGGCAGAGTTCAGTGCTTAGGTCAATTAGGTGACGAAAGGGGTATGATTTCAGAGAAATGAGAAGCTAAAGTAATTTGTGACAACAATACAGGGTCAGTCTCGTCCTTGAGATTGAAGGGGAAAAGAAAAGAAAGCAGAAGTAGAGCTTGCCGCGTTTGGAATCTAGGGAGGGAAGTGAAGTGAATTGGGAATTGGTACTCATGATTAGTCATCAATTTCGATGGGCTGTGTGCTCCATATCCATCATTCCGGCTGGCGGATGACGACGGAACTAAGCCCAAAAAGGAAGGGTTGAGGTCGACTGTGGTGTTGAAAGTCAACCCGCTCCCCGCCCCCCCCCCCCCCCGCCCAAGCCACCACACAAGACAAGCGCCCGATCTCTCATCTGGCCTCACTTTAAATGTCTGCTTGAAAATCCTGGATGGTTAGATAGACGACTGAGACGGTTGCCATTCAGTTGCTCTCAAGCTCCATCAAGCGTACTGAGCCGCGAATGAAGAAAAGCGTTGTCTTCCACAAATTGTGAATAGTCTATCTCCACGCATGTTGAAGTTCTCCGCTTAATAGTCAGGGACTACAAATCGAAAACTTCGGGCATCCGAGTTTTCTTGGTCTCTGTCATCCACACATACTACACGAGCTGAACACCCAGAGACACAGGCATCGGTGGGCAGGAAAACTCGCTTCAAAATGTGTCGCATAGTTCTCAAATTCTAAATGAGATACCATATTTCACCTCGTTAGCATTACCTTTGATTGTAAATGTCCTGACTGTTTGGGTTAAAAAAAGTCCGATCGGTCGTATTCGATTGTTCCTCTGCTTCCATCTAGCTAACATTAATTAAAGGGATTGTACTTAACATCGTTGACTACCCCAGCCTCTTGCCTCTTTTACTGTTGGTTAGTACTTTTATTATCGCAACTAAGGTACTTCCCGTAACGAAATACCTTTGATCATTTTCTGAATATGAGACATCATTAACGATATCCGACTTCGATTCTTCGGAATTCCTTCCTTTCTTCGGTTTCTACTAGATGCATTGAAACTTTTTTATGGGAAGTGTAACGGCATGGGTATGTTTGACCTTTCATTAAGCACGAATGGCTAAATCGCTCAAGGCTTCGCAGCTTTTGGTGTCCGAAGGTCCAGTCAAAGGCCGACATTGTTTCGTTCCGAGACGAAATGAATGATTGGTCACCCCTAAAGTTGTCACAGTGGATTTCTGTGGGATTGTCATTCTCACTCTCGGGAGTCGTGATGATCCTGAAACGGCGCTACAGATATATAAGTGGTCGTAGCCAGAAGGCAGTGTCTTACATTTGGCAAGCCACTTCATATTTTGCCACTGATCAAGGAAAATAAAAAAAGCTTTCCATAATAGACCCTCCTGTACTCACTTTGACCATGTCGAATGTCGAGCCAAAACAGTACATCCATTTCCCCACGTTGTGGAATGTGAAGTGGTCGACAGACGGGATCACAGATTTGGAGAAAGCCAAAATCATCCTTTATGATTTCATCAGCAAGGATGATTACGATGACGATGGAAAGGCGACCCTCTGGGATATTCTTCAGGCTTCTGAGGAGGGGGGACACTTCGAAACTGTGTCGTCGCTCGCTACCGCTGTTCAGCAGCAAGTATTTCGGAACCAGCATTCATCTTTTGATACCAACTCGCTATTGCAGAGAATGCGATTCATATGGATCAAGTGTCAGCCTAATATGCCAAAATTAGCCGTCACCGATAGTTTGCGCAACTTCTTCTTCGATGTCTCATTAACTCATGGTCTGACCACCGACTCCACGAAGCCATCAGACGACATAACTGTTCTGGAATCTCCCAGAAGCGCACTTAAGGTCGTGATCATTGGGGGCGGGCCTACGGGCCTCCTGGCTGCAATCACTCTTGCCGAACAAGTCAGATGCCGAGAACTTGTCCAGATACACGTTTACGACAAACGTTGGACCAATGAAAAGTTCGGCGAGTTTCGTTTCACGGTTTATCCTGAAGACCAGCGCCGTCGTGATCAGGTTATCACGCTCCAAGACCACGTCACGAGACTCTTGTCAGACGAAACAAACGATTCAATAAAATATGGCTTGGGCAAACTCGGAGCCGAGCGGGTATGGCCTGAGTCACGTAACCTGCAAATTCGCAAAGTTGAAGATGCTCTGCTCAAACGTGCTCAAGACTCTGCTTTCGATGGAATGATACATTTGCATGGTGCTGATATCATCGACGAAGCCACGCTGATTCAGAAGGCCGGAGAAGACTTTCACTTGCTTCTTGGCACGGATGGTGCCAACTCGTGGGTACGGAGGCATTACTTTAAAGAAGACGAAGAGTCCTGCGGCAGCAGCCTCGCTCTCGGCGTCGCCCTCGATCGTGGCCAGTCGCGATTGCCACGTTCACAAGCTCTTAACATCTTTCTTACTCTTTGTCAGACTAGGTATTTGCTCAATGCAAGTCACCGTGACGGCACAGGCTACTTGAATATGCTCCTCACGGAGAAAGAATACAATGAGTGCGTTTCGCTCGACGGCACTCCCTGCGACTTTCGATCACCAGCATACATTCGTATAAATGGTGCGGAACCTCCTGGAATCTCACAAGACCAGATATTTGCGCCTTACGATGCAAAATCTAGCTTATGGGAATCTATATCGGATGGGCTCCAACTCTTTGGATTTGATGAAGTGGACGTCAAGAGTATCGTACGAATTCCCATCAATCTCGTTGGCGTCAAGATTGCAACCAAATCAATTGCTCTTGAATCGGAGACAAGACTTCTTCCTCACTTTCTTGTGTCACTGGCAGGGGATTCTGCTTTAACTCATCACTTCTGGCCAGGAAGAGGCATGAACAGTGGGATCAAGGCCGCAATAGCTTGGGCTCATCGGATCTCGGACCTCGTCTTGGAACGAGGCGGGGGTTTCGCCGGTCTTGACCCAGTCGCATTGAGCCCTTTTCAGGAGTTCATGCAGCAGCTCAGGCAACGAGAGCACAACCAGCGAAGTTTTGTCATACAAGCTACGTCCGGCGCACCGGAAAGGATGGAGGCGAAGCTGAGGCAAGCGAGTGAGCAACGCGCGCCTGATTGGAAAACAGTTCCAGTCCTGTGTGACAGAGTCCTCAGGTTCGCGAAGCGTTTTGAGGGGCGCGATAGAGGTCGGTTTGACGGGGTGATGAACGGACTGGATGGAAAAATTAAGAGAATCCTGAGTCACCTCAGGACACGGACTAAAGCCGAGATGTATCATTCTGGCCCTTGGCCTACCGAGGAAATGGGGGCGCCTGAAGTCCATCCCCCAAAGTCGCGATTCTCAGACAAACCTCGCTCAGGGGCCAGTGTTGATACCTGCATAACACAGAGTGAGCCCACCCATTCGACTGATCTCAAGAGGCCGAGCACAAAGCGGGCCCCGTCTGCCGGAATTACTCCGAGTCAAGCGACAGCGGTTGATGAAAACTCAGCCTGGGACATGGTACTTTTGATATTCCGTATCTTGCTCGGCTGTTACGTTGCTGCGCGTTATTTGTTATGAGCATGATGAATGCTTTCGTATAAATGATTGGATAGAAAGGATAGTGAAGCGAACAGAGACCATCGAAACCAGATGTATTTTTCTTTGAATCCATTTCTTTCGTCTTGAATGGTTCCTTCGCTATAAGGTGTTGAGATAGGGCGTCTCTGGAGCGATATGGATTTGTGTATCTCCAGCCGGGCTCTGAATTTGAAAGGTATTCGAGGCAACTATTCCAGTGAGTTTCATGGTCTTGCAAATTAAATCTAGTTGCTCTTACCTTCTATTCCATTATCCCCTCCTATTTGACTTTGTTGGCGAATCTCTTAATTGTGTCTTGATTTTACCCAATTGGCTGTTGAAATCCGTTCAAAGGAATGAAACTGTGGTTTAACAAGCGACACTACCGCTTGATTGTATTGCCCTAGAAAATTAATTACCTCCAGGACGGTCAGTGAGGAAATACTATGTATTTCCGGGCCCAAGTATTCTGATATAAACATCTGAAGCTTACGCACGACCGGCAGGAGGCAAGTATGAGTCCAGCCAAGAGAAAATGTGCCACTTCAATCGCATTTATACATGTGCAGGTGCACTGCGTAGAAACTAGGCACCCACTCAGTACATCTTACGGGCTGGTATCTCTAGCGGTAATTGTCTTCGTTGAATGATGCTGTTTTGTCGAGTTCACCTTCCCGATCTCAGCCAATCATCTTATACGCTTGACAAGGCGTGAGTCTGTCACTCCCCCGCCTCAGTGGAGCAAAGGCCGATGATTACCGAGATACGCTAGAGTTGCACACAGCTTCTTTACGGTCCAAAGAAAAAGAAACCACAAACTTGAGTGAAGACGTATACTTAGACTGTCTAGACTAGACTTGTAGGGCGAATTGGAGGGTTGAGTGCAACTGTTTGGAAACAGCTTTGGATTTCGGTCAGATGAGGCTGACAGGGATCCGATAGTATTTCGTACAGTAGGACAAGGCGTTTGTTTGTTCAGCGGGCAGCATCGAATATTTCCTAACAAGTGCGGCGTGTACCAAGGGTTGAAGCCCAGTATTTCCATCTTAATGGGTGGCACAAATTTGTGTACTTTCCGAGTCGGGTGTGCCATTGATAAGAAGAATCAATTTGAAATCATCGCTTCTCAATTCTAAAGTGGGCGCCCCTGCCGTCGGTGCCTAGTACGCGCGTTGCTAAGTCAAACTTTTCAATTTGTGCCTTGGTTGAAAGCAGCCTTCTTTCACGGTCGACCATGTTACAATCAAGATGATGTCTTCGTCAGTTCAAAACCCAGGAGGACGAACAGGAGAGATAAAAAAGTCAGATCAATGGAGCATATACAAAGATATCCTAGCTGCTGAAGAACGAGGATGCGCACGATCTTCCATATTTATCATCTGAGGTCGGATCTCTTGAGCAAATATGCCTAGTAGTACCCGCTACACGTTGTTTTGAGATAATTCTCGGTCCTTTCCCATGCGACGCCGCGATGCATGAACTATAGTTGCAGTATTAACCTCCCAACAACCTCATTCCACGTTGCCCATGGCTGTATATGAGCTAGATCCATCCTGTCTGTTATGACAGCATTTGATTTTCCCTTGTTCAGGCCCCTATCAGAAGTATCAACGAACGCGAAAAGTAGAACCTGCCCCACCAGGACACCAATTCCCTGCCGTCGCCGAATGGATCGACCTCTGGGTCCAAGACGCTCGCATCTTGTAACAGGATCAACTCGCTGTTGAATACGTTGTGAGAAGCCAGACGAACGGGTCTCCGAAAGCCGTGAACAGAAGCACGACAAGAAGAGTCCTCCGGCCCCGGTCTGCCTTGACTGCGCCGTGTAGCTATAGAAAGCTCGCCACGATCCTCGCGATCGGTAGCAGCATTCATCGGCCTGCGTACATGCGCGATTACATGAAGAAATTACAGATAGGAGAAACAGGGAAGAATTGTACAGTCATGCCAATCAATCCCGCGGCCTCGATTCAACCATATATCTCGATTTCATTCGCAATATCTAGCATTGTCATGACGATCAATATACCCCTTTAAAAGCTGTGCTAAAGAGCAGAGGGCCCTAGTACGTGTTGCAGCTAAATGCGCACTTTTATCCTATTAAGTATGTGAGAGGGGGGATGCGATTTATACTCCCAACCTAGCACAACTCAAAGACAGAGCGCACGGATTCGCACAGGGCTACTATTTCCTACCAAGGAACAGTGACAACCTTGCCCTCCCCAGCCATGGTCTTGCTGTACTCGTCCTGCGAGGCCTGCAGCATAGTATGGGTCCCCGACTCGCCATCCTTCCCAAGCAGCGACAGTCTCACAGCGTTGCTCGCCCCCTCAGAGATCGGCCCCGGCGTCTCATTGACACCCGCCCCGTAGTTGTTGATCTTGGTAGCCTGTTTCGCAAGATTACAATGTCAAAATTCATCATCCCTCAGCTGGAAAGGCACTGCTCAAAAGGCAGCGTGCTGCACCCATCGAGAGTTACTCACCCTAAACCCAGGATTCGAAGCATTGACCTTCCACTCGGGGAACCGCAGGTAGTAGTAGATCATGACCATGTTCTCGGCGGCCTTGCTCACGCAGTAGGCCGGGTAGTCCTTGGCGAAGCCGAACTGGTGCGCGAGCTTGAGGCTGCCGGCCCCTGAGCTCATAAAGACGACGCGCGGGTTGTCCGCCTTGGACAGCAGCGGCACGAAGTGCTCGACGCTGGCGGCCGAGCCGGCGGCGTTGGTCGCCACCGTCAGGGTGATGATCTCACTCAAGGGCCGGCCCGCGTAGTTCTTGTCGCCCGAGATCCCTGCCTGGTCAGGGAGTCAGCACTGGAACACGCTACGATCACGCGATGTTGGAGATACATACATTCGCATGCAGGACGTCGAGCCTGCCGAACTTGTCGCCGACCAGCTTGGCGGCGGCGGCCAGCGACTCCTCATTGGTGATGTCGACCTGGATGGCCTCGACCGGTGCGTCCTCGCCACGGCCCTCGCCCTGCAGCTCCTTGACGGCCTTCTCCCCGTCGGATAGGTTCCGGCAGCCAATGAGGACGTGAAACCTGTCGCCGTGGTCACGGGAGAGTTGTCGTGCGACCTCGAGGCCGATCCCGCCGTTCCCACCAGTCACGAGCACGATTTCCTTGTTGGGGGACGCCATCTGACTCTTCGCTGCGGTACACAAAAGTTACTTTTTTCTTAAGACTATTTCTTTTGCGTAGTTAATTCGTGGTTCCAGTGAGTGAGTGATCGCAGCTTCTGACGTTCATCCCTCTTTTGAGCAGTGCCCGAGTGGGTTGTGAAGTCAGCCTATTTCCGTAATGCCCGCTTGTGTCCGACTGGCTGGAGAACGGGCCAATTCGGACTATTCGAGGGTTAAAAGCGTCCGTAATCACCGTAAACAATTGGACGAGCTTGCGCATGTCGTACAAGATGCGAGTAAAAACCACCTGCATGCAGATGTGGGTTTTGTTGCATGATAGGCGGAAAGGCAGTAGACTGTCCCCGCGTTTAGTTACATCGGACCTCGTTTCTTCTAAGTACAAAGCATAGGCCCTGAAACTTACCAAAGGAACGGAGAGAATGTTGGACGCAAGAAAAAGGTTCAATACTTGGTAAGATTCATTACTGAAATGCTTGGATACTTGGGCATGAGATATTTCGTCACGAAAGTAGGTGGTCGTTAGTTTTACGACTCATAGAAAGATGCACACATACACACACCCACAAAGTATAGAAGAGAATAATGTCAAGCTCCTGTCGAACGTATAGACAGCCAGCCATTTCTAACATGAGTGGGGGTATCTTTTTGATAAGAGCTACTGCACACACGGGCGGACCCCTTTTCTCTTTGCACCCTGCCCTGCCCTGCCCTGGCCTGCCGCGCCACTTACTGCTTTGGCTCCCTCATGCATGACGATAGTGATGATTGTGCCACTCCGAGCTCTATCCTAAAATAAGTTTGAAGCTTTTCCCGCCGCCGACTGCTATCCACCTCTAAGGTCTCCGCAGCTAGAAGGCCCCTCAAATGTGAGTTCTCTGACATGGTGCTACGAGAAATCTCAGCTGCACCATTTACCTTGATCTCCTCTTGCAGATTATGCCACAGGAGACAGGCCTCGAGACCCTTAATTTATTGGTTGGTCTTGGCCCACGATTCTCGTCAGCCGAGGAGTCATGCTCTTTTTCCCAATTTTCTCCAGGCTCATTGTGTCTGGAGAATCATCTGATGAACCCCATAACCGCCTAGAGCAACTCAAACCCAGCCTCTGCCAATGACTCCCCAACTGGCAGGATCGGCCGGCCCTGCATCGGGAAAGGCCAGAAAAGCGGATTCTCCATCGAGTCTCCGGACCTCGCAAGCGTCGGGCTCACCGTCGCGACCGGCGAGGGCGCAGCATTTCCCCAATTGGAGACGAAATCCTGCTCTTGCATGTTGGGTGTGAAGAAATTGAGGCTGTTCGTAGCCGGCCGAGTTCCGTACGTGTGGTCGTTCATTCTGGTCAGTTTGGGTGGGGTTGACGCTTCGCGGCCTGTCTGATGTGCGTCTTCCTTCTCTTTTTTCACCTGGCGAGGGACATCCATGTCGATCTCAATGTTCCACTTCCTCGCGAGGTATCGTAAAATGTTCAATGCTTGTTCCGCAAAGTGATGACACGGCGCCATCTCTGTCAAGTCGGCGATGCCCTGGTTGATGGATTGGGAAACATGGGGGTCCGCCCGGAACGAACCCCTGTTCACTGGTGTTTGATGATTTGAAGATTCCTGTCTCGAGGCTCCTCCAGAAGCTCCCTCCTGGCCCTCGGATTGGGACGGTCCTCCTGACGCTGCAATTGCCAGGTGCATGATTGAAGACGTTAGAACGAAGTAAGGGACAAAAGATGGCGTCCGCCGCAATGTGTACAACTGCGAGTATGACCGAGACAGACCCTGAATGGCATCCGCGGCTTGGGAGCAAACGTCCCTCGGTAACATGCCCGACCCCACGATCCGCAACTTGATCAAAGGGCGAAAAAGCAGCAGAATTGCGAAATGATAATACATGCTACACACCAAATCATGTCAGAAGTGCAGCCTACTGCATCCAAAGAGGGAACTTACTGCGCAAAAAGGACTGCAGGAGTGAAGTTGTGCCCAAGTCGGAGAACTTCTGGTACACTATCGTACCAATTCAGGAACTGGGTGTAGATGCTCAGAAGATCGGGGGCCGTGAGTGGTCGGCCAGGGGTGTGAAGTATATAAAGAGACTCGTGGACGAGTTCGCTCAATTCGCAGAAGCACTTGTAAACGGACCTGACATTAGACGGTTGCTCGCATGACCGTTGCAGGGGTGCACCTATCTTCATGTGAGCGTGGCCAGTTTCACCGCGAGAGGAGGATGATTACCGTCATCTGTGTATGGAATCCATATAGAAGCCTCGATGTCTGGCATGATTGCTGGTTTGGGCGGTAGATGTGGAAAGCAGGAGCACTGTGGTAGAGAGCCAGTGGCCAAAGACCAGGCACTTAGATGACCAGTCAGTCCACCAGCCAGCTCACAAATGTTTGGGGGGGGGGGGGGGTTAAGTCACTCACTGGTCCAGCGCAAAAGCACCCCAGAACGTTGCTGCCTGAACAGCAACCTCATCACTGTCTCCTGACGCGTCACTCACGCGGTGCAGGCCCATCTCAACCGCGAGGCGAATACTTTGCCCAGCGTAGTACCAACTTTCGGAATCCCTGCCACAACTGGCCTCCCGAATGGACATAATACCCAAAGCCTGTATAGTCGTGAGACTGTGGTGATTGTCCTCTAGAAAGAAGAGCCTTAGGCTCTCCTTGAAAAAGTGATCTCCCGAGGTGTATGGGTCTTCCGGATTTGCGCGCGTACTAGGCTGGCTCGAAAACCGGCAACCCAAGGCGAGAAGGGCGTTCACGAGGATTGAGGAGCAGTAACGAGATCGCCCGGAGTGAAAGTCTTTCAAGAAGTGCTCCTTGCTCAACGATGCAAACGTGGGGTACTCCCAGCAAAAGTAAAGCGCAAGAAGGTGCTGAACCAAGTTTCCGTCTGAGCTGATCTCCGTCCATGTCGTAGGCAGGTCTGAGGGCGGGGGCATCTCTGGGGCCAAGACCTGGTCGAGGCCACGGTATCGACCCTCGGACGACTGCAGATGCGACACATTGTCTGCGATCCACGAACCAACCCTTGTCTGAGGAGGGCCGGAAGATCCCCAGCTCATAATGTCAGGATGTGAGTCGCTCCTGGTAGAGTGCGCCTGGCTAGCCCCCGAATAGTGAGCATTCCATGGACTGTTGGGATCTACGTCCTGCCTGGAGCTCAAGGGATGAACTGTGGACGTGGGGCTGACAGTGGTGGCCGAGGCTGCTGTGTTGCCCCTAGCAGGAGTGTACGAGGCGGCGGCCGCACCAGCGAAAGTCGCCAGAGGAGTGAGGTTTGTAGTCATGCCGGAGGGTCGGCCGAAAGACGGCATTGCGCCAGTGCCAGCTCCCGTGGCCAGCTGGCCGCTCAGCCAGTCGGATATGACCTCTACGGACTGGCCACTGCGCAGTCTGCGCAAGACCTCCTCCCACTGCTCATTTTGCGAGAGTGCGCCGATGACAGAGTCGCTCGAGGCGAGTTGGCGGCGCAGATGCTCGATCTCGTTGCGGAGGTTCTCCTTGGATTGTCGCACAGGGACTTCGTAGTGACACTCGACATCCTTCTGGGCGCTGCACCTGCTGCATGGTTGCTGGCCATCGCACTATGGGCAAGATAGCAAATAGTCAGTTCGGGAGGCCAGGGCAGCTTGCGCCGCCAGATGCAAAGGGACAACGGCAAGGCACGGATCGGAATGAGTACTACCTTTGCACGCTTCTTCCGACACTCTGTGCAGGCATTGGGAGTGACCACGCCGAGCCCTCTACGCCTCTTTGAGGCGGCTGCGCTGGAGGCGGAAGCAGCAGTCGGCGCATTGGGAGTGCCGGCGGAGGAGGAGGTATCTGCAGTCTGGGTGGTGCCGGCGGCGGCGGGGGTGCCGGAGGGGTTCGAGGCTGAAGCCGTCGAGGCACCCGTGGTATGAGTAGTTGAGACAGGAGTTGCGCCCGAATCGTGAGTCTTGGATGAGGGCGTATCGTCAGGAGGAGGAGAGTCCTGGTCCATCGCATCCATGCTGGGTGGGCGGGCTCGTTTCTCAGAGGCCATTGGGAGGCGGGCGCGCCTGGGTGGGTAGTGGGTAGCGGGGGATGGAGGAGGGGGGCGGGATTTGGGGGTGGAATCAGGTCAGGGACGCGACAGCGCGTAACGTCATTCTTGGGACTCGGGAAGTCGAAATTTGGCCGAGAACCCTTTGCGCGCTTGTGCTGTGGTAGTCTAGTCTAGATGAACTAGGTGGATGGGGTGGATTATGTGTCGCAGCTGGCGGCGCGACCTGGTCTGGCTTTCTAACTCCCTGGCTGGCTGTCGTGTGTTCTCTTGTCGCAAACTTGTGTCTAGTATCTGGGGCTGTCGAGAGTTCGAGTTCGAACCGAGTCGCAAAATCCAGGATGGCCGGTAGCTTCAACAGCTCTGATATGATATGGCAAAAATGCGAGCTGCTGCGGCACCTCGGGACATGGCCCCCCTGCAATCTTTGACCGTTCGAGGGGGGTGAGGGGTGCCAGCTGCCGAGCTGCAGGAATGGAGGGGCGTGAGCGTGAGCGTGGGCTCTGCGGTCGCTCTCTGGCTTTCTGGACCAGGTCGGAGCTGGTGCTAGGGGATTGGCTGCGGTGTGATGGGATTCTGAGGGGTTGTACCTGGGATTTCCTCAATGCGATGTCAGAGTTTGGCGGTGATGACGAGACACTGAGTTATGGTTGCTGGGGGCGCAAAGGGGCAAGACACAGGCGAAGACACACACACACACTCTCGAGGCCAACGCCACTTGCTTGATGCCCAAGCCTGAATCTTGAAAGCTCCCAAACGAGCCGTTCGACCCACCTTTGAGCCTCAGAAGATGCAGGGACTGGTCTAGAATCTGTCTGTGGTCGTGGTTGGATGGTTGGTGCCGGGCATGAAGCCGAATGAATACCTGTTGCTGCACGTCGAGGCAGGCTCGCAGCGCAAGAGTTCACCAATCCTTTTCCTTCGGGAACGGGACCGACGTGACGTGACTGGGACGATGCTCGGTCAGCTTTCGATGCGATCGATGGCTAGGATGCGTCGGTGCGAGTGCGAGTTGCAGGACGGGACAGCGTAGCGCAGCGCAGCGCAGGGGAGCCGCACCGTTGGACTACAATAGGGAGCTGTCGTCGAATGGGGTTTCTGTCCTGGCGGATACCATCCATTGTCAACCAGGATGATCAGCCAAGAAGGGGAGGCGGGGCAAAGGCTGTCTAGTGTTCACTGTGGACATTTGGCGAGCTGAGCTGGGTCAGGGGACAAGACAGATGAATACCAGGACGAGACAAGCGGGCAGAAGAAGAAGGAGGACGAGCACGACGTATTGGTGGTCGACAATTGTGGGGACGGATTATGCTGGTGTCTACGGTCGACTGCCCAGCCCGTAATGCCCACGACTGACGATGAAGAGCTGAGCGTTGTGGAGTTTGCTGCTCGCCGTCGTCGTTGGTTGTTATGCTCTGGTCTGGTCTGATTTGGCCCGGCATGGTCCCGCCCAATTCGGTCCATTCAGGGAGAGAAGAACAAGACCTGTGTAACACGCTCTATTTCCTGACGTGCCGCGTGCTTGCCGTGTTGGAGATACTGCACACGCGAAAAAGCAGCAGGAGCCGTCCTGGGTACGCAGCAAGTTCCTTCCCCCGCCCCCCAGCCTTGGTCCCTGCACTGTGACGCAATGCCGGTCCCCTGGTCCTGCCCAAAGAAAAAGGTGTACTCTGTGGTACCTACCTCTGTGGTACATTACGCAATAGGTCCTTGGGTACCTGGACACCGCAGCATATCATTTCGTAGCCTTGGATTTCCCGCCTTGGAGGAACTCGCCGGTCACACAAAGGTGTAGTTAGGGTCTAGCATCTCCAAACCTGCCCGCTCCTCAGCCTAAGCCCAAACCTGTGCCTATGCCTAAAAGTACGAATGCCATCCTAGGTCTGTCAGTGCTGGTGCTGGCGCTGCTTCTCTCCCCCTAATGCAGTTTCAGTTAGTGCACAAGCAGCAGCTTCCCGGGCACGTGGTTCTTTCCAGAAGCCCAAACTTTAAAGCAGAAGTCCTGCACCGGAGCTTTTGTTCCGTGGTCCCTCTGGACCCCCTTCAGGCTTTCGGCCCCAAGAACTGTGAGAGGCCTCTGGGATAGGCGAGCACGTTGATATCTTATGAACACGTTTTCATTTTTTATTCCTCTCCCTGAGGCAGCTTGCACATGCTTAATTGCCCATGCGAGATCAGATCCCTGGGTCTGCAGCATGTCGATCTGCAACTGCCCGAATGTTCTACTGTATAGTCAGGGTACTGTACATACACGCTGACAGATCACTAATCAAGCACCAATCACTTGTCGCCATATAGCGAGTCTTGCGCATGCATTTGCCCCTCAGGGTCTGCGTCTCAGTCGATACTTGCAGCGTGGTTGCTGCAGGTTTCTGGTGGACGGCTTCCTGTTGGTGCTCAGTGGACCAAACTGCTGCAGGAAACAGATGAGCTGTTCCACAAGGCTGAAAGACGGCAGCTGGAAGACACGGATGAATAAAGAGCCCAAGAAGAAATCAAGTGAGTGACTTACGATCTACCAAGCTATACGGATCTACCAAAGCAGCCACCCGGCCGAAAGAGGACAGTCGATGCGGGCCGGGTTCACTTGTTGCTCATGTGACATGTTGAATTATCCTTTAGAATCGTACAAACCAGATTTTACAAACTACTATGAGCAAATTGATGAGCAAAGAATGAAGCGAGTGAATTTATGAGCTAAGAATGAAACGACCTTCTGGAATCTAGAATCCTCACCGACACTGCTCTCTAAAAAGGGGCGACGACTGTCGAGGCCTCTCATCCAGTCACGAGCACGCCCATAGCCATCATATCGCCACCCTGTCACGGCGCAAGAAAGCCTTCTCCGAGGGAAATACGTAAACGAGGAACATTGCAGTGTCCGAATCCTTATTGCCACAGCTTTCAGCTTGAAAGCGTATTATAAGACATATCTACGTTCTTCTACTTCCACTTTGTTACACAAAGGAGAATCCACAACCTCAACACCACAAATCCCCCAAGTCAGCCTGATACCGACAAGCCGCAGAATAAGTATAACTAAGATTAATATAACCCCCCTCACCATACGTGTAAAAGCTCTCACCGCCTTTCAAATACAAACAATCATAATCCGTACTCAATGCGCCCGACACCAAACTAACACTGAGCACTCGCTCTCGCATCGCCCCCGGGTCCGACAGCCCGTAGTCTTGGTTGTAGCACACAGCGGCGACGTAGACGCCGTAGTCCGGGTTGCGCTCCCACATGGCCCGCGTCGTCGCCTTGGTGAAGGCCTCGCGCGCCGCCGTCCAGCCGAGGATGTTGCACACCTGCTCCGCCGCCGCGTCCACCGCGAGCTTTCCCGCCTCGGCGGCCGCGCCCGAGGCGAACGAGGTCAGCAGGGTCGTGATTACGCTGCGCCCTGCGAGGATCAGGCCGGCGCGCCTGGTGGAGAGGGCGCGCGCTACGTCTTCCTGGGTTTCGACCATGTTAGTTTCCTTGTAGATTGTGTAGTTGGAGAAGGCCGTTGTAGCTTGGGAAGTAGACTTACGTCGATGACTGGCGGGCTCAGGTCGAGGACTGATCGCTTTGAGGGCGTTGCGCCGGGGTACACGCCTGTGCTGTTCTTCACGCCTACCCAGGTCGTCGTGATGGCTTCCGGGATATCTGTGTTGATCGCATCTTGGGCCCTGGGGAGAACTAGGCCGGAGACCGAGGAGATGGCCAGGAAAGCTGTGAGGGTGTGAAAATGCATTGTGTATTTGGGTAGAAAACGAGTGACTTGAGTACAGATAGTGAACGAGCGACAGATCAAGTGAATGACTGCCTTCTACAAATTCAGTGGTCGGGCCCAAATGAGGAAGCCTTGGAGAGGAACATTTTTCATGATCATGGTAGTAAAGATATATGTGCTTTATAGCAGAACATCCCTCCCTTCTCTCTTCGGTATATTACCTGGTCAGTGTCGCATTCTGGCACTGCAGTCTGATCGCAACGCCCAAACAGCGTCCAAATTCTGGCCGGGCAGTCCCTTTGCGGCGAGATAGGCCCCAGTCGCATCGTATAAGCCATCTCGGGCCGTCAATTATTGGAACCAGATAGTCACGTCAACCGGCGGAACAAGCCTTTTTCGACCAGTCGCAGGCGACCGGACCCCGACGAGGACGGGGCTGGCAATCTCGGTCCCCTTCGTGAGCGGCTGGTTCCGGCCAGTTCGGCCGAGAGATGCCAAGCTCCCGGCCCCACGGGTCCCGGAGATGCCAGCCGCATTAGGAGGCCTTTTTCGGTGGGCGTACCAGAAGAATAAGAAGATGATATTGGAATTCAAGTCCTGGTGCTGGCTGTAATCTCTCTGTTCTTCTCAATTTGTACATGACTTCCAAGGTTCTCTGTACTGCCTACCATAAAATCGCCAGTGTCCTCCGCGGTGCAGAATGATTGGAAGGCTGTTTACCGACATCGCGCTTCTAGCCTCCACGAGAGCCACGTCGCTACCGCGGTAGCCAGGAGAGATTGACTACTCTTGTATGAATGGTTTTATATTATCAAGGTACTCCAAGAAGAGCACCTCGTCGCTATTCTTCATTCCAGAATCTTCCCAATGCCTGCCGCTTTTCGTGGGTATCCATCCATACGCCTTGGGCTTGTTGGTCTTTTGTACAGAAAAAACAACCTTGCCCTTCCCTTTCCATCCTTCCCACGATTCAATCCCACATGATTTCATGTCCTGTCTGACCATTTCCAATGATTTTAATGTACATGTATCGATCCCAATTTGCTTCCTAACTTTACTTCCCGTCCGGACAGTATGGCCTCCTTCAATTGAGACGTGTGTCCAGATTGCAATCTCAGGACGCTATTTACCACTCAAGCTTCTTGACCGTGCTTCTCTTCGATGGACTCCTACTCCGGTCCGTTTTGCTCGGGCTCCTGTCAAGCTTGCTGGGGCTCCTCCGTGATGGTGTCCTGGGCGGCGGAAGCAGTCTTGAATCAGGTGAGGCCTCAGATTCTGTATCATCCTGTAGAAAAGCTCGTCTGATGTGTTTTGGTGTGTGGCCGATGGGAGCAAAGATATAAGCCTGGTTCTTCTCTGGTGACATGGGAAAGCCCATCGGAGCCATATGCTGGTACTGCGCCGCAGGATGCCCGTCGCCAAGGTTGTGTTCCCGATAATTGTGACGGAATTTGCTGAAGGCGATGTTGCAGGCAAACATGGCGATTATGGAAAAGGACGACAGGATCACAGTCGCTTTCCAGGAGAGTCTTGAGAAGAACTCGTTCAGAATGTCAGCCAAGTGCCCAGCTGATGCCTTCACGCCCGCCACCACGTTTGAATCCTGGTTCATGCAGGTCTCCCAATCATTACACATCCCTTCCAAGGCTGGAAGCCGTTGCTCGATTGGGGAGCATCTGTTTTCCAGGTACCTCCGAGAGCACGCGTTCATCTCTTCCATCAGCTGCGCTCTGGCCTTCTCCGATGAGTAGAGCACCTCGCCGCGTATTGCAGAGATGATGCCCCAGGCCATCCATAGCACCACGCCCCCACAAGCGGCGTTGAACAGCACCTGCAGGTACCACGAGATTATCATGGGCGCATTTGGGTTGGAAGAAATGGACGTCAGGATGCGATGCAACCAGCCCAAGTCCTGCTTCCGCCTGTTTCGCCTGCCGATCGGTTCGTCCTCGTCGCTTTCGTCCTCGTCGCGGCCATTTGGCAGTCGTGATCTCGTGCTTCCGATGTCCCTGTCCCTCTCCATCCTAACCCTTTTGCGAACCTTGTCACGCTGGAACCAGTCATAGCGAGGCAGGTCGCCCTTTCCTGACTTCTTCTCTGAGAACAGATTGCGCCTTGTGGGCTGATCGGGCGTTGATAGGTTCATACTGTCAAGCAAAGCCGAGTCATCGAAATCAGGGCTGTCGGCGGGGCCGGATGCATCGGTCAAGGCGGGACTGTCATCCATGGGAGTGTCGAACATGGTAGAGTCCTCGTGGCGATCCTTCTGAGGCGTGGTGAAAGCAGGTGTGCTGGCTCGGGCGGTGGTGAATGCTGGGTTGCGCAGGGCCGGGGCAGTGTGCTGCTTGACTATGGACGGGCTGAAGATGGACCTCCCGGGTGGTGGTGGAAAGTTCTGTTGTCGCAAGGGGCTGCCGTTCTTGGGCGCGCCTGGCTTGCTGAAGGGATTCGCGCCATTTGGTGCAAAGATGGGCCCTGCTGAGTTGTGAGAAGCTGTAGATGGTGTGTTTTTGTCAGCATCAGCACTCCGGCGAGGAGCAGTTGAGGATCTGCTGGTCGCATGGTTCGAAGACGTAGATGAAGGCGCAGACATACCCAGTGGCGGAGGTTGTTGCGCAAACTGGATGAAGGGGCTCGACTTGTCAAACTGGGCGTTCTGGAACTCGAGCCCATCCATGGGACCTTCACCACCACGTCTGTTCATGATCGGACGTCTGGGTTATGGATTGCGGATTGCGGGAGTTCGTCGACGGTTCAGTAGAGCAGTGCTGTCCGACTCTGTGTCTCTGTGTGTGTCTGTCGACTGTAGTAGGATGAGCGATGAGATGCAGCTCGCATGTGCAAAGAAGCGGGCACCTGTGGATCTTTTAAGGTAGGGAGATGTAGGAACGATTGGAAGAAAGCACGAGGGCAACGGTCGAGTGTGTCAAAGGAGCTGGAGAAGGGGGATGGGGTGGTTGTGTGGATGGGCAACATGCAAAGCTTCTGCAGCTCCGCACATCATGTCAACAATAAACAAGAGAAACGTTCGGGCGCTAGTGTGTCCTGTCCTGTCCTCCGTTGCAGCCCAGAGCAGCGGCCCAGAATCAGCAGCTAGCTGGGTACCTGGGTACTTTACACCCTTGCCCCTGTTCCCTGCTACTGCTAGAGTGCACGGGCCCCCTGCCCATCGTTCAGCCTCCAGACCCGGAGCAGGACACAGCTAATCAAGCTGAGCCAGAGCCAAACCGCAGTCTAGTACCTACACCTGGCAGCGCAGGCCAAAAAGTCAAAGGACATCTGCCCGTTTTGAACTTCTTGCATCTCGAATTGCGCTTTCAGCATCCAGACAACGATAGACCATCCACGACCCCACCAGCCCACCTCACCCAGCTGCGAAACGCTCCATCTTCTGCCTCTCTTTCTTCGCAGCACCAAGTCCCTGAACACCCAGGCCAATCGTCTTCCCGCTACTCCTGAACACCGTCGACACCTCGCCCGTAACCACACCGTCTGGATCGACTCCACCAGCCAAACAAAGGCACAATGTCCGACATCGAGGACAACGACTCCCGCCAGGCATCAGCCGCGCCTGAGGACGACGTACCAGCTGGAGGCAACGATGACGACGCCAACTCCGACAGAGACTCCGACATCCTGTCCGATGTCGACGTCGACGATCTCGAAGACTACGACCCCCTCAAAGCCAACATCGAGCAGCGACCAGTCGACATCGACGAGGATGTCGCGAAATCACTGAAGGCTACCAAGCGGAAGCGCGCTGAGGGCGAGACGGCAAAGAAGCCTAAGGAGGGCCGGAGACAAAAGAAGCGACGCACTGAGGACGGTGACGAGGTCAGCGCTGCCGATGGCACCATCATCGAGGGCAAGAGGCGGCGCACTGGCGGCGGGGAGGGCGGCGGCGGCGAGAAGAAGTCCAAGGCCCGCTCCAAGAGGCCGACGCCAGAGCCTGAGAACGAGGAACACTTGACGCCGGAGCAGAGGCGGGCGCGAGCAATCGAGAGGGCGATGGATGCGGCCATCAAAGGGAAGAGCAATAAGAGACGTACCAAGAAGGATGAGGTGGTATGTTGCCACAATTTCAACACATACATCGTAGAGGTTTGCGAGGACAATCACAGCTAACATTTACGTGCAGGACCTGGAAGAGGAGCTCGACGAAATCATCGCAGAGCTCAAGATGAAGATGGAGGTCGCATGTTCCCAGGACAACGAGGCACGCGAGGCCGACCGCGCCGCCGTGGAGAAGGTCAAGCTGCTGCCCGAGGTGATGACGCTGCTGAACCGGCAGAACATCCAGCACGCGATCCTGGACCCCGAGAGCAACTTCCTGCAGGCAGTCAGGTTCTTCCTCGAGCCGCTGAACGCCGACGGCAGTCTGCCCGCCTACAACATCCAGCGCGAGATCTTCACTGCCCTGACTAAGCTTCCCATAGAGAAGGAGGCTCTGCTGTCCAGCGGCATCGGCAAGGTCGTGCTCTTCTACACCAAGACCAAGCGCGCCCAGCCAGAGATTAAACGCATGGCTGAGCGGCTCATGGGCGAGTGGAGCAGGCCGATCATCAAGCGGACGGATGACTACAAAAAGAGGCAGATCGAGGCACGTGTCGTCGATCCAGAGTACGTCGTCCACCCTATCTCGTCTTCACACCAATCGTTGCACTAGCTAATCATCCACAACCACAGCGCCCTCAAGTACAGAGGTCCCGGCTCCCAGGCGCCGTCCGCCTCGCAGCAGTCCCTCACCCATCGCCCCGGCGGCAAGAAGCAGAGCACCGTGTCCGACAGGCTGGCGGCCAAGCGAGCTGCCGCCCTTGAGCCAGTGCGCATGAACCCCAACCGAGCCCGTCCCGTGGGCTTGCCTGTCAGCTACACCGTCGCGCCCATCTCGCAGCTCGGCGGCGGCGGGCCGGACCACAGGCCCGCTGGAGCCGGCAGCATGGATGCCTTCCGGAAGTTTACGCAAAAGAAGAAGAACAACTAGGTTCCAGACGGTTGATGACGAGGTTTGAGAGGGTCTCGCTTGCGGACATTGTCCTTCTGGTGAGCTGCATGGTGTCTGTGGTGGTTGCCTGTCGTATGGTATGGTGAAAGCCGATACGCTCACTGCAATGTCACGGGTATGGAAAGAGTGGTAGACACAGGGCGGGGCGAGTTTTCAGCATCAGTCTGCCCAGCATGGAGATTGCGAACCATGACTTAATCATCAGCAGATATTTTGGACTCCGTGGAGACATGGATAGGCGTCGGGGAAGAGAGGTACTGAGGATCCTCAGCACGCAGATTTTATGAAACCATCCTAAGTGAAGGAACAGAGGGCAGAGGCTATTCCTTGATAAGGCCTCTTGATCAATCGAAGAGTTCCCTCTCTCATACCTTCCAGGAAGAAGAAACACATAAGAATAGCATGTGAAAGGGAGCTAGAGTGAATACAGACAAGACACAACACGATGCTCTTCATCAGCGACAGCTCAACCAGCCTGAACAGTGTGATCGTTCCTGTCTTGCCTATGTGCCAGCTCCTGCTTCTGAAATCTCTCCCCATCACGACAGCCCGCTTTGAGCTGAAGAATTATTAACATCATCCTCAACGAACCGCTCGCTATTCCATTTGGGCAACCAGCCAGTTACATGATACAGATGTGCTTACCGACGTAGACATATAAACCCCCAGACAGACATATACAACACCATCAGTACGCACACCTCATCTCAGACTCCCCAACCCTTCCTCTACTCAACAAGTAATACAATACCCACCCGTGCACCATCTCCTTAGCACACAGCAGACGCCTATGCCCCCCTCTCCTTTCATTCCTTTTACTTTGACCACACACAAACCCACACACACACCAACCACCACCACCACCACCACCACCACCAGCAGAAAGTGAAGGGAAATCCAACCCTATGTCGCAAAAATAGAGCAGACCCAGAAAAAGCCCACCCTCATGAGTAGTTACTTGGTAATTCCTGTATTGTATTGTAGTAGTATAATGTGATATGTGTGTGTCCTGTTATTATAGACGCCATGATCCATCCGTCCATCCATCCATTCCATGATCCAATGATTCCATGATACTACTGTTCATCCGTCCTGTCTGGTCATCCCGTCATAAGAACTCCATCGCTTGCTCTGTCATCCATCTCTTCACCCACAGGCCGGTGGCGGCAGCAACAGCAGGAGCTAGCTGTCTGCACGGGCAGGACAATATCCGCCTACCCGCCCACCAGCCACTGTCAACCTCTTCCCCTGAGAAGCTCTACTACTATTATGCACCCATCCTGGGCCCCATGTCCAGTCCACATCCAAGCCTTGCTGGTGGTGCTCTCGAGTCGTTCGCTGCTTGCTTACATTATGTTCATCACCGATCAAACGACAGGTAGGCTTTCGAAGGTCATCATCACCATCCGGCTCGGCCCTTAGCAAAGAACGCTTACTGCTCGAGTTTGCTGCGCTGCTTCTCTCGATCTTTCATCTCTCTGATCCTCTTCTCGATCTCTCTTCTTTGTCTATTCAAGGGAGGGCCCATGGCTTAACCCCGATGATCTTGATTGGACCTCCTCCTGCTCCTCCCCCGCCCCCATCTGGCCCGTTGTCCTCTTCAGACTCCTTGGGACTGGTACCACTGCCTTCTTCATTGGAGCCGTTGTCCTCATCAACCCACACACTTGCGCCAACATCAGCATCGCTGTCCCCATCAGCTTGGGAAGTCTCGCCGACATCTTCTTGCTCGTTGCTCTCCTTCCCGCAACCATTGACATCATCAACATCAGCCCCGGCCTCTATCTGCGGAGTGCGACGGGGTAGCAGATAATCGAGCCCGTCCCTCAGAGACGATCCCTACCGCCTCCGGATCTCGTTTGCCCACCCGTCTATGCCCTCACCCCGGGAGCCCACCTCCAGCCCCTCGATCTTGACTCCCTTCATCCCTGCCGTGTCTTCCAGCCATATATGGCCCGCCATGCCGCCGGCGTTGGCCCGCTTCTCCGGAACAAGCTCCAGCATGGGGCAAAGGAAATCTGCAATGCGCCTCGCCTCCTCTTCCTTGAAGTGGTACTTTTCCTTCAAGACGTCAGGCAACGCCCAGTGGCGCAAACGGTGAATGTTCCGCAGCTCGCCTTTGCGGTTGAATATCTCCTGCGACCACTTGCCCGACAGGCATAGTGACTTCGGGAATGGCCCCATTAACTCTATTATCTGGGCTATATGATCGTCATCCTTGCCATACTTAGTGCCGGATTGAGGGTCGAAGAGATAATCGCCAGTAATGAGCTCGAAAACCTGTAGGTGGCAAGGGATGGTAAGAACGCGGATACAAGATTGTAGCTGTACGCCCAGGCAACTGTGGATGAACTCACCATGGCAGCCATACTCCAAACATCTGTGCTTGCCCCCCATTTTGAACCCAGAATTACCTCTGGTGACCGGTATTGCCTCGTCTGGATGTCGTTTGTGAAATGGTGGTTTACCCAGCACGCGTTGCCCAGGTCCGCAATCTTAACACTGATTACATTATCCAGGCCGAAGTCTTCAGCCTTGCGCTTTTCGCCGGTCGAGGATGATGATGAATTGGAAGACTTGTCCAGGGAGATGCCGGATACTTCTTTCGTAAGGAGATCCCTGGAGCCGGAAGAGCGGGGTTAGTGTGGGAAACTACGGTGAGTGATGGGTGGTGGGTGAAGTGAGATTCGAGCCCTGTTTCACGAGTGGACTTACGCTGTCTTTTCCCGCTGTTTCTGCTTGTCGTCTGTGGGTGACGTTTCTTTTGTTTTGTTGCCTGCAAAGATTCCCTGTTAGCAAGATAGACTCAGGATGGTGACGCGACACGCGGCGAATTGACGTGGACCATGTCTGGATCTGCACGCCCAGAGCGTGGCGCGGAGGACGTGGCGCGGGGCTGGCTGGATTGTTGGTGGCGGTCTTGGGGGCGAATTGGAGGGTGCGGAGGAAGACCGGCAAATGAGCTGAAAACTTACCTTCATTCAGCATCTGGCCAAGGCTTGAGTGCGAATTTGTTGATGGGAATAGATTGTTGTGGTTGAAGGATGCGTTGAGTGGTGACGGTAATGGCTGACTGCCGGTGATCAATGTCCTACGTCTCCTCCGGCCGTTGCGATTGTTCTCCTTATCCGACGGCTCGCTCTTGACAACCTTTTTGACAATCTGCTCGACGTCGCCAATCTCAATCAAGACGTTCTCGGGCTTGAGGTCGGTGTGAATGATGCCGCACTCTCGGTGGAGGTAGTCGAGCCCCAACAGCACTTGTTTCGTGATCTGCTTAACCAGCGGCATGGGTATGCCACGATGGTTCCACTTCTTGATCAAGCCCAACAGGTTCTCGCCCAGAACCTCGAAAACCATGCAGACGTGTGTGCCATTGGGGCCTTTGTGTTCGAAGGAGTCGAGTAGGCTGACGACGTGTTTCCGGCCGGGGTGGTCAGGCTTCGCGGTGACGATCTTCTGGAGGAGCTTGATCTCGTCGATGGCGGTCTCGGTGTAGTGTGCGGCGGAGCGCACGACCTTGAGGGCGACGTGCTTGCCGGTGGTGTTGTCGCGCGACAGCCAGACGGTGGAGAAATGGCCCCAGCCCAGCTTGCGCACGACAGTGTACTTGCCATCCTTGAACTTTTCGCCAATGGAGACTGGGTGGTATCCTCCCTTGCAGTAGTCCTCGGAATCCTCCTCGTCGGCTGTGTTCTCGGCGGCGTCCTCTGGGGAGGAGGAGGAGGTGGGGGACGCTTGCATGGCGGAGAGTTGGGCGGTTCTGTGAGCGGGCGCAGGATGTCAGCAAAGGTGGGAACGGATGAAGTTGAAATCGGTCGGGGCAATCGACTAAGGTTATCGTGAGGGCGGGAGTGGTAGTCGCGCAATATTAGGCACTAGCGGTCGAGGGTACGAGATAGGCAAGGCTGGTGTGCTTTCGGGTTGGGATGTGCTAGGTAACCAAGTGCAAAGTAAAGTGGCGGGTGGGCGCGGGCGGTGGGACTTGGTGTATTTTTTTGCCCGGGTTTGGTTGCGCCCAACTCTGAGGCAATACGGAGCAAGCGAAGCGAGAGTGAGATGAGATGCGGTGCCGGCGCCTCGAGGCGGGTGCTGACAGCGCAGGCCAGCAGAGCACAGGAATGGACAGGACAGGCGCACTCGCACTCGCGCTCGTAGTCTAATTTCTTGCACTTGCACTTGCACTTGCACCTGCAGTCTCATTACGGGGAAAGTATGGAAGGGGGGAGTGGGTGTCGGAGGCAAAGTGGGCGGGCGGTAAAAACCTTGTTTTCAACATTGGGTCCTTCTTGTCGGTTTCGCGCAAAGGAGGAAGCGTATTCTTTGTCTTGAACATGGTCATGGCCTAATTAACGGCAGGATAGGATGGTGGAAGAGGGCGCTCGGTCGGTCGAGAAAAGGTGGAGGCTGAAAAGGAAGGAGTGAATGTCTGGAGACGCAATTGGCATCTCCAGTTCGAACGGTGAATTTTGTTGTTGTTGTTTCCGTTGTTGGAGTAGGAGGAGGAGTGACAGAAGGGACAAGGACAAGGACGAGAAACGAGGACCGAGGACAGGGACGAAGGCGTGCAGGTCCAGTCCGGTCCAGGTTGCAGATGCAAGAGTGCCCAGCCCGAGTGAGAATGAGAGAGCGGGATGGGGGACGAGGGACGGGGGGGTAATGATGAGATGGATTTGATGGGGATGGATGTTTGAGATGGCAAGTCAAGTCAAGGCAAGGCAAAGGCAGGTAAGGCAAGTCATAAAGTCAGGTCAAGTCCAGGTGAGGTGCAGTCCAATCCAGTCCAGTCCAGTCCAGTTCCAGCCCAAGTCCCAAGTCCCAAGTCCCAAGTCTCAAATCATCATCCAACCCAGTTGCAGTGCAGTGCAGTGTGCAGTGCCGTCCACTCGTCGGGTTTTGGAGATGGAGACAGACGGAAAATGGGTACAGGTACGGTACTGTGGTAATGGAAGGCGGGCGGGAGGGAGCGAGCGATATGCGCAGGTGCAGGTGGATTGACCATGAATGACACCGACATGGGTTGGTGGGGGGAGGGGGGTATTGGGTATTGGGGGGCCAATTGGAGGGGGAAGGTCAGGTCTGATTGTGAGAGGAGGCGGCGACCGACGATGTAGTCCAGGTAGGTACATGAGGACATGAGGACATCAGTGAGGACCATGAGGAGCCATGAGGACGATGGGTCAAGCGCGCACTGGCTACTGACTGGCTGGGCTCACTCCGGCCCCAGGCCCAAGGTCCAGGCTCAGGCTCAGGTGCAAGGTGCAGCAGGTGCGAGGTGCAGGTGCAAGCGCAGCTGAGAGCAGCCATCCCGTCGCATCGCATCGCATCGCACGCACCAGACATCGTGTGCGCCCAAGGCACCAGACCACACAGCCCAAAGGGCAACGCCCCCCCAGTCCCCAGTCCCAGGCCCTGGTCCCAAGTCCCAAGTCCCAGACCAACGGCCCAGTGGGGCCTGGCCAGGTCTGCAGTCTTCTGCCCAGTGAGGTACCTCGGTTCTGGTCCGTGGGCGGGAAGGATGGGAGGTACCTCACATGCTCACCCAGTAGCGTTGCGCGGGTAGCAGATGGAGCAAGGGACAGCCAGGCAGGCGCAGGTGGGCAGGCATGGTAGCAGGCTGGCTGGCTGGCTGGGTACACAGTACCGTGTAGGCAGATGGTAAGGCACCAGTCAGAGAGGGTCCTCCTTCCGCCTCCGACCTGATTCAGCAGCGACTGACTGCTTGCCACTGTGCCGCCAGGCGCTTTTCGGTGCTTGGTGTTTGGTGCTAGGAAGTCGCCATCCCGCTCTTTTAGCACCAGTTTGAACCCCCCCCATGAAACATGCTTCTCATCAATCCCACCCTTTCCACCCCGCCCCCAAGCTTTCGGAGGTTTGGATGAGCTGGTGGTGCTGTTGACGATGCTCATGTTGGTTGAGGACCACACACGTATCTACGCGCAGGTAGAATGGCTGCTGCCCTGGCTGCCCTGGCTGCCCTGGCTGCCCTGGCTGCCCGGCCTTGCACTGCACAGCCCTGCCCAGCCATGTCCTTTTGAAGCTTGTCTCGTCCTGTCATAGCCAGCCCTGGGGAGGGCAGGAGGGGCGCCGATGGGTACAAAACCTCCCCTGCTCCCACTTCCCCTCCCCATCGCACTGACCTCATATCGGCCCGCTCCACTTTTGTGCAGCTGCCGCCCTCAAATGAGATGGATACCCCGCCACCTGAGCAGCCAAGGTAGCAGGCAAGGCAAGGTAGCAAGGTAGCAAGGTAGCCAGGCAAGGCAGCACACCATGCCACAGCACAGCATAGCACTTGCATATGTACGTATGTGAGGCATATCAGCAGAGGCAGAGACATACTCAGAGACAGAGAGACAAGAGACAAGAGGGCAAGACACAGCAACAGCCTGCCAGCATCAGTCGCCACCCAGCTGCCTCAGAGCTGCATCGTATGTGTGTGGTCAGGCGGTTGTAGGCAAGGGTGGTGCTCGTCTTCGTCTTCGCCCTCATCCTCGTCCCGTTCTCGCGAACTCTTCTCTCTCTCGGACGCAGCGACCTCCTGGCTAGAACCCTGTCGTGTTTCCCCTTGCCTCTCTGCCCTGCCTTGCCCTGTTGCGTTGTTGTTGCCAACCGAGAACTTTGACCTGCGCACCCCAAGTTTCGGTCTGACTGGCTTAATGAAATGACGACTGACGACTGACGATCCTGAACCAGAATGCGACCTGTGCTCAGCTCACTTTTTTCTGTGCTGCGCAACACAACACAGCGCAAGCACGAGCAGCGACACACAGACCAGATCCAGATCCTGCAAAAAGACAGGGGTGTCCCGCGCGGGAAGAACAGACGTCTGGGGGATGAAAAGACATAATATCATGCGATGACGCAGCAAACAAAAAAAAACCACACAGACAAGAAAGCAGGGGGGAGAATATGGGGAACGACCAAAAAACCAAGGGAAATGCATATACGCACCCTGTCGCCGGATTGTCCGTCGTGATAATCGGCTTTAACCCCTCCTTCTTGCGCTTCTTGTTGATCGCCGCCACCGTCGCCGCCGCTGACGCCGTGGCCGGCGAATTGTTGCCATTATTGTTGCTGCTGCCGCCGCTCCCGTTTGCCCCAGACGCGGTGGCCGTGGCAGCCGCGGTCGCTGCCGCTGCCGCCGCAGAGGCCGTCGTCATCGAGGGCGATGTCGCCGTCGCCGTCGCGGGTGTGACGGCCGGCGCGTCCTGCCGGGCCTGCTGCATCTTGACCGTCGGCGTCGCGCCGCTGCCTGCCGTAAGCCCTACTACTCCGCCAGTGCCTGCCTCCCCTCCGGCGCTGTTCTTGATGCTGCCGGTCGTCGCGGTCGTCTTGGGCTCGGATCGTGGTTGGGACGAAGGTGAGTATTGTTCTTGCTGTGTCTCTGTCTCTTGTGGCTGCTGCTGGCCGCCGTTCATGGTCGATTGTTTTATCTATAGGTCGACTTTCGGTAGGGGTGATGAAGGTGGTGGTAGAGGTGGGGCGGGATGGAGGGAGTTATTCGTAGCTTCGTCAATGCCCAATTGGCTCTCGGTTTGGACGTATCGAAATGTCTCGTTCTTGTTGTCTCTATGGTTTCACCGCGGCCAAAACTTGTCGTAGACCCTTTTTTGGATGGAAGAAAGGATATGTCTGGCCCGTTGTTTGTGGTGTATGTTGGCTGTGAACGTGGATAAATTTGTCGTTGGCAAAAACTTTTGTAGAGTTGCAAAAAGGTAAGGTGACTAGATGCTGATGCGAACGTATATGGGATGCGCTGGTGCTGGGCTGCAGTTGGATGGGCAAATGATGATGATGATGACGATGCTAGTAAAATGAAATGGTCTGCGGTGGGCAGGGGAGCACCCGATTTGCGATTGGCGATCGATCCCAGCTTTTATTATTTTGGGACGGCGTCGGTTCTTGTCTTGACCTGTTCCTCTTCGTGGCGAGGGGCAACAACGCTGCTGCTGCTGCTGCGGCTGCACGGCGGGTCGCGTCAGGCTCTTGGGTGATCTTCAATTTCTCTTGTGTTTTCTCGCTGTCACAATCTTGATCTGATGGAGGGGCTGGGTCCCTTCGGAGCTGGGCTGGGCTGGGCTCTGTTTTTCTTCCCACTCCTCCCGCTTCCAAGGTTGTTGACCTTTAGCTGGGTCCCCTGGGCCGCGAAGGATTTATCTGGGGAACTGCGGGCGGGCTAGGCAAGCACAAGCCAGGATCGAGCTGGGTGGCAGGTAGATAATTCAGGGCTGGGTTGGTATCTTTTTCAATCCGGCGGGGATTCGAGCACGATATCACCACAGCTAGAAGCTAAGCACGAACTGCCTTGGATAGAAGAAAGAGCTGCGAGCTAGCTTTGCGTGCTTTCGGGCTATTTCCCCTCTGGTTGCGCAATGCGCGATCAATTCGGCTGCGTTGCTGCCGAAGAGCGGTGGGTCGGGGCAGAGCTTCCTTTGGTGACGCACCAACAAGAGGAGCGAGGATGTCCAGTCGTCCAAGGTCGTTGGTCGCTGGCGGGGCGGTAGACGGGCCAGTAGCCTATCCAGGTTATGTCAGACAGACCGAGCAGGGCTTCTTCTTTTTATCTCGCTTCCTCGTCAAGCTAGAGATGGAAACACTGGCTGGCTGAATAGTTGCTTGGTCGGGGTTTGGGATGCTGATGGTCCGTGAGGGAGCCCCGGGGATTGAAATCGCGTTGCAGGTCGCCAAGAATAGACAGATACTTGGACGGTCGGTCCTATCGGGGGGCTGACATGCACGTCAAAATGCGCGCGCGCAGAGAGACCTTGTTCAAGATGGGTGCGAAAGCTGAGGAGGGCGACTGTGCTGGAGGTAGGACGGACGAGAAGATGACATGATAACGCTGCCGTGTTGTACAGTCGACTACAGACAAGTATCTGACCTGACTGGCAGATAGCTAGATGATGGTAAGGGGAGAAAAGAAAGCCAGAGAGATGCCTGGCAAAAAAGGACCAGACAAGACAAGACTATCTACATGGCGGGAACAAGTCTCGCCTTGTTTTAGAGCCCACCAGAATCCCAAGCCCGTCTCGTGGAGGGGCAGCTCCCGCCCAGGTACGTGCCCCGTTCCTTCCATTGGAACCGGCTGCCAATCCTCCTGTCTCTCACCTCACCCAAAGCTATTATCATCGTCCATTCCCATTGCGTCTCATCTCAGGGGTCCTCTCTCCCTCATCGCCGCCCAACGCCTAGCCTAGACCGTTTGGGCCAGCGCCCGGGGCGCGAAGGATAATAATTCAGGTCGCACAACAACAACAACATTTGCAAGATCCTCGTCCACAAGCTTAATTGCAGTAGGGGCTGCTCACCGTTCGTGGCAATCAAGGAGGACCCTGTGGGTGGTACAAGCGCCACCCACATGTCCTGGGCAGTTGGCTTTGGCTTCATTGTGGTTCCCCAGCTGCCCCTCCACTACCTAAGAAGATCGCCGCCATGCTCCCAACCCATGCGGCCATCCATAACTTCGCAACTTAGACCCCAGAGCACGGGTTGCCGAATAGGGCAAGTACGAAAGCAAGATCCCCTTCAAAGCCAGGAATGGGGGGGGGGGGTGGTCTTTGTTGTCCAAGCAGGAGGCTACTGCACACTGTATCTATTAGTCTCATTCTAGATACAACTCAACGTATAGATGGAGAGGCAGAGATGATTGTCTTCCTCTCTTATACCGAGCAGGCTGGCAGTCTGGCAGGCTGGCAGGCAGGCCAGCCATTCTGTAACACATGTCAGTCCCAACCAAGTGATCAATCCCGCCCTGAGATATCCGGGAAACCTTAAAAAGGATTGCAGTGCGCCGAACCACCCAACCAACAAAGATCGGGAAAAGGCTGGGAGCTGCTGGGCACGTCACTAAAATGACCTCATCGTGGTACCGTGGGCACCCTGACACCACCGGCCTGTCATCCACACGCAGAACCCACTTCCGGTGTAACCCTGGAGGGGACTTGACTGCAATAAGCAAAAGCCCAACCCAATTTGCTGGCTGCCCGGCCGACCGACCCCACGGTGGGATGGGATGGATTGGGATGGGATGGGATGTGCACACAGGTGCCGATATACCTCAACAACATGACTTATACACACCGTCCCCCCGATAGACCACCAAAGCCAGCGAGTGATTCCGTTCGTCACGCTGCGTCCCTACAGGCGGGGCAGCCTCCAAGCTTTTTGTTCGAGGCTAGCTTTCACCAGGACGCGCGCCAAGCAAATGGGTCAGATCTCGCAAATCTCGAGTAGATAGACCTGCCCCTCTGCCCTGGCCAAGATAGGCTCGTTCAACGGTCGCACGTGTGGGACGCGACATAAAAGCATATCCGAATAGGATGCATCTGTCTCACCTTGTCCCGGGTCCGTCGTCGGCTCTGCACGCGATTCAAAGCCCGAAAGGATAGAAAGAGAAATAAGGAAAAAGGCGTCATCAATCACATGATCCTGCCGAGATATAGACAGCACTCTCGCTCGGCTCTTCGCTGGCGTGGGGGGCTCTGTCTCCTGACCTGAGACATCCCGATAGTGTGGTGTTATGGAGGGGGAGAGCACAGCACACGAAAGATCACCAGACGAGGCACGATACACACAATGCCGCCCGAAAGCGAAGACGTCATGCCATGGTTCACCCGATCTCGCCTATCTCTCTTTTTTCTTCTAAAATTTTTCTCTTGCCCCGTTGTGGACGAGACCGCTTCCCATGCGACTGACTCGATCCTGCAGCTGCGGCAATATGCATGATGAGGTCTCTCTGGGTTGCAGTCTGGTTCCATGCCCCGGTCCAGTAACCAGTACCTGGTGATTGATGTAGAGTTTGAGTTGGACATCCTAATCGCGACCTCAACAGGCGATAAACACTCTTCTTGAACACACATACGATCAAGTTAGATTAGTACCATGTCGTATGTCAATGTCACCCGGCTTTCACGCACGATTGTTGGGCTGCTAAGCGATGAATTACATATCTTCTGCTCCAGAAACAAACATAAGGTTGGCTGCAGTGTTATTACTTATTAGGTTCAAAACATGTTCCTGGAAACTAAATTCGGTCCACGTTTGTCAGAATATGGCTGGTGACATTCATGACAACGCTACCAAGAAGTAGACATGCTAGGTACATAGAGGCTGCTCAGAGCAGGTGGCTCCAGGCCTTGTGGGCACATGAGAGGCGTTCACAAATACTTTCTTCGTTCTGACGGACCAGTTGGAAGGAAATACAGCACTTGTAAAAGGTACATAAATGTATTTGCCATTCTACCAATTCGTGGCAAGGCTTGGAACCTCGTTGGCGATCTCCAGACCACGGGATCCTGGAGCCTCGCATAGCATGGGGTTCTCATCCATCATCGTGGTCAGCGTGAAGAAAGCTCCGGCTGAATTACAATGATTTGAATTGGAAAGTTTCAAAACTGCCCATTATGCTGAGGCAGCCACTAGGTCCTTCAACCTCGCTGGCGGAGCCGGCCTCGTGGCGCTACGACCTAAAGAGCCCGATAGAAGCCTCAGCAATTTCGCGAAGGTGCTCGGTGTTCAGGCCGTGGCACCACCGTCGACGCGGTCCGGCACGTACAGATCGTCAGCTCCAGCCGCACAGTGAAGTACGTGTTCAGGGAGGAGGTCCGAGATCAGAATCTTGACCACTGGTTCTATGTCCGCAGACGGTCGACGAGCTGTGGTGTACCTATGATCAGACGCTTCTCGTTTTCCTCGTCCCCGCTCAACCGTGATAATGAGTCGATGACGATGGAAATCGACATGTTTTCTGGAGTCTCGTCTATCGGTCGCCTGAGCAATGTCAACGCCGGGCCAAGTCGTGACTGGCGTTTCCGAAAATTTTCGTCCGTGATGAGGAAGGATGAGTCTGCATGGCCCTAAAGTCAGCGGGCAAGTTGAGAGTTAAGGCTGTTGATTGTTGCGATCATGCCTGATGTTTCGCGCCTGCGCGATTCCGCTTCAGTACGCAATCCACAGCAGTAGTTTAAGACGGGGCTATCATAGCTTTGCCGGAGGCTTTTTTGCCAGGAAGGCGGCTGAGAGCCAAATGGCATTTGCGTGTGTCTGTGGTGCAGTCTGACCATTTATGGTCGGTATTTCAGATTCCGGCTTTTCGAGCCTGTTCATGAGCTTCTCCGAAGTCGTGATATACTGGACTTGATCCTGATCCGTCCCATATAGTTTACATTAAAGTGAAACTCGCATATCCTCCTCGGCTGCTGCAATAAAATCGACCGGAAGCCGCCCCAGCCATTGCTTGACTGCCTTCCTATTGAGTTGTGGTGTTGGCTCGGGCGTGACTGATCTGGATGCAACAAGAATCGGCGAAGCAAGAGACAGTCCGACTTGCGAGTTACTTCCAAGAATTAGCATCCCGATATCCAAGTGCAAGAATCAATAGCGACCTACTTACCTTTTCCACTTCGATGTTCGAAGGCTGCGCTGCTGACAAAAGTATGTATATCATGTTCAACGCGCATAAGTTTGATTTTTTTCTTTCTTTCGGAACTCCGCGCTGGAATGTCCGCCTCTTTTTTGATCCTCTTTGATTCTCCATAGCTCGGGCTCCATGCGATCAGATCTCTTCTGTTCTCGTTGAATATCTTCCAGGCGGGCCAAACTCTGCCTGACTGATGTTATATGATCTTTTACTCTGCCTAACTTTCGGTGATTGCAAATTCGGGCCCCTTCCTTGAAATCAATCAGAGAAATTTCAGGGCCTCTCAGCGTTTCATCAACATCACTTCCACATGACTTCCCCGTCAGCACAGCCTTGAGCCCTTTCTCTGTAAGCAAAATTGGCGAGAAGCGACCAGGTGCGCGCCATGCTCGCTCGGAAAACTGGCAAGAGGACATCAAAAAGAAGTTCTGATCAAAGAAGTGACTCTTCTGACGAGAGTGAGTCAGACAGCTCCTCTGAAAGCTCGGGCACAGAGTCTTCGGACAGTGACTCAGACGACTCACGTGCGGAGTCTAAAAAGAAACAGTCCATATCCAAACCGACCAAGAGTAGTAGTAATAAACAGGAAGAAGAAAAGGCAGAATGACAAGACACAAAGCGGAATGAACAGCAAGAGCAGTCATGCCGAGGACGAGGCGTCTATTGATGAAGACGAACGTTGAGCGTTGGGGTGATGCGGCCCGTATGATGAAGACTGGGCGAGAAATAATAAGCACCTCGGGCAGTTGATCTGCCCAGATTCGTTGATTCAAATTTAGACTAGAAGATCATGAATTCACCTCTGGCTGATAAGGAATAGGATTGAATATAGAAGAGTCCATGAAATCATTCGACTTGCGTTGGGTGACATGAAAGTAGCAGCACTTGTTACAGTCTTCCCTCGAAGAATCAGCCCAAGGATACGACTGACTACAAGCTTTGACAACGGATCGCCACTATATCATGGTTCATGGCTGTGCCCCCACTCTGGATGTTCCACTGGATCCTCGTCGCATACTCTGCAATAGCTCTGAGAATGATTATACCAGTAGTAACTTCTAAAGCGAAACTTACGTTCCCAACGGTCTCTGTAGATATTGTACTTCGGAATAGAGATCTCCCAATCTCGTCGTACGCTATTCCTGTCTCCCAATATCGGAAAGGGACATGGTGCCTTGCCAAGTTCTGACTCAAGAAAAAGGAGTAGAGATGCAGTCTGTTCATCTCTCAAAGCATAGACGTGGTTGGTAATCCTACGACGAGAGGAGTGGAACCAGACACCGTTTTGCTGAAAAGTCATTAGTTGGGTCCTTTTGGTAGGTGAAGCTCTTTCAGATGCCAGAAGCCTTGGAAGGAAGGTATGCATACTTCAGAACCGCTCTCTCCTCGATCAAATAGAACGATGCCTCCAAAGATTTGGTCCTCTGCCCAGTAGGCCGCAATATCGGCATTTCCGTCAGGATACTGCTCGGGATCGTCGTAGCGCCAGAGCGAGAAGGGGGTTGGTTTTCGACGGCGCCATGTAAACTGCGCATAGTACTCGTCGCTTGGGTACTTCTCGTTCCGATGAAGACCGCCATTGACCTGCTTGAAATGTTGAGCTGCAATAGTATGCACTGCGACGGCGATCAACTCGATTAGAGGTAATTTTGATGCCCTAGAACCAATGGGAGCGGATTGGTATCGACGCAAAACCTAAAGACAAGCGTTAGAACACCGGAAAACAAATTACCAGCTTGATGATCTATTTACACCAGTTCTGATGTAGAGAGCTCTTGGCTCAAAGGCCGCACAAAAAGTCCTCGTCTTTTCAATCACACCGGGACACAGCTCCCGATGTCTGAAGACAGGTTCATCCTCCTCGAGACCATAATGATGGAGACCGTCGACGACATCCCACAGTGGTAAACCGTCGACAAGCTGCGCAAAAGTTGACTCGGCAAGCTCCGTCGAGAGAACATTTGTCACTGCACGCACATATGCTGCTAGATGATCCTCATCTAGAGCTTGATCTGCTTTGCTCGTATCTAATTTCTCCGGCGGTGGCACGTTCGCATATTTTGGGTCGTCCTGCCCTGGGTAGTCCCACCAAGGCTTGAGTGACATGGTGATGAATTGATGGTGACTTCGAGTCCGACACAGTTGCACAAATTCCTCTAATAGCACTGAGACTCAGGCCTTGTGAGCTCGTGTGCAAGAATGAGTGCGAGGTGGCCGTTGTTGGCGAGTCACCCGCGAGCATTTGTCCAAAATGATGTTGGTGCCTGGACAGGAGTAAAGCGGGTACCGTCTTGACCCAAACCCTGTCCCACTCAAACAGATTAAATACAGGGACCATACCTAATGTCGTTGCGAGCCAGTCTTCTAAAACTTTCAAGAATGGAAGTTAATCGGAAGTAATACTCTCGGTCTCTTCCTGCAGACGGAGAGTGAACGCATGCCTGGTGGCTCCTTCGTCAATACCGACCTAAATACGAGAATTGAACTGGCTCCATTTGCCTAGGCTCGTTCTCGTCTAGTCCAAAGAAGTAGTCTAAGAGCAGGCTTTGAACATCTATTAAATTGAGTATATTTGTGTGGAAAGGGATTCTGACATTACGACTTACAAAAAGTAGAATCAGAATTACCCGTCACTGTCTAAATGGATGATTTCTTCTAGAATCCTTCGCTCATCTTCCTCAAGCCTGATCAGGTGTCGTACCAAATTCGCTTGGATACTGGCATTAGAAAGCTAATCTTGAGATTCAATTGTGAGACATATGAGAAGGTCGTCAAGGATTATGACGGGTGGACGCCGTTGCACAGTGCGTGCCAGAGCGGTTGAGGCAAGCACACATATGAGTCCAACATCATCTTTTCTCCACGAAAATACATCAAAGACTTACCGAAACTTTTAAAACTTGATTTATGATAGTATACACACAGAGACTGGCCTGTGCTCAAGAGGCGTCAAGTAGTAGGGGTTGCTGCACAGACTGGCTGGAGTTGGCCAACGCCACCTCTACTAACCCTATTCGGATTTTGTGATCCAACAGCTGGAACGAATACCATCACCTGCGACCAAGTGCTTGCATCTACATGAAAGGTATAATCTGGGTTCGAAGCAGAAGCCGTCTTATAATTTGGGTTTGGTTCCACGAAGGTTTGCCAAGACAAAACCCTGTGGTCCTGAGTGTATGAACAAACAGCCATGCGACTCACATCCGAAACGCATCGAGTCGCTACCTAGATACATGCTCGATCACAAGAGTAGACAGACCTCGCAAGAATTTGCACTGATCAGTAAGCTGATACGAGGGACATGCCATTCCGCATACCGCCAAGTGCACTTCTGACTGTATTCTTATCAGTATCGCTAAAGGGGCTTTTGTGAAAGCCCCATAGTACTATACCCTGGGTGATCTAGGCTGCTTGGCACCCTAACCAACTCAGGAGGCCGCATGGTTCATTTCCGCGTCATATGACAGCTGAGAACTCGCCAATTCGTAACGGAAATAAGCCTTTAAAGTTTGTAGTTCCCTTTGTCTGGCCTCAATCCCGCTTATCCCGATGTGTCGGTTTCTTTGTTCCTTTCCTACTTTCCTTACCTCGTTAAACATCGTATTTGCCGTTGTTGAAGACAATGTAAGCATGTAGCTACCTTCACAACCGCCACCTTACACAAACAACATGTTTACTACGATCCAACGTAAACAACAAGCCGAGACCTGAGTCATCATCGTACCACCTGGAAAGTAGATTTGTGTCGCATGAAGACTTGGCCAACACACGCGATCAAACCTTCTCAGGTCCCGCTTCGACCGAGTTCCTTCTTATACACGTTCTCTCAACCTTCACAAACAGTTGCAAACAGTTCACCGCGCAGTATGCGTCTCTTGATCATCTTTGTCGCGACATTGGCATCGCTATTCGCACACGTATTCGCCGCTAACTTTCAGCACTCCTGCTACAGTGAGTCAGCAATTGTCTCATCCCGGCAACACAAAGTCTCCCGAGGGAAATTCAGTCGCACAGTGAGGCAAAAGAGAGCTGACGAGGTGGGACCCCAGATTACTACCTCGACAATGGCGTGGTAGACGGCACGCACGAGCTGTACCTCGAGGCGTTCTGTTCCGGGGGCACTGACGAGGAAGGGAACGAGCGGTCGCGGCTCTGCAGCAGGCTCAACCTGGAATATTGCTACAAGGCCGTCAACGGCGCGATGAAGCCGTACGAAGAGGACGAGGAGATCACGAATAGTCTGAGCGCGGCGTGTGAGATCGACAGTTGCGCGATCATGAGAGATGCCTGGGACGGGCCTATCATGACCTGCCAGTGCCGAGACGATAGCGGGAATTGGCGACCTACTACAATCGATATGAGTAAGTGTTGAGCCTGAAGTTGTGGGATACTTACATACTGGTGATTTACTGACAAATTGTGTCACAGACGCTGTGGTAGGGAACGAAGGCGGCCTTTTGCAGTGTGGGGAATCATATGGCAGTCTCGACTGTCCCGAATGGGGGCCATACTCGACCACATTTTTGCCTGAAGAAGACTTATGATCATCAGGCATTCAGTTTTACACCACTTAGCGAGCAACAATCTCATGATCCACTGGCAGGTTTTGTAAAAATTGTAAATTGGATGCTCGTCAAGGCGAGAAGTATTCTTGCCACGATCCCTGTCGCCGCGTCTTCAACACTAGCATTAATTCAAGGTGGCTGTAAGCGCGTCTACTGAGATAGTTGTGTAAACTTCGCCTCAGTGAATGAAGTAGTTTGGTCAGTTCTTGTGTAGTGTTCATATGTTGACATCGTAAACTTCGTGCATAAGCCCACTAGCTTAGAAGCGTCTGGCCAACATCTGTATGAACTCATGGGTTAAACTCCGCAAAATGATTATCGTCATTCTTCTTGCTATGTAACTCACGCTGTAATACTTGAGAATTTGTCGCACTTTGCTTAAAACCTTGGGATGCAACATGCCGGCTTGAACACGGAAGAAAAGTGTAAGAATTGTTGGAATCCGCACTATCGGGAGATTTGCTCACCGTAGATGCTCTGCTTGGGCATGCTCTCTGTGACCAGCTTTACTACAGCGCTCACCTATAGTTGGTGTTAGCCACAACAATCCAAAGAAGCGGCATCTCAGGAGTTGCTGGTCTTAGAACATAGCGCTGCCAAGATGTTTCCAAAGCCCATGGCGATTCTTCAATTACTAAACTAGTGGTGTTGTCAGTGCGGATCAGTGTGCAGTACAGATGTTTAGGTCTTCTGGCCAATCTTTGGGCCAGGCACGGGGAGTTATTGGGCTGAACGGTTCACACTAAGCTGCCAACGGCGGCTGGGCACCATGCAAGCGTCGCAGCAAGTTCGGACGTCCGTGACTTCAGATCTGAGTATTGCTCCCGTGCAATTTCATTCCAGTGGCTCGGCATCCATCCGACCACAGGAACGGTGATTGTTAGTCCACTGTCTAACGGTGTCAAACCCGTCACGATGCAATCTCAGCTTTTACTGCCAAGCAGATTAGAGGACGACGGGCTGTCGATGGGCACGCCGCAGCCTCGGACACCCCTTTAACGATTTTGGCGTTCAGCATCGCGAGTTAGGTCAAACGAAGCTGATCAAGGTCTAGACTGGCGACAGTTAGAAAGGAGTATTCTGAATGAGGTATAAAAAGGCTTTGAGAGTATTCGAAAAGCACCAAGGGCCATAGGTTTGATGCACATACTATTGAACAAGATCATAGTCTCTTGGAGTGGAACGAGACTTTGGTGTCTAAGACCTATTGCAACAGAAATTTCGTCACGACTCATCGTCAGCCAGTTGTCACCATAACAGACACGACAATGCAACTTTCCACCCTCCTCCTAGTCTGCACGGCCGTGGCAAGCACAACCGTCGCGGCCAGCACAGCCGCGCCCAGAGGACTCGTTAGCAAGGAAGTCAACTTCGGTTGCATCAAGACACAACCAGAGTACACAGCCCTTATGCCGAAGTGCGCACAATACTGCCACGCACTGGCACTTACCACCAACGGCTGCGCACGCGACGACCACATCTGCCACTGCAAGAACTATAGCAAGACGGCACAGATCATCGAGCCCTGTGTGTTTGGGCCCAACCCTGGTCCTGCTGGGCCCTGCACCAACGACGAAATCACCCAATTTGCTGGAACAGGCGCCAAGTACTGCGCGTTCTGGAACCAGACTGCGGATGCTGCCATCCAGGGCAAGTTCAGGGAGAACACGCTGACTTGCAAGATACAAGGCATACTAGGTGGCAGGTCTTGAATTCGGCCTAAATAGGCTGATATGTCATTGGGATTGTCTAAATTCTTGACATCATGAGCTGTGCTTTATCTGTATATTACACATTCAATTCTCCAGGATTACATGCCTCATCGCAAGACAGGTTGCGGACAATAATTATAAATCTAAGTGCTTTCAGACATACCATCTAGTGTCAAATATCAAGACGTCACGGCCGCTGTGTCGAATTGGCCACCTCAAGCCTACCAGCACTCGACTATACCAGTTCCTCCATCCTGTAACTGCTGACCATTATCGACGGCCAATCGCAAAACCGGCCCAAGAATTAGGATGAAACGCCATCAAATCGTAGAACCCTATACTAATGGCCACAAAGAAAACCCAGCGGCCAACAAGCGTAGCTAGAGCCCCTGAAAGGCCCGATCCGGCAAACTGATACAGCGTCGACAGCGTGAGGCTGACCGAGCCGACTGTGGAAAAGAAGGCACTGAGCCACGAGGCTTTCTGCAGGTTGGGCTTGTACCACCTTTCCTGCAGCCACATCAACAGGGAAAAGTTGGCCACGACCAGTAGTACAAAGCCGATGAAGAGCGGGAGCTGAACGGCCAGGAGGATTTCCTGCGTATCGGCTGGGTCAATCAGACCTGGGATGGTGGTGACGACAACGATATTGAGGGCAACGAGGCCGACCCAGTTGACGAGGCCTGCCCGGAAAGGAACTTTGGCCCAGAGAGCGGTAAGGTCGGCCTTGGTTGGCAACCACACCCATGATTTGGCTCCGAGTAGAGCCGGTTTGTATGACTTCGGTGGCTCAAGTGCCCCGATCTTTATGTCGATGGGCTCCATAGCGCCTCGGTGGGCGTTCAGAATCGCGATCAGACCCAGCGTGCCGCCTATCAGCAGGAGAATGAGGCCAAAGTCGGTAGTGAGTATCGTGGCAGTGGCGATGTCAAATCCCACTGTCCGTGGCGAAGCCGTCTGCCCCTTGACCTGCATCTGAGCAGTCACAACGCCGAAAGTGGCCGCGATGGCCATCAACGCGCCACCCAGAGTCAAGAAAATCTTGACGACCCAGACGGCGTCCCGATACGGGAATATGGTGAACATGCGCCAGGTCTGCTCCCTCACGCTGTGTACCTCAGGCTCTTGCTCCCAGACGACATCGAATATGGATTCCGGCTTTGTGGTGGCTTGTTCGGCGCAGGACTCCTTGTACTGGACCCAGTTGACTGGGATGAAAGTTTGCCGTCTTGCAATTCGCTCTTGTTGTCTTGCCAACTCCGATGTTCCCTCGAAATCGCCGTTGTTCCTGCGTCGAGCGCCTGTTGACAGCCCCAACGGTTGGTCGAGGCCGTAAAGTGATGCCCTGTAGGCCACTGCTGCGTTCATGGTTGAGTATCGAAGGTCGCTCGCGAGCGCTGCTCAATTCAGCAGGATCCCCTCCCGGTTCTTCGCTTTCCACCGTCCAGCGGCTTTTAATGGTATTAATGGCAGCATATCCGCAGGAGCAGATTCGACTGTTAAGAACTGAAAAATGTAAACAGGTCAAAGCAGAGATGACATGCCAAGCCCTGGCAGTTGACAAGGGCGTTTCTGGATGCCCAGGAAAGCAGCTTTGTCAATGGTCAACATGCGCCGGAAGCCAGGATTCCGTCAACTATTATGCTTATACTGGGGTTTTGTTTCCATGGACATGTTCGACTTGGCATACGCTCTTTGATGTTCACCGACCTGCCGGTGCATTTGCTGATCCACAAATGTCCGATCCCCGCGGGGAGGACCCGAATTTTGCTGGGGAAATATCCACTTTTATGGAACAGCAAAGTACAAACTAGGAAGTTCTGGGTAGAGAAGATCACTTGAAACGCCACAGAATCGGTATGCAAAAGTCCGTATCTGCAATCCATTGAAAGGTGAGAAGTCCGTGTAGAGAAAAATGCTTATCAGTTCAATGATTGTAGCAGGTATCTCGACCGAGAGACATTAGTCTGATTAGAACATCGACTTTGGATTTGGAAGCCCATTACATCTCTGTTGCCCATCGAAACCTTTCACCTGCCAGTGGACTCCATTCGAAGTACAAAGCGCGTGATGCTTCTACACTGCGTCACCTTGTACATCTCTCTGGTCTACTGGAGTCTGTAATTTTCGTGATATAAATTTGATTTTAAAGTCCAGAAGTATTGTCACATAGGGGAATTAGCCTCGATGAAGCGTCTGTACATTGTGCCGTGTTTCCAAATTTGTCGTCCCGTCTGAGGTGACGTCTCGAGGGTTAGGATTGACGCATTAATTCAAGGTGCCACCCTGTCGTCCAAGACTTATGTCGATCTGATCACCATGACAAGCGGGACCGGCCCGGGGACTATGACATGCAACACTATACTATGGCTAGGATTGTCAGGTGCGTGACATCCATACGCACGGCTCTACAGTACGTCGCGCAAGTCTCGACCATTTTATCGTCTAAAGCCCAATGTTGTTATCTTGATCTGTGATCGCAACAGGCGGTGCAACTGAAACCGTGGGCAGGAGCCTCTTCCCGCACCCTTTGTAGAACCCAAAACAGGACAACAGGAGTGTGTTATTCTGCAGTTGATTGGTACCGGGATTGTGTATGTTTTTTATGCTGAACAGGACTTATTGTGGAAATTATTTCCAAACCATCAGCCTCGTTTTCTAGACGTCAATTCTACTCCCTGGGCCCGCCATCTTTCGTTTGTGTATCCCACAACCCTTTCTCAGCCACTGTGCCTTAAATCCCTTGGATACGTTGAAATGACTTACTGAAATATCTGTAAACAACATCCCGGTAATCATTAGACAGTGTGGAAATTTTTAATCTCATTCAGAGGAAAGCCTTTCATTGGAGCCCTTCAAGCTGATAAAATACTACCATTATTGGAAGGACGTTAACCAGCCGACTTGATCGATTGACCTCCCCACCCTCAAGCATAGTTCCAAGAGATGTCGTGGAGACCGTCCGGACTCCAGTATCCTCTCCCACCTCTCTCGGATATTGCTGCCCTCTCCTTCCAGGACATTTTCATCTGGCCCCTTCCTCGTTGCCGCTCGATGGTGTCGATAAGAGACTGTCGATTGCAGTCTTTGAGCCATTGCTTGATCTCCCCATTGACTTCGGGACGGGCTCCTTCTGACAAAGGAATGTCCCATATAACGTAACCGCACTTCCGAAGATACAGATCCTCTGGGCAGTAGGGAATATCGCGAGCCCAAAAGCTTAGATGAGCACCTAGCCATAGACGAAATGGTGCTGAATCCAAGCCATCCGCTCCGTCGTGGTCGATCCCCCATCTCCCCATCAGATGCGCCTCTTGTTCAGAACCCCACGGAATCCTATCGCGGAGATAAAGGCTCCAAGTATTTATGTGTGGGGTGTAATTATTTGGTACAGCTCGCTGAAGATGGACTGCCAGTGCTACTGTAGTGCGTGGTAAGCCTTTTGATACCAAAAGCTGGTGGCGCTGTTGGTATGCATGATTATTATCGAGTTTGAAGAGAAAAGGTAAACCGTAGGTGAGCTGAAATTGCGTGTTAGGATCGCTAAATGCGTGCGTCATTTGTTGCTGAAAAAGTGGGAGACACTCACATATGCCTGCTTATACTCGTTTCGTCTCCCCTGAGCCAGCCAGTCAACCGACTTTGCTCCCCAGTCGACGTCATGAGCAGCAACGTCATCGAATGCTCTCGACAAGATATCCTCTAGGTAGTCATGTATGCATGCAAGTTGCTCGTCGACCCATGGCGAGAAACAGCCAAAGAAGTGACGCACTATGTAAGAGCTTCGCATCTGCCTGACTCGTCTTCCTGGATGAAAATCGTCTTCGTTTCGGAATAATAGGTTGCAGTATATCTGGAAGCGATATAAAGCGCGTCTAATTCGGAATGCCTCTCTTTTCGAGGGGCAAGCCTCCTCAGGTCTCCGTCCCACCATGAGATGTTGAATCAGTGGCAGTCGTTCGCCGGCAAACCGTCTGCAGAAGTACTCCACGACACCGTGAGTCTTGCTGAAGATAGTTGCTATAGAAACTGCTTCCATAAATTGGGAAGTCTGATCACCTAGTCTTGTGCTGAGGGCTGTCGAAAAACCAGTTCCATCCACACTATGGTCGAACATCCACTCCAGGCACCATTCCTGAAACTGAACGCCATCCTGCTGACGACCAATGCCTTCGAAAGCCGATCTGAGTAGAGTGCCGACTTTGACTTCGTCGTTGTTATCCACAAACTTTGTTTCGAAGGCTGCCGCTGCGTATTGCATGAGCTCTGGAGGAATTTGGTTCCTCAATATGCCCTGAACAATACGTTTTGTGTCGTCTCGGAAAGACTGGTAGAATATTGAGTGGCTGAGTATGGCTGAGCCCAACGACTGCATAGAATCCAGCTGTGCCAAAATGAAGGAGGCCAGATGCACTGGGAGCTCGAGAAATGGCGACGAATTCGACATGTTCAAGTTTCACAAGCGGAGGAAAACGACTTTCAAATTGTATGGTGAAATCTCCAAAGGGGCCCATTGGCAGCGAGTATCCAAACCTGAGGTTCCAGTAGATTACAAGGGTTGGCATCCCTCATCCAAAGATGAGTCACTCGTCAGTTTAGGCACCTGTCAGATCTCTCATTTGACGAACGATGAATTAAGGCTAGCACCATGGCGCCGTAGCTGTTGGAGAACTTGATTTCCTGATATTCATCAAAGTTATCTTTGCTTGGTTTATTCCTGATCAGAATGAACTAACAAAGAGAAACAAAGTGCCACTGATATTCACCCTAGCTTGTATCGAGTCTAGGTAACCTGCAGATATTCACCACGCAGTGCCGTGCCGCTAAATTCAGAACACATTTCTAATAATTATTCCGTACTGTTACATTGGCTTCCGCGACCAGAAATGGATAAGCCCAACACATCGTTACGCTCAGTTGGGGAACGAGCGGGGATGCTGGACGTAATAACATCATTGTTCCGGACACCGAGTTAGAAGAAATACCCATGTGCTCTTTTTAAAATGTGTACGCTTCGGAAACAAGTTCTAGAAAGCCTTGATGAGCGACTCCGTTCTGTCTTTCGAGGCCTTAAAAGATGTACTTTCGTCATTTTGCATTTCTTGCCACAGCGTGTTTACTTCTAGTCCGACGCTCCAATGCAAGTTGCACAACCGACGATGATTGCAGTCTCAATGGAGTTTGTTCTTTGGAGACGCAATTGTGCGCTTGTGATCCGGGGTGGAAGTCAGATGACTGCGGGCAGCTTGATCTAATGCCCGCAACCAGATGGACCGGATATAATTATACAAACGTCACACTCCCTACTTACTACAGCACGAAGGGCAATTCCTCGTGGGGCGGGCAGATCATTCGTGACAGGCAGGACAAGACGCTTTTCCATCTCATTATCTCACAGTTCGCATACGGTTGCGGGCTATCTGGCTGGAGACCCTTCAGCACCGTCATCAGAGCAGAGTCCAGAACGGGGCCAGCTGGTCCTTACCACTTTGCTCAAGATCTGCTTGGGCCGTTCCGCCATAACCCGACAACCATTTGGAGCCCTGCAGATGAGAAGTATCTTCTCTACACTATCGGAATCGAGACACAGCTGCCGACAACCTGTAAATCATTCAAGTGGGCCAATAATATCTCGGTTTCAAGCGCACCCGAGGTTCGCGGGCCCTGGTCAACTCCGCAGATCCTGATCAACGGGACGAACCCGACACCATGGCCAATGTGGACCCCGGATGATCCAACTTCTGAGATCGCACTCGGCGCTGAGGACAACATGATCTACGCAGCCGATGATTTCTCCAGCCCGTACAACCTCATCAAGACCATGCCCTGGAATACGTCAGACTACAGCGACCACTGGACTGAGGATCCATTTCTATGGCGCGACAAGCGCGGAAATTGGCATATTCTATGCCACTGGATGATCGACATCACCGAGCGAGGTGAGAAATTTCCTCGGGTAGGAGGACACTTGTTCTCTAGAAACCTGACAGGAGACTGGACTTTCAAGCTCCAGGCAGCATACAACACAACTGTACAGTTCACAGACGGCGGGAGGACGGATTACTACCGCCGTGAACGGCCCAAACTGTTTTTAAGCGATGATGGGCAGCTCACGCCGCTGTTTCTGACCAATGGCGTGCAAGAGTTTAACAGCTCAGGCAGTTATACGTTGATCCAACCGATCGGAAAGGGTGCGGAGACATTTGAAAGAAAACTGGGATTGTGATCTCCTTCTGATGGTGTGTTGCTCAAGATGAGAAGAGGCGCTTTAGCTCCAGTAGTTGGATAAACACTTCACATCTACGCATGGGCGACTCACAATTTACAGCTTCGAGTAACAGAGAAGAAACACCGGAAATCAATGTTACATTTCTTCTCCTCATAAGAATGAAGGCACATTCCATGTGCTAACAAATTATTTTGACATTGGGTATATGATGCGCCGTTCTAAAGTTGTCTCCATCTATTCCCATCACCACCGCACCTCCAAAAGCCAAACACAACCATTCTATTCCAATTCCAAAAACTGTTGTGTTCCTTTAGTAGAAGTCCCGCCACCATTGTCGATTGAAGAGGTAGGTATGGCAATTAGTGCATCTTGCCGCTGCAGTTCGAGTCCTCCCCCGTGGCGCCCGCCGCCGTACAAGCCTCTCTGAACTTGCAGTTGCTGAGCCCGTTCTCTTCGAGGCGAAGGAAGCCTGATTGAGCGCTTCCAGTGAAGTGGCATTCCTCGAACCCGGAGACACCGATCATTTCCTTGTGTGGCTCGCTTTGTTCGTAGCATGCCGTTACCGTTGCAACGTCGTCTGGTGTTCCGTCGGCGTTGGTGCAGTGGCAGAGCTGGTAGAGCGCACATGCCTGCGTGCCGGCGGCGAAGAGGATTGCGGAGACTGTAAAGAGCTTCATGTTTTCTTTTTTGAAGGAAAGCGTTTGGTGATGTTGTGATTGGGCTTTGTTATGCAAGAATGGAATGATCAAGAACGATGAATGATGGTGAGTTGAGATAGACCGCTGGCAATCGAGTTGATGCTGAGATCATATGACACTTTATAGTCGTGATTCTGCACCATCGCCAGATCGTTGTTAGAGTCTCTCATCGGTGTCCGCAGAGTAATTCCGCGGTTCAGCAGTTGAACTGTGGGTCTTCCAGATGAAAATAAATTTGTTTGCCCCTGATATCACTTAGACTGATATGTAGCTCTTGGGGATGCTACATGTATGTATGTCGATCTTGCTATATATGGGACGAGCAGATTTCTTACACTGACTTGTTGAAGTCATTAATGACGTGTGTGGAATCCAGCAGCCACGAGATAATCTTACTACAGTCCTACATGCTTGTATTTTAACATTTTGACAAGAAAAACGAATGTAATTGGTTGACAGTTACCTGTAGCACACCCACATTCCGCTTCTTTTTTCTGGGCCGTGCTGAGTTTGCACCCAAATGACTTTTAATAGATAACTCGCCCGGCATGGACCATGTAGAGAAACGTGGGGTACTGAATAAGTCAACTGACAACGTCACAAGGCTGAAGAGGTTGCCAAGACGCAGATCTCTCTGTTCTCTCACACCAACAGCCACTTACTTGTACGGAACATGTCGGCCGCCCCTATGAAGTTGACTCATGCAACACAGGAGAAAGAAATCATTTAACATTTGAAGGATAGGCTTCTGGAGAAGTAGCGCTATAAGGCACAGCTTAATGACTCGATGCTGCAGACCAACATTACCAACATTCGACTATGACGAGCTGGACAGTAGGCTCACGGCCCCCAAACACAGTCACCAGAAATCAGTCACCCAGGAAACAGCAGCTGTAGATGGAGCTTGTCTGCTGAAGATGATCTAAAATCCTGATACAACTTCATGTGCGATATTTCTATAGGCTGCGTCTACGATATGCCTTGTGATTATGTCTTTCCCCCCCTCTAGCATATTTGCTGGCTAGTTAAGTAAACAATTTACAATCGACAGCCGATTTTATCAATATATTTTTGAAAACTGTTATGGTTCGAATCTCATGAGATTTGTAAACATTTCGTGATTCAGAATTTCAAGAATGGCATTTGTCTCACAGTGAAGCAAGTCTCATGAGACATACTGAGGAACGCCATTCATGGGATCATCCACGGGCTCTTCATAAAGGCGCAACGAAACATCGAGGGGCCGCTTCCAATTTGGAAATGAAATACAGATTGAGGACCCATTTCCCAAATTGAGTGCAGGCCAGTGCATTTGATCTCCGCTTGCAACACGCAATGCCAGAGATTCTTAATCTGATGTGCCAGTGCGGTGAACCACCGGCAATAAGAAGAACTGTTCAAACTGGAGCTGGAATTCTTGAACATCACCCATTGGCCAAAGCTAGTACACTCGAGTGAGTCATTTCTGTGTGTGTTCGACGACCACAATACACGCCACACTTCACGAGGCGGGGAATCCGGGTTGGTCACCATTCATACACATAGATGCTGGTCGAGATCAGGCATCTGAGGAACTCTGCGAGATTGCAGAGGCTTATGGATTATTCCACCATGTGATGAGTTCTGAATAATCAATGGTGGTCTTTTGTTTTGAATATTTCTTTATGAAGGAGGGGACGAGGCTCTCATATTTTTCTCAGTCCCCAGATGACCACATCACTCAGGAGGTCTACTTTAGCAAGACGTCCAAATGCTACCGATGTGCTCATTTCGGCGACTTTCCGCTTAGTTCTTCTTCTTGGCCGCCTTGCTCTCATCCATTCGCTTGATGATCTCTGCCTCCTCGTCCTCGATCTTTTTGTCGATCTTGGCGCCGCGCGACGGCTCGTTGCCGTGCATCCTCGCGGGGAGGGTGGGGTCGTGCTCGGCGGCGATCTGCTCCTCGGTCTTCTTCTTGCCGCTCCCCTCATTGGGGTCGTTCTGGTCATCGGCGGCCGCGAGGCGGTTGGCTATGCTGCGCTCATCCTCTGTGGGGATTCCGGTCAGCTTGACCCAATTGTGATATTTACCGAGTAATATGCTCGTAGATATGTGGAGTGGAGACGGAAGTACTCACTAGAGTCGTTCTCTTGGTGGGAGTTCTCCTTGCCCTCCTCGTAAGGCACAGGCTGATCCTCCTTCTTCTGGTCTTCTGCGTTTCCTGACATTTTGAATATTGATTTGAGAGAGGGAATTGGGTTCTTGAAAAGATTGAGAGAAGACGGGTGGAATTGGTGTAGGTGATTGAGGATTGTGGGGCCTGAGATGGCTTTATAGGACTGGCGTCAAGGGCGAGATTGTTTGCTTCTGATCTCGTCTCACGGGAGCTGTTTGCTTCATGATGTCATGGCCTGATGACAGTGCCATCGGGCGTCATCCTAAGGGACCAGCTAAGACAGCAGCTGCAGTGTAACAACCTAGCGAGGCGTCTAGACTAATTAGCGCCCGTGAGGTCGATCTTCATCCCGTCTTAGCTAAAGGAAGCCGCTAGGCAGCTCGTAGTCTTTCAGGGGATGGTGGCACCTGGCTTAAAAGGAGAGGAGGCGTGAGGAGGGACTAGGGCGGGAGGAAACGGTATGTCATTAGGCCACTAACTTGTAACCCCAAGTTTACCTGGGAGGCTGAAGTTAAAAAGTCGACCAGGTACTGGCGGGCCGGTTGGCGATGATGTTGCATAAGGGCTCAATGGGCCAATTGCAAGTCATATTTGATAGAATGTGTCTTAAAAGTCTTGACATCAATAATTATATACAGTAGAGAAGAAGTTCCCTTGCTATTATTAGTTGCACACGATTTGGCCCTCTCTCCCTTTGCGATCACCTAGACCCCCAGGAAAATGCGCCCCAAAGGCGAGACCGCCGCATTTCCGACGGGGACAGAGAGGCCACCTCGGCCACATCCTGCTGGCGCTCCATCTCGGCTCGGACGGCATCCCGGACAAGATCCCGCAACTGCTCAGACATTTGGTCCCGAACCTGGTCCCGGACGGAACTCACCTGGTCCCGGACTAGGCTCGGCAGCTCGTCGAGGAGTGCCGTCTTCGTCGCCGCCGATCCGTTCTGGAGCAGCTGCGCCGGACTGTCACTGCCGGCGCGCCCGGATGCGCCCGGCTCCGTCTCGATGGGTGTATCATTCTCGACACCCTAGTGATCTCCCTTCTGGAGGTGCGGCAGTAGTTGGCTTTCCGCCGCCGCCGCGAGCCTGGTGATGCGCGCAAGCCGCACACTCTTGACGAGGCGCACCGTCTGCGCGAGCAAGGACTCGGTGGTGGGACTCCTCCCATCGCTCCAATCCTTGATAGAGATGGCAAGTCGCGCCACGGCCGCAGAGACCTCGAAGGTCAGGTCCGTGATTGTCTGAACACTCAGATCGGGCGGCAGTAAGTGCCCAGAAGCGAGGGCCTCATTGTGCTAAGAGTCCTAAAAAAAATGTTTCTCTCTTAAGTTATACGGCATTGTATTGTCTATCCGAAATTGGTCTGGAAAGCTAAAGCCCTGGGGCAGATCCATCTACTTAGGTATGTCGGCCTAAAGACTGCGGGCTCATCGCCCTACTCACTGCAGGTGCTCTCGTTGGCTAATGCTACATATTATGACAACAGAAGCGCGGGGCTCCCGATGCCGAGGAGGAGATGACAAGATACAACCTGCTAGAATTTACGATGATCATTGCTGCCACCTCTTGCAGCTGAAAATGACTGTAGCCGGCGGGCGGGCAAGCGTTGAACGAGTGATTATAATTTACAGGCCTGATATGTGAGCTTGAAAATGATTGGCAGACATTAGACCGGCAACACTCAAAAGGGCACACCTGAATGTAGGTGTTGCCAAACTTGGCAAGTCTGAACGGTGGAGTCATTTCCAATAATACAGAAGGTGAGAGGAGGGACCCACGATTCGATACGTCCATCCTTTCGATGAATACTCCGGCTAGGCGCGTCTCCAGTGCATGACTACGAAGACTATCGACGAATTGGGAGCTTGTGGGGCAGCTGAGGGCCGGTCCACGTCCTCTATCATTTTCAGACCATATAATGTTGAAACGAAACACCATCACACCAATCTGTATATATATGCAAGGTCCTCCCTCTTCTTTTCTCTTGCTATGTAGCTGCAATCAACTCAATTCTTCTCTCATTTTGACATATAATGCGCCCAGCCCTTCCGCCCTGTCGGCTATGAAAGTCTACCGTCCCTCGTCAATCACGGCACCTAGGAGCCTGCTCAAATTTCACCGGCCATATTTTCCTACGTAGACACGTCACAGACGATTTAGCACCGTGGTGGTGTCGGATCCAAATGGGAGCCTGCAGGGACCAACCGTCCTAGTCCTCAGCCACCAGCTTTCAATAGTATGGCTGCGTCGACTAGGACTAGCAAAATGTGTAATGTTTGTATTCGCAATGAGCGTATTAGCCAAATCTAACTGCAGAAGGGGCCGAAGGCACCCTTTGAATAGAGCCCCTCAATCACGTGACCCTCTACTTACTGCCACAGTAAGATACAGTCAGCACTTGTGAGCACCGCTGATGAAGATCATAGCTGTCAACGAGATGTGTGGCAGTTCCCTTTCTATCATAAGATAGCTGATGCTTGACAGACTGTTCATTCTCCTACATTTATGAAATTGCACTCTTCTCCGTCATGAATTCGAAGACCCCACAACATCCTATCAGAGTCGCCATCGTAGGCGGAGGTATAGCCGGTCTGACCCTAGCTCGGGGTTTAATCGCTCAGCAACATCTCCAAACCAGCGTCTATGAAGCAACGGAGAAGTATCTAGACATAGGCGCAGGTCTCGCTTTTCATGGCAATGCCATGCGAGCATTGGCCAACATCGATCAGGCTCTGCACGATGAGTACTTCGCACGGGCGACACTCATGGCCGATAGGGAAAAGGAGCTTGCCACCACTGTGCTCATCGGCGACGAGGTTGAGGGCGAAGAGAACATCCTCGCTGAGCTGGGGAAGGCGAAGGGACGAAAGACGGTGGCTCGAGCCGACTTGCTCGAAGGGCTGTACAGTCTTCTGCCCAAGGACGTGATTCACCTCGGGTGGCGGCTGAGTCAAGTCGAAGAGGACGGCGGAGAGATCGCCCTCACATTCGACAATGGCACGACTGTCCGAACGGATGTGCTCATCTCCGCCGATGGCATTCACAGCGTGACGAGGAAATATCTACTTGGCGCGAATCATCCAGCTGCCTCCCCGGTCAACCACGATCATTGGTCTTTTGTTATGCGCAAGGTTCCTGCCGCCGAGGCCAAAGCTCTCAATCCAGATCTTCCAAATCGAGTGCCAATCTTCTGCGGCGACGGTGGCTACCTCAATTCGATCCCAATACGATTTGGAGAAGAGATGACCATCGCCGCATATTCGCAGGACCTCACAGCTACTGTCACAACGGACGGTTCAACAGATGCCACCACCAGGGCCGAATTTGACAAGACGCTCGACAACTTCAAGACTTGGCGGAAAGACTGTCAAGATCTAGCCGAGCTCATAAGGCGCGATCCCTCCGCAGGCTGGCCGATATTAGACCACGACCCAGCCCCCTTCTACGCCAAGCGCAGGATATGCATCATGGGCGATGCGGCACACGCCACCTTCCCTTTCAACGGCCAGGGCGCCGCGCAGGCGATCGAGGACGCTGCGGTACTGAACACGCTGTTCAAGGAGGTCGCGAAGCTGGAGGAGGTCGACGCCGCGCTGCAGGCGTACGATGAGGTGCGCAGACCGAGATCGCAGAAGGTCGCTGAACTAAGCAGGCAGTTTGGGCGGATGTATGCTTTCATTGAGCCAGGAGTTGGGCGCGATTTGGACAAGACGAGGAAGATCATGGGTGCTGGCGCGGTTTTTACTAATAATGTTGATCTTGATGCGCAGAACGAGGCTGCTGTTTCAGGGTTCAGAGCAGCTGTCAAAGCAATACATGACTGAAACTATCTTCGATTTGATAAATACGAGTATCTACTAAGAATAAGAAGAAAAAGAGCGAGTAAGAAAAGAAATCGCCGCTGATATAATAAAAGTAACCTACCACTGGTGACAAAAGATACTGAATCTCAGCATTCTGTTCTTGTCCAAAGACTCCAAAATAGGCTCTTACAAAGTTAGACTGATAAAAAAAAGGTTTATATAGAGAGCTCAGACTTCCGCAAAGTTGACAGCAAGGGTTTCTTGCGTATTGCCCTGGGCAAGATAGTTGGCATCCTGAAAATACTATGCCCTGTTAAGAATTTTTTTTCATATATAACAATTGTTGGCTAGGTCACGTATTTGAATATAATGCGCGTTTAGGGATGTTAGTATTTATTTAAGTATAAGTTACTTACTTACTTACAAAAAGCAGCTAAAGGCTATATCCTTTTAAAGCTTATTTATAACTATAAGCCTAATAAACTAATTAGCTTACTATAAATACTAATACTATAATTTATATATTAGCAGTTTTTTATTAAATACATATATATACCTATAAATATTAAAAACCCTTTTAAAAACTATTTTTTATATAATTTAAACTTAAAACCTTAATAATTAAAATAATTACCTATATACCTTAATTAAATACTTAAATAATTTAAGTATTTAATTTCCCTAAATTTATTTAAAAGTTTTTAAAATAAGTAAGTTTATTAAATTTAAATAAAAGTTATTATAATACCTTTATTATTAAAATTACTTTTTAAATTAATATTCAATAATTACTTTTACCTTATAAATAACCTTATTTTAAAATAGTTTATAAACTTATAATTCTACTATTTAAAAAACAAATAAATAAAAACAAATCTTTAAACTAAGCTAGCATTAGCTAACTTAATTAATAATACTAATATAATCTTATCCTAAATATTAAGTAATAATAAAAAAAAATAAAATAAAAAAAAAAATATAATTAGTAAATTTAATAAATTTAATAAATTTAGTAAATAGTAGCAAATAGTAAAAATATAAAATTAATTAATTAACTAATTAACTTTTAATATATAAGTATTAATACTATAAAATCTAACTAAAAATACTTATTAAATATTAAATAGCATTTAGCCTATAAAATAATAATAACCCTTATTATTTAAACCCTTAATATATAAGCTATACTATAAAAACTTATTATAAAATATACTTTTAAAATAAATTTAAAAAAATATAGCCTAAAAGTATAAACTATTAATTAATATAAGCTAATTTAAAAATAATAAAACTAATTTAAAGTTTTACTATTTAAATCTAATATATTTTATTATTATAAATTAATTCCACTTTTAATAATCTTTTCTTTTATTAAATTAATTAATTCTAATCTATATAGCCCTTAATCTTAATAATTAACTTATTAATAATTATAAACTATTTAAATACTTTATTTAAATTAATTTTAATAAATATATTTATTAAATTATTATTACTATTAATTTAGTATAGTTTATAAATCTTTTATTACTTATATAACTATTAAAATACTATTATATTTATTATTAATTGCTTTTTTTTAATAGTTTTTAATTTAATAAAATACTTATAAAAAAAGTATAAATTTATATAAATTACTAATAATACTATAAAAGTATTAAAGTAAACTATAATCTATTAAAAAATTACAGTAAATATAATTCCTATATTAAAGCTATTAACTATACTATAAATCTTTAAAGTAAGTATATTTTATATAACTTTCTTATATTTAATTAAAAATTAGTACAGAATATTATTAATTATCTCTTACTTTATAAAGTTAATACCTTTTTTTTTATTAATTAAAATAATTAAAAAACTAATTTAAAAGCTAAAGTTTTAATTATTTATAAAAAAACTATTTATAAAAACTATAAGTTTAGCTAAAATAAAGTTAATAAAAATATATTATAATTTATAGCTAAAGTTTTATACTTATTATTAAAGTTAATAGTTAAGTTTAATATATATAATATTATTTAAATTTTAAATTTAAATAGTTATAAATAAATTAAAAGCTATTTTTAATTAATATATAAATACTAAATATACTTTATAAGTATATTATTTAAAGTATTTTTAAATATAGTTTAAAGATTTAATATTAATTAAATTAATTTTTATATTTTAACCTTTTTAAATAAAGTTAATAGATTTATTAAAATTTATAATAATTTTTATATTATTAAAGTTAAAAAAGTTATTAATTATAAGTTTAATTTTTAGTTTATAATAAATCTATTCCTCCTAAATCTTTTTCTTTTCTAATATTAAAAAGATAAAAATAACTATTAAAAAGGTATTATTTATTTATATAGCTATAATATTAAAACAGTTTTAATTATAAATAAAAATTAAAAAGTATAAGTTATAAATAAATATTTTTATATCTAACTTATTATAATAATAATAATAATATATTGCTTATTAGTAAATACTTACTTTAGCAATACTATAAAATAGCTTAATAACTTTTATAATAATATTTATTAAATACTTATTTTAAATTTTTAGTAATAAGCTTATAAAAAGTATATATTTTAATACTATTTTAAACTATAAATAAGCTTAAATAATATCTTAAAGCTTAATAACTATACTTATCCTTAATAAAAATAATATTAAAGCTATAATTAAATATTAGCTAACTTTTTATATAATTAATAATTATATTAAAATATCTTTTTTTCCCTTATTATTATACCCTTATATAATAAATTATAACTTTTTATATAGCTTTTTAATTTTACTTTTAATCTTTTAAACTATATAAAACTTAAAAAGTTTAAATATATTATACTTATTAAAATAATAAAGTTTAAATTAAAAAATACTATATCTAATTAAGTTTAATATCTTTCAAATATTAAATTTCTTAAAAAAATTACTAAAAATAATAATTACTTTATTATAATAAAGCTTAAATATAAGCTTATAATTATCTTTCTTTTACTAAATAAATAAAATCTCAGCCAGCTTAAGCTTATTCTTAAATTTACAAAGTTATTCTTATTATTAAAGCTAAAAAAGCTTAAAAAGTAATTAATATCAATCCAAATTAAATTTAATCTATAGCAAAACTTATTACTATAATTCAACACTAGCAACCACCATTACATTATCTTCCAAATCTATATCATTGCTATAATAATATAGTTAAACTAAAGTTAACCAAAAAATAATTAAGCTATTAAATAAATCAAGGGTCATATTATAACCATCAATAGCTAAAAGCTTATACAAGCCTTACTAGCCCTCCTTCTCTCTCTAAACTCAAATATCACTCTACAAAAAAAGTACCAGAATATCCAATATCACTAATCCATTTTAAATATTCAAAACCATATTAACTTACCGCTTAGCAATCAACTTCCTCAACACTTTCATAGCTTTCTAAATTACCTTAGCTCTTTTTAAAATAAACAACATAAATAAAAAGTCAGATATTATCTAAAAATAAGCTCTAAAAACAAAAAATATAAATATAAATCCATCCAAGCTAGCTATATCATTAACAGCTTTAAAAGCTATTTAAAATATAAACTCTATAAAAAACATACTTAAAAACTCAGCATATAAAATCTCATATACCCATTAAACAAAAGCATAATATCGCTTAACCTTTCCAATAAACCAATAAACCTTAATAAATACCTATTTATAAATAATTCCTATAATTCTAATAATACTTTTAAACTCTATAAAAGCAAAGTTAATATTAGTATTATAAATAATATAATTAAGAGGTCTAAAATAAATATTAATTTATACTAAATATAAAGCTTCCTATATATCCTTTACTAATAGAGATAAAAGAAAACGCTTAATTTAAAATAAAGTTACTAAATCAACTACATATAAAACTAACTTATTACTTAAATATATAACATCAACAATAAGCTTATAATTAAAATCTAAATCATCCTTAAAATTAAACTTAAACCTTTTTAAAGCTAAATTATAAAGTTAATAATAATAATAAAACTTAAAAATTACTTTTAAAATAAAAAATTTAATAATATATTTAATATTAATTAACAAACAGATTAATTGCTTAACAAATAAATATTTAAAATAATAGTATAATTATTTAAGTATCACAAATGTAACAGGAATAAAACTAGGGGAGCATTGTTAGTCCCCTAAAAGCGCAAATAAACCCCATAGGCCAGCAGGGCAGGCCTAAAAGGATTCACTATGTGACAGAAGCAAGTCACATAATAGAGCAAAAGGATAACTAAAACAACTAAAGCAACGCTTCGCTCCAAATAATCCAAATAATCCAACACTCCTATTGCTCCAAATAAGCAACACTCCAAATAAGCCACCAAAAGCAACGCTCCCATCGCTCCAGCTAAAAAAATAGACTATATAAATCACGCTCATTACTAATAAATAGTATTAGCTTAAAACAGCTCTTTAGCAGTTAATCTAAATATTTACCTAGAATAGCTATAAAGCTTTTGATCCACTATCATTACACATTGCTCAAAACATCACCACCTTAAACATTCCCTAAACATAAACCCACTTACTAAGTTTATTAGCTAAAAACCAGCTATAATCATCACATTTTAACTACTCTTATTCAAACATTTTACATAAACCCTAAGCAATAACTTACACAGTTACCACCCTCACTTTAACATATCTTCCAGCTACACCCAGAAAAACCTCTAGTAAGAGCTAAACAATAACAACTTTAAACTCTTATAAGCCTAGTACCTTAAAATAGTTAAAGAAATTAAAAAACTCTATGCCTACATCCAGGGATAGGCTAGCTAAAACAACAAAATAGAAAAACTTAAGGCCAAGGTTAGAACACTTCAAAGCGCTGCCAACATTATCAACACCCTAGTTAAACCCAAAAAATCTATCAAGCTCACCAACCCAACCCCCTATAATAGTTCCCCAGAACAGTTACAGGCCTACCTCACCCAGGTTAAGGCTTACTAGCGCTTCTACAGCCTTAACAATTA